TTGGTTCTTTACCCTTCTATCTGGCAACAAAACTGACACCTTTTTGCAAGGAGTCATGTTTGCATAGACCGCAATACCTGCAGTCATAAATACAAACAAAAGACATAACTCTGATAATGTGCACTGTCCTTGAAGTTGATTGGTCCACACCCGAGACAGCTTTCCTTCGAGCCTAGTCTCATATGGGTTGGACCAGATGACGCCAAAAGGCGCACAACTCAAGGACAATGCACCATCAGAGTATGAGAGCTCGGGGCAAGCATCTACACTATGGGGACCTCATTTGCCAGTAAAAATATGATAATTGGTTCTTTACCCTTCTATCTGGCAACAAAACTGACACCTTTTTGCAAGGAGTCATGTTTGCATAGACCGCAATACCTGCAGTCATAAATACAAACAAAAGACATAACTCTGATAATGTGCACTGTCCTTGAAGTTGATTGGTCCACACCCGAGACAGCTTTCCTTCGAGCCTAGTCTCATATGGGTTGGACCAGATGACGCCAAAAGGCGCACAACTCAAGGACAATGCACCATCAGAGTATGAGAGCTCGGGGCAAGCATCTACACTATGGGGACCTCATTTGCCAGTAAAAATATGATAATTGGTTCTTTACCCTTCTATCTGGCAACAAAACTGACACCTTTTTGCAAGGAGTCATGTTTGCATAGACCGCAATACCTGCAGTCATAAATACAAACAAAAGACATAACTCTGATAATGTGCACTGTCCTTGAAGTTGATTGGTCCACACCCGAGACAGCTTTCCTTCGAGCCTAGTCTCATATGGGTTGGACCAGATGACGCCAAAAGGCGCACAACTCAAGGACAATGCACCATCAGAGTATGAGAGCTCGGGGCAAGCATCTACACTATGGGGACCTCATTTGCCAGTAAAAATATGATAATTGGTTCTTTACCCTTCTATCTGGCAACAAAACTGACACCTTTTTGCAAGGAGTCATGTTTGCATAGACCGCAATACCTGCAGTCATAAATACAAACAAAAGACATAACTCTGATAATGTGCACTGTCCTTGAAGTTGATTGGTCCACACCCGAGACAGCTTTCCTTCGAGCCTAGTCTCATATGGGTTGGACCAGATGACGCCAAAAGGCGCCTTTTGGCGTCATCTGGTCCAACCCATATGAGACTAGGCTCGAAGGAAAGCTGTCTCGGGTGTGGACCAATCAACTTCAAGGACAGTGCACATTATCAGAGTTATGTCTTTTGTTTGTATTTATGACTGCAGGTATTGCGGTCTATGCAAACATGACTCCTTGCAAAAAGGTGTCAGTTTTGTTGCCAGATAGAAGGGTAAAGAACCAATTATCATATTTTTACTGGCAAATGAGGTCCCCATAGTGTAGATGCTTGCCCCGAGCTCTCATACTCTGATGGTGCATTGTCCTTGAGTTGTGCGCCTTTTGGCGTCATCTGGTCCAACCCATATGAGACTAGGCTCGAAGGAAAGCTGTCTCGGGTGTGGACCAATCAACTTCAAGGACAGTGCACATTATCAGAGTTATGTCTTTTGTTTGTATTTATGACTGCAGGTATTGCGGTCTATGCAAACATGACTCCTTGCAAAAAGGTGTCAGTTTTGTTGCCAGATAGAAGGGTAAAGAACCAATTATCATATTTTTACTGGCAAATGAGGTCCCCATAGTGTAGATGCTTGCCCCGAGCTCTCATACTCTGATGGTGCATTGTCCTTGAGTTGTGCGCCTTTTGGCGTCATCTGGTCCAACCCATATGAGACTAGGCTCGAAGGAAAGCTGTCTCGGGTGTGGACCAATCAACTTCAAGGACAGTGCACATTATCAGAGTTATGTCTTTTGTTTGTATTTATGACTGCAGGTATTGCGGTCTATGCAAACATGACTCCTTGCAAAAAGGTGTCAGTTTTGTTGCCAGATAGAAGGGTAAAGAACCAATTATCATATTTTTACTGGCAAATGAGGTCCCCATAGTGTAGATGCTTGCCCCGAGCTCTCATACTCTGATGGTGCATTGTCCTTGAGTTGTGCGCCTTTTGGCGTCATCTGGTCCAACCCATATGAGACTAGGCTCGAAGGAAAGCTGTCTCGGGTGTGGACCAATCAACTTCAAGGACAGTGCACATTATCAGAGTTATGTCTTTTGTTTGTATTTATGACTGCAGGTATTGCGGTCTATGCAAACATGACTCCTTGCAAAAAGGTGTCAGTTTTGTTGCCAGATAGAAGGGTAAAGAACCAATTATCATATTTTTACTGGCAAATGAGGTCCCCATAGTGTAGATGCTTGCCCCGAGCTCTCATACTCTGATGGTGCATTGTCCTTGAGTTGTGCGCCTTTTGGCGTCATCTGGTCCAACCCATATGAGACTAGGCTCGAAGGAAAGCTGTCTCGGGTGTGGACCAATCAACTTCAAGGACAGTGCACATTATCAGAGTTATGTCTTTTGTTTGTATTTATGACTGCAGGTATTGCGGTCTATGCAAACATGACTCCTTGCAAAAAGGTGTCAGTTTTGTTGCCAGATAGAAGGGTAAAGAACCAATTATCATATTTTTACTGGCAAATGAGGTCCCCATAGTGTAGATGCTTGCCCCGAGCTCTCATACTCTGATGGTGCATTGTCCTTGAGTTGTGCGCCTTTTGGCGTCATCTGGTCCAACCCATATGAGACTAGGCTCGAAGGAAAGCTGTCTCGGGTGTGGACCAATCAACTTCAAGGACAGTGCACATTATCAGAGTTATGTCTTTTGTTTGTATTTATGACTGCAGGTATTGCGGTCTATGCAAACATGACTCCTTGCAAAAAGGTGTCAGTTTTGTTGCCAGATAGAAGGGTAAAGAACCAATTATCATATTTTTACTGGCAAATGAGGTCCCCATAGTGTAGATGCTTGCCCCGAGCTCTCATACTCTGATGGTGCATTGTCCTTGAGTTGTGCGCCTTTTGGCGTCATCTGGTCCAACCCATATGAGACTAGGCTCGAAGGAAAGCTGTCTCGGGTGTGGACCAATCAACTTCAAGGACAGTGCACATTATCAGAGTTATGTCTTTTGTTTGTATTTATGACTGCAGGTATTGCGGTCTATGCAAACATGACTCCTTGCAAAAAGGTGTCAGTTTTGTTGCCAGATAGAAGGGTAAAGAACCAATTATCATATTTTTACTGGCAAATGAGGTCCCCATAGTGTAGATGCTTGCCCCGAGCTCTCATACTCTGATGGTGCATTGTCCTTGAGTTGTGCGCCTTTTGGCGTCATCTGGTCCAACCCATATGAGACTAGGCTCGAAGGAAAGCTGTCTCGGGTGTGGACCAATCAACTTCAAGGACAGTGCACATTATCAGAGTTATGTCTTTTGTTTGTATTTATGACTGCAGGTATTGCGGTCTATGCAAACATGACTCCTTGCAAAAAGGTGTCAGTTTTGTTGCCAGATAGAAGGGTAAAGAACCAATTATCATATTTTTACTGGCAAATGAGGTCCCCATAGTGTAGATGCTTGCCCCGAGCTCTCATACTCTGATGGTGCATTGTCCTTGAGTTGTGCGCCTTTTGGCGTCATCTGGTCCAACCCATATGAGACTAGGCTCGAAGGAAAGCTGTCTCGGGTGTGGACCAATCAACTTCAAGGACAGTGCACATTATCAGAGTTATGTCTTTTGTTTGTATTTATGACTGCAGGTATTGCGGTCTATGCAAACATGACTCCTTGCAAAAAGGTGTCAGTTTTGTTGCCAGATAGAAGGGTAAAGAACCAATTATCATATTTTTACTGGCAAATGAGGTCCCCATAGTGTAGATGCTTGCCCCGAGCTCTCATACTCTGATGGTGCATTGTCCTTGAGTTGTGCGCCTTTTGGCGTCATCTGGTCCAACCCATATGAGACTAGGCTCGAAGGAAAGCTGTCTCGGGTGTGGACCAATCAACTTCAAGGACAGTGCACATTATCAGAGTTATGTCTTTTGTTTGTATTTATGACTGCAGGTATTGCGGTCTATGCAAACATGACTCCTTGCAAAAAGGTGTCAGTTTTGTTGCCAGATAGAAGGGTAAAGAACCAATTATGACATTCTGATATTTTATCTGCTCTTTACATTCGTGTAAATTAATGTGATGGAGAAATCAATCTGTTTTTCCGAAAAATAAATGTTGTTTAGTTACCTTGTATTGATGAGTAAAACTTATAATTAAGGTGGATGCTATCGGTGGCTCAGAGGTCAGAGTGCTGAGCTGGCACCAATACAGACCGCTGCTCGTGATTCAACCAGGTTCTCAAGTGCAATGAGTTCATGGTTTTGGCCCGGTCACCAGTGACTTCACAAACAACTTTCATTATACAGGTAGTCCCCGAGTTACGACGGTCTGACTTACGATATTTCGATCTTACGATGGCGATAGCGATTCGACAAAATTTGCCATCAACAACCTAACATCGTTCAAGTATGCAGACGACAGACAGAATCTTGGTGACTACAGTACAATATGATACGTTATGATACGTTCAATGCATGTATGATACGTAGCTTCAGCGATTTCATTTTAAGGTTGTCGCGATAAATTGCTCTGTTTTGCTAAATTATCACCATTCTTTAAGACTCCTGGGTAGGCTAGGTCATCTTCGACTTACGATATTTTCGACTTACGATGGGGTCGTCGTAACGCATCTCCATCGTAAGTAGAAGACTACCTGTATTTGTTTCTACATTTCGGAGAATCAAAGCTCAATTGAAGGGATGTCATTTAGTTCTACAATATCATCTTCCGTGGGGCCATTCCGTAACATGAACGGTTGTACTGCTCTGCAAGAGATACAAATGGATTATTTATCTCGTGACATGAGCACAAATCTGGATAAAATTTGTAGAGAAAAAGTTAAAAGGTGTGTTCCGTGTTTGATGGCTATCACCTGAAAGTGCTCCATTTAAAGGATCTTAACCCCCCATGGTTTCTTTAATGGGATCTTGGGAGATAATCTGTGGGATTGGGGTCACCTCATTGAGCAGCCGCTGAAGGAATTCGGCCTGACCCCGCCCTGAAGTTCCCACCTCTTCCAGGAGCTGTCTGTTCTCTGCCTACAGAAACGTCAGCAACAAAAAATGTTATGTTAATAGGTCGCATGAGGCAGTAACGGTTTTGAATAGGTAGCTGGAGTTATTGGAAAGAGTAAACTCATGAAAACAGTTTTGCCATAAAGTATCTGTGTAGAGCCTTCCGTGAACTGAACCTTATGGCGGGACCCCGGGGTCCCGAATAAACGGAAGTCAAAATCGTAATTATTTTTGACGACTCCGTCCCACCGCGCACAAAAACGCCGCGACCCATCTGGCGCGGATCATTTTGTTGTCACGTCGTCCAAGCACAGCGAGGACGAACGCACTCCATTCTCAGGTATGGGCAGGATCATAAGTCTTATCCAAAGCTTTTGTCATAACGGTATGCATAATACACTGAAACTGCTCTCTACTCTTCATTATTATTTGTGTCAACGTCAACTTACAACCCTCACTACAAAGGCAGAACCCTCACGTCACGCGATCTCCGTAACGCTATTGAGACATAGAAGTAAAGAGGACGTCATGATGAACAAGGGATTCACATTTAAATGAAATAGGTCTGTGTCACCGCGGCCTTACAAATTGCACACGAATTGATGCAATGAATATCACGTTGTGGTCTGCTTTTTGCTTGCAAGTTTCAGATTTACTGAAATACACCCGTCTTTGGACGGGCAAAAGGCTAGTAATATAATGTTTATGCGAGAGCCGGGGGCTTATGGGACCTCGGGGTCCCGCCATAAGGTTCAAATGTTCAAGGGCTAAAAAGCACAACATAAGCTTCAATACGTTGTAATATATATGAGGGTTGCTTATCCCAGCAGTAAGGTACATATTGCATTCGACTCAGTTTAACTCTATATACGCAGTGATTTAATTTTGTTTAACTTACAGACATTGTGTCTTCTTTGAGAAGAACTTTCTTCTTTTTCTTAATGTTCCTCAACTTCATATCACTGCCCACTGAGGCTTGGTCGCTCGCTGCAGTCAAAAGCAACAGAACATACAACCAGCAATCCAGAATGGATAATGAAGAAATTGCAAGTTATACATTTGGCCATACAAATGTCACCAAAGCAATTCTATAAGCACAACGGAGAGTCTGTTAATCTCACCGCTAATTCCTATACGTCTTCATTTTGAAGAAGTGACAAAGTCTTAATTATCTCGGTGACTTGTGCCATTGACAGCCCACGTGATGCGCTTCTGCGGACGTCTGGAATGCTCTTCGGATATAAGGAAACCAATTGAGCTATGCATTTTTAAAGCTAGATTGAATATTCTTTTTTTTAGAACTGCTTTTTGTTTTTAGTTTGTTCTCACTCCCACGCACCTCCGATTAGTTCAGTTCATTTATTAGGATTTACCCTGTGAGCAATTCGGCTCTTGATTTGGGTTCAACCGCAACAAACAATAAAATTACAAGATACACCTAGCACGGTTGGTTACGTACGGTGCGAAAGAAGTTTAACACACATGTGATTGTATTATTTCCAATATTTTGGCATGCACAACTCGAAGAGTAGGACCCACCCAGGCTGGCTTGACTGCCATGAAGGCTGCCCCTCCGCTCTCCCAGGCTGTGAAAAGGCTGGCTGTTTTGTGAGAGGCTGGCTGGCCTTATTGTCTCCATATTCGGCTAAGAGGAAACAGATCCACACGGATGAAGGACTGCTTTGAATCAGAGTGTAGACAACTATAGCACTTCAGTAATTATCTCGTTAAAATATGACCTCATATACAGTTTATTTTGAATGTATATTCACTGGCAAACATTCATTTGACCAATATATTTGTTTTTATGATTGTATACAAAATGTTGATTCACTCCATATTTTGGACAGGAGGCAAATTGCTGTTATTACTTGAGTTTTAAAATCAAAGTAAAAAAGTTAAATGTATGCTTTTATATCAAAGTGAGTGTGTAGACAATATTTTAAATGTCATATCCTTTACTCATACATTTAAATCATTGCACATGCTCTGTAAATTCTAGTTCACCGAGTGATTGAGCAACAAAAGTGAGTAGTGCTTACCTCATTGTCTCTTAGAACAAATTTTAGCGTCAAGTTTAATATGTCTCTCTCCTCTTGGACTGTGGCAGACATTATCTGCAGAAACACGTCGATTTTTTTAGTTTCTCCCATAGGGAGATACATAGTTGGTAGGATCATATATTATCCCTATATTTTACATCCATACATTGCCTACAAAATTATGATGAACGGCAAACAAGAACTCGGACCCTCTAGGTGTGACATGGAAACATTTTTATGAATAGAACGTGCAGTTTTAAAACATTGTAAATATTCTCATTCATGCAATAGCAGTGCTGCATATAGGTAAATGAAAAATACTTTCACAACCAATGGATTTAAGTAATGTGGTTTGTCGCAAGTTGCTTAAGTCACACCAAACTATCCTTAGGATTGGTACAATTCCGTGTTAATGGCAAAGGTTCCAACAGCCAAACTAAGGCAAATGAATCAAGTCGCGACAAAATACCCCAAGCCACGCTGTGCCGTATTGTAATACAGCGTCAAATCCTGAAGAATTGTACAAAACCAAAGTGTATTGGTTACCAGTCAATATTAGGAAATAATAACAAACTCCACATGAAGAAAATGGAATGGACATGCTGTCGTATTGATGGAAAATGTATTTTCTCACCTTGCCCATCCGCGGCTCGCCAATGAGCGCCCGGAACTCCGTTGTGTTCTGTGTGTAGCTCCTCAGGTGAGCGCACACATGGTCAATCTGCTTCCTCCAATACCCTGCACAGCCATGCAAAAAACTCGTATACGGCCGCACTTGCAAGTAGGCAAAACATTTGAAGTTGGCTAACACTTGACAGTCAGCAAAGAAAGACGAATGTGATACAATTAATAAAAGCTATCCATTCTGCAAGTGTAAATGTTAAAATCACAATGCAAATTGGACTCATAATAACAATGATGATGGCAATGATAACTTATATGACAGATGATGACCTTTGCCGGGGCTGACGGCGGTGATAGGAGGCCTGCGGTCACTCATGCGATCCTGCTGCACACGCTTGCTGGACACCTCCTGCACCTTCTGCTCCAGACCCCGACCCGAGGGGTAGAAAAGCCCCACTGTCTGCGTGGCCTGGTCGGCTGTCTGGAGGCCAAAGCTGGCACGTACCAGCGGCAGTGACACCATCTGCCAGCTCGCACGCAGAGGCTGCCGCCAAAAGCAGCACGGCACCCCCATGACAACAGCAGTGGGAGGTTTCCATGGATAAGGTAAAGGTGCAACTGCGATTGTTGTATCCACAAGCAGAAGCCCTAGAGGCCCACTAGAGTGTATGTTGGCCTACTATTCCACACTGGCCAGATTTAGTGGAAGAAGTGAGAGTAGCTATTCTCTACCCCACGATACGCCACCTGCCGATGAATTATATTTCTGCATTGACAAGAGGTGGGGGAATGTAAGATATTGGGAAGAATCAGCCAATATTTAGTTGGCAGAGAGGCAGCCGGTCAAAGGCAGAATATCAACTTCACAAGGGCTAGGAAATGGACAGCATGGATGGCTGGGGGAAGGAAGGTCAGCACAGGAGAATTAGCAATCTCCAGCTGAGTGACGGTTGACTGGAGGGCTTTGAAAGAAAGCTTTAATGATGTGACTCCAATATAATGTAGTGTATTGGGATCAGGGCCGGATTAGGGCACGGGGGCTTTAGGAGCTGCAGCCCAGGGGCCTCCGCCAGCTGGAAGGCCTCCAGAGATGAAGTGAAAAGTTATTTCATTTGTGAATGCAGAATTTTATTTGTTGTTAGCCTTGTAAAAATGTATTTAAATTTTCTTTAACTTTGTTTTCCTTTTGAAAATATTACTGGGGGCCTCACAGTACCTGTAGCCCAGGGGCCTACACAATTTTAATCTGGCCCTGATTGGGATGTAGAGATCTAGACACTGAAATTTCCAAGTTTTTTTTTTTTTTACAAAATCAGAGCTTGTGTTACAATTGTTGCATCATATGCACGTTAAAATATTTCCAAATGTTTAATTGGTAGTAAATTAAAGTATTTAAAAGTAGCCTCTTAAAGATTATAGCCAAATATATTGGTGCCAAGAAATGATGAGTGCGCGGGACACAGATGGAATATTTACGGCAATGTATACCTCATTCAAAAAACCACCATGTCTTGATGTCACAGCATCCAAGCGGGCCGGTGGATCCAGGTAGGTACCACACGTACCACAGAATCGTGCCTCCGAGTGGCTGGTAGCTCCACACTTTGTGCAAGCTAAGTAACTCACTGGTGGGCTTGGCTAGAAATACACATACACAGACCATGCCAGACACCCACATTTATTCTGGCAAGAGATGGAGTAAATGGGAGCTGTATATTTTTTGTATCAATAATGAGTCAAACAAACACATCAGCTCGCCGATGTAAGCATCAGCTTTCCGATGTGTTTTTGGCTTGTACCATGGCTTGTTCAGTGTGATGTCCGATGTTTCGTTCCATGTACTGGGAGTGTCTTAAAGAGCAAAAACGTCAGACATGCCCAGCAATATGCGGTACAACCCAAAAAGAACATTGGAGAGCTGTATAGCACAACCGCAGAAATCTGTGGAACAAATGAATCGGGTTAATGCAATAGTAACCTATTTGCTACACATTCATAAATATGTTGGTCAATGACAGTAAAGCATTACCTTGGCCCCACACCAGTCACAGAAGCGTGCATCCGAGTTATTTAAACGCCCACACTTGGAGCAGTTCAGCAACCTCTTGTCAGTGGTCTGTGGGGGTGGTGCCACACTAATGGTGCTGAAAGCCTAAGACACAACACAGGTCATTTGTTTAATGAGTAGAGCAAACAATGACTGATCTTTTAAGTAATAATGACTGGCAAGCTACAGAATAAATATAAAATGCACATTGTGATTTTACATTCTGAAGTCAAAGTATTCAGAGCGCAATCCGATGTGCGTATGAGTGGTGCTACCATGGGAGTCTCCGGAAGCCGGGTCTCACAGGTCACACAGTGCTTGACGTTGGCTGGGTTTCCAGTCCCACAGGCCTTGCATAAGAAAATATCCTAGCACGTGGACAGAAACCAGGTATATATGAGCTCTTAACCTCTTAATTTTCCATTGTGTCAATATACTATTGTAATCCCTTGAAGCCGACTTACAACTTTTATTAATTTCATTAATATGCACACATGTACAGCTCTTTGCCAAGACACTGCTGGATGAGGGCCTCCTCACACCGTGTGGGTCGTGGGGGTAGTTTCACTATACTCCAACACACTGTTCAGTGCAGGTGGATGAAGTACTAGCCAAGCTCAAACCTGCTTAGCTTCTGAGATCTTAATGATCGAATGCATTACTGTTGTTTTGGTCATAGTATACACTTTCATTTCAAGAAAGCCAAAAGAGCCCACTGTTTGGCAGTTGCTATGGTCATGTAATAATGGCATATCAACTCAATGTGAATAAGGTCCTGTGCTGCTTTATTATGTCATGATTTATAACTTAGCAGATGAGCATTAGATGGCTACATATCTATTTGCAAAAAACAGTTGGCAAGCAGGACCTCTCCATAATGCAGGGTTTTTTTTTGGGTTAGATCGCGTAAATATAAATATGTCGTAAACAGATCATGCTAATTCGTTCCTAGTTCAGCACACCGGTGTGTTGGAGAGCAAATCCACAATATTTACAATCTGACGTCTAGTCTGCACAACGTACACCCAACCCTACCGTGGCTACATGTTTGTGCATCAACAGACCTTGCTCGCTTGTGGCGGAGTCTTGCCAGGTATTGGCACCTCACACACAATGCAATTGGGTGTGTTCGTCGGCACCATTGACTTGCACGAGAGGCACAGGATCATCTATTGATACATACACATAGTGTTACGTCCAAGGGTCAAACAGAGATGGTGGCACAACTCTAAATCCATTTTCTCACCGACAAAACATGTAAGCAGATTTGGATGTATTATTTCCACGCTCGTTAGCCGATAAAAGATCGGTAGCATCATGAGCTGAGGTGTTTATCTCTCAGGGGCCTCACTGTTTCTGCCTTAGGAGGCGGCTGGGATGGCCCTGGTACTGGTGGCAGAGTGCAGCCACACTCCTGACAGAAAAGAGCAAACGGGTCCGAGGGTCGGGCGGCCAGGCATTTTGGACACCTGGGGAAAATGGGACAGCAATCTTAGTAACTGATGAGTTAATATCAAAGTCATCAAAGGCATTTATTATCAAAGGCATATATTGAAAGTGTTTAAAAATACCTCAACGAGTATTGTAAATTATCACAAAAGGTGTGGTCATGAGTAATACGCACAAGACAGTGTGTAGGCAAAATTAAGATTATATCTACTTATACATGCCACTTACTGTGAAAAATGATATCACTTTTTGGATATATGAAGACATGAAAAGAAAAGGAATAGCAAAAAGAAATGACAGAAAGTTAAAATATTTAAGGAAAGGAGCAAATCAAGACGACAAAGAATGCAATTTGAAAAAAAAAATGTAAGGTAACATTTATGCATTTCTGTTTAGATATTTCAACAGCATTGCTCATATGTTGGTGGACACAAGTCATTACTTGAGATATTCCAGTTCCTTTTGGAGCCGCAGTGTCTGGGAACTAACGAGAGTCTTGGTGGGGCTGGTCGCATCCGACAACAGAGACTAAAGGCAATGAGACAACAATGTAAACATTACTATTTGCTCAATCACTGTACTTATGCTTCATGCAATGATAAGATCATGTGTACACAAGAATTGGACTGAAAGCAAGCTTGTATCACTGTGTGGGTCCAAGATAATACATTTTAGTGAGGGAGGTGGCGGGTTAATGACTGCAACACCTGTGAACTGTGGGAGAACGGCAAGCCAGAGTCTCGGCCTGGGCTGATGGGTCCACCTTCCATGATGCGCTTGCCTGTTCTAGGCCTTTGTCGACGGCTACCGTCAAGCGTCATCTCTGTAAATATAAACATGTATGTATGTTGAACTTATTTTGCACCATACGTAGCCAACCGTGCTAACCGGAGGTGTGGGGCGAAGGACAACAAACTAAAAACAATAAGTAGTTCTAAAGAAATTAGTTTTCAAACTAAATTAAAAAGTGCATAGCTCCAGTGGCTTCCTAATATTGGAAGAGCGATGGCCGCAGAAGCGCATCTTATAGCGCGCTATGCAATGGCCGTCTTTACATAATTGAGTTACTTGCAGCATTTGGCATTGTTTATTACATAAAAGTGTGTGGTCTATTCACAGCTAAAAACAAACCTTTCATTTTCTGGGTCGTGTCTCCCCAAGCTGATTTTTGTTCTTGGTTCACAACTTTGTTGATGACGTCAGTTGTTGTCTTGAATCCTTCCAATGTTTCCTAAGGAATATTGAGGAGTTACTTTTTTACTGCATTAAAAAAATTAAGGCAATGGATTTTCCCATGAGGAGGTCATGGTGAAACGAATCAAGTGTGTACATGCTTAATGACTTGTTATGCTTATTTACCCAGGGAAGCCTCATAGAATCTCAAGACTTTTTTGCAGGAGAATCCTGCCAAGTTTCTGCAGTCGGGGGTAATGTTGCCATGTGTAAACCTAATTGAGTAATTTGCAGCAATTTTTTCCATTGGGATGTTTGGCCAATACAGTTACATTGATGTGTTTATTTAGCCGTGTGGAAAACAAAGGGGTAATTCCTGACTCCAGAATTAAGCCCAGGTCCTTTTTTGCTGTGAGGCACAAATGTCACCACAACACCATCCTGGTTCCCTCTGGTTCTACAGATGAGTGAATGAAAGCGTGCAAGGTCTAATCACGAAGCATCAAACGCACAGTCTTGCCCAAATCCGCCTGGTATTCCAGCAGGAAGTTCTCCGCATTGTCTTCTGGGCCAGCGAGATGCTGTGGAGCGGCATACTCCACCAGGAACACCTTCGTCACCACGCCGCTCTCGCGCCCATCCCTGGCAATCGCGCAAAGCAAAGTAAAAATGAAACTCCTTCCTTACAGCGGAGCGACCGTTTGCAGATTTCGTACGGCAGCTCTGTATGGATTCATTCCGCAAGCAATTTATATGCCAAGTTCTTCCTATTAACATAACTTTTGAATGCTTGGTGTTTAAAAAAAGGCAATATAAAAGAGTGTTTTCGAAATGCGAATCACACATTTTGCCAATATAAAGACATATGCTTCAAAGCAGTGTTAATGATTAAAGAATAAATGTACCCTCTGTGGTATACAAATAAAATTCACCACAGTTTGTATTTATCGAATGTCTCAACGCAACCACATCTCAAGAAGCTGTGAGTCGACAGTACCTGGTGACCGCCATAGCTTTGACGGTTCTCTTGCCCTCGTTGAGGGTGAATGGTCCTTTATATTTCATGGCGTTCATCTCATTGTGCCCTGGCTTCTTGAGTAGCTCTGGCTTGCTCCCATCCACTGAGAAGTAGATAAGTACCTCCGGCGTGTCTATAAAGAAAGTGTCGCATGTGCCACTTAACGATTGGAAAAGCACCGAGAAAATGTGCGGAACACTATTAAAAGTATGTAACATCAACATTTGGCACACGATCTTAAAAGTGCTGATGGCAGTCATTATAACAACCAATGGATATTAACTCAACAAAATCATATAAGAGCTTAATAAAGAAGGTTGCGAGTGGGGCTCAAGATAAACATTAGTAAATCAAAGTCACGTCCAACAGATTTGGTGATAATATAAATAAATTTAACACGTAGGCTTTCGCGACCAATATTATTCATAATATAGGTTTTTGGGTCAGATAAATAACGCGATCTGACCCAAAAACCTACATTATGAATAGAAATAAAATTGAATATGTCTTAGAGGGACACAAATGGAAATGACATCACAGTATGTAAATTACTTATGAAGGCAAACTGGAATATAAAAGGTTAAAATAAGTGGCAAGCTTTTGAAAAATGTAACTTAATATTGTAAAGCAATATACCAATGTGTCCAATAAGAGTCATTTAGGAAAAGGTTCTGCGATTGATTCTGAAAAAGACGAATAGGGATATCAACTACCACAATGCCTAGCCTTTGGCATTTTACTCAGTAGAAATTGACGCAGTAACCAAATATCTCAAAAACTGTGGGACTTTTCTTCACCTGAGGACGGCTGTTTGCATTGTGGCCGAAACGTCGTGAGAATTGAATTTGATTATGTTTTATTTTTATTATTTTATTATTTCCCTTCTACGTGACTTTACCGAAAGAACCAAGAAGAGAAAAAAACTGTGGGACTACAATAAATTGATGCAATTATGCGATGGCATGGAACACCATGAGGTCACAATTGGAAGACGGTGCGATTTTCACCAGACTTGATGGCGATGTAGGTGTTGGAGTCAATAAAGGCCTTGGGTTTGTCCGGCCCAGGAAACCTCAAGGGGATGATGTGGGGCACGGAGATGGAGCCTGCCGTCATGATGGCGATCTACACACAACAGCTCACAGTCATAACAATGCATAACAACAGCACTCTGAAACAACATCAGCCATGATCAATCCACCGCTGGATGAAGACGTCCACAAGCTGTCAACATCTATAACGGTCTTGCAATCAAACAATCCATTGACCACCTTACACGTACGCCGATTTCATCGCTCCATCTCTGCGATCTGCCTACCTTTGTTAGTTTTCAAGGGCCGGCGCTGGAGTTGCAACGTCAATGCTATGGGGTGTTTTAATAGAATACTGTAATGTATATAGTTTACAATAATAGTCCATTGTGTGCCGCAATTGCCATAGCTCTGAAATGTAACGGGATTGCATAGATGGGAAGAAAAAGACGTCTCTGGACGATTTTAGAGCTTTCAAAATGTGTGAAACATGCCAGAGGGTTTAGGCAGATGCAAAAAGCACGTTTCGATTGAGACGATTATCGAAGACCGCACATACTTTAATTGCACATCGTTCCACAAATGTCATCCTTTCACGTAAGTGCTTAAAAGAGCGTTGCGAATGTTCACAATTAAGAACGATGTTATTTCAACCGCACGTTATTAATATATTTATCAAATCGCCGATAGATAAAACGCCTCCGCACGCCGTCTTGTTCAACCAAGGGGGTTCGTTTAGTCGTACTCCACCGTTTTGGTGAACGGTAGTCGGCTAAATAGAGCAGACAATTAGCAGCGCGGTGGTCACGGCTAACATCAGTGGCGAGTTGTAGCAGAATCGACCGATCCGCGCAGACCAGCGTGGTGAAGTATGGTCAAAACTGGGCGACGCGGCGTGTGAGAGGACTCGACCCGGCAGTGGAATGACGAGCCGTGTTGCAGTCACTTCACATGCAATTGGCGATGAGCTAAATGCTCTAAATTATCTCTAAATGTTCTAAATGTTTGTAATTACCGCTGCCGTCGATCAAGGCGAAGAGGTCTGGGCGCCGTTGCCAGGACGCCTGGCGAACGCCCCCACGTGGCAGCGGTGACGCGCGCTCCTATTGGCTGTTGCCCCTCCCCCCCCCACACAGGGGGAGGCGCACGAGTATACCGCGTTCTCATTGGCTGAGCGCGATTCCTTAACGATGTCGTTAAGGAATCGATTCGTATACTAGAATCCGTAACGAGCGCGGAGATGAGCTAATGTGTGCATAGAAACTGGAATCGATTTGTCGATTAACGAGCGCGTAGATTCTTACTCGACCCTGTGCATGTCCAATCACTATGCACTCCTATGGTGTTTTTTTTTAAAACATTGTTTTCGTTGTAACTGTCTGACCCGCACCTACTGGACATCTGTGACAAAAATAGCTTCATAGCTCATCGGATTTCTGCAAGGGTAAAATAAATGAAAGTTCTGATTCTTCAAATTTCTCCCTACGCAACATGGCTACCTCGCCGCCGCCATCCCCACCCAGCATGGCTACCCCCACCCCCGCCATCCCCACCCAACATGGCTACCCCCCTTGCCATCCCCACCCAACATGGCTACCTCCCACCCAACATGGCTACCCCCCCCCCGCCATCTCCACCCAACATGGCTACCCCCCACCCAACATGGCTACCCCCCCGCCATCCCCACCCAACATGGCTACCCCCCTCCCGCCATCCCCACCCAACATGGCTACCCCCCACCCAACATGGCTACCCCCCCCCCCCGCCATCTCCACCCAACATGGCTACCCCCCACCCAACTTGGCTACCCCCCCGCCATCCCCACCCAACATGGCTACCCCCCTCCCGCCATCCCCACCCAACATGGCTACCCCCCACCCAACATGGCTACCCCCCCCCGCCATCTCCACCCAACATGGCTACCCCCCACCCAACATGGCTACCCCACCCCCGCCATCCCCACCCAACATGGCTACCCCCCCCCCCCCCGCCATCCCCACGCAACATGACCGCCCGAATGATCCCCTCGCAGAAACCGGTGACGTCCTCAAACGCGACTCTAATCTCTTGTTAAGGGGCGTTTCTATTGGCCGGTTACCAATAAAGATCTACAATCGGTGGTGGTTGGAGGGGGGTTGGTGAAAGGGGTGGGGGTTGGTGGGGTGGGAGGTGGGGTTAGTGGGAGGGGTTGGTGGGGGGTGTTGGTGGGGGGGGGTTGGTGGGGGGGGTTGGTGGGAGGGGTGGGGGTTGGTGGGGGGGGGTTGGTGGGAGGGGTGGGGGTTGGTGGGGGGGGTGGGAGGTGGGGGGGGTGGGAGGGGTTGGTGGGGGGTGTTGGTGGGGGGGGTTGGTGGGAGGGGGGGGTTGGTGGGAGGGGGGGGTTGGTGGGAGGGGGGGGTTGGTGGGAGGGGGGGGTTGGTGGGAGGGGGGGTTGGTGGGGGGGGTTGGTGGGAGGGGTTGGTGGGGGGGGTTGGTGGGAGGGGTTGGTGGGGGGGGTTGCTGGGAGGGGGGGGTTGCTGGGGGGGGGGGCGGTACCAATAAAGTTATACAGGAGGCGAGCCAATGGGGTGAGAGGTTGTTGGCGGAAGGCGGTAGGCGAAGTTGTCGACATGCAAACATAAACCCCGTGCTGCTACGCTCCTGCTTGGGATTGTACCTCACCTATTCTATTCTTTATTATTATTGTTGTTGTCATTCGCGACGACAACAACCTCTGCTCTATTCGGTGTTTGTTCTTTTTAATCGTGAGTATTGTGTCCTCGTCCTGCCGTGTCGAGGAGGCGTGTTTGTGTGTGAATGGTGGCGAGCGGGCGGGCGGCTAAACGCAATGAATGCTGCGTTAGGCCTCGGCCAACATGTTAGCGTTTAGAATTGTCTTTGCAACTTCGCTCTTACTTGCGGTAAACATGATTGTACCCGCGCAGAAGGAATGAAGCTATGGTGAGGTGCAGTGATTAATTTGTGTAGCCCATTTATCAATCCGCTGCTGGATGAAGGCCTCCGCACGCCGTCCGTAGATGTGGACACTTAGAAGTGCAGTACAACATTTACGTTTGGTGCATCGCCCTCTGCTGGCCACTGTATGACAGCCTATAGCGAATCCTGGGTGATTTGTCATAGGACCAGAAGCTGTTTCCACCTTTGTCTAAATGCTGTACTCGAATGCAACATACATTATGCGTTAATTGTACATTACTATTTGAATTACATTCAAATGGATGGACTTACACCAACGATCATATCAATTTATTGCATTATTGATGGTCTGGCTGTGATGAAAGTGACACGCATTTGGGCACTTAAGCAGAGTGCGAAGTAATTTGACGAAACATTTTCACGTATTTGTATGAATGTTATAAACAAACTAGCATCGAGGGGGAGACCCTCATTCCAATAGAGGTGTAAGCAATTGCAGGGCCGCACCTTTGCCTTGCCTTTATCTTATGAAACATAGTCGTATTTTGCCAATATTTTTAAACATGCACACTAATTTACACCGACCATTGATTTAAAATCGTACGTGTTTTTAAATCCTTTATATTAAGTTCGCTTGCTTGCTTAGGACCGTGCAAATCTTTCGGTCGTTTTTTAACCCACTTCCCGTGATCCAATCGAGCTGACATTATGCACACAGACTCGTTGTGCGTGACAATGCATTTTCGTGAAAAAAATTCAAAAATGTTACACTGTTTAGGGAATTTTTTTAAAATATTTAATTACCAATTGTTTAATGCTGCCAGACAATCTTCTGACCCATAGGTGGCAGCCATCTCAAGCCAGAGGACGAGAGGACTCTAGCCGCCACGCATATAAAGGATTTATAGTGAAAAACTTTGTTTTTACGGGTTATACTTGTTTCTGTCTTTCTTGTCAACAGGAAGCAAGTACAACCCACCAACAATCCCGTGAAAACTGCCTTCAAATCCCTGCGAAGGATGCAGCCTCAGTCGGAGCACATGAACACGGTGGAGCTCCGCTACGTGGACTACCCGACGGCACTGTTGCTGCGGATGAACGAGCTGCGGATCGCCGGTCACTTCTGCGACGTGACGGTGGAGGTGGACGGTGTCCACTACCGGGCACACCGCTCAGTGCTGGCCGGTGCCAGCAGGCTCTTCGAAAACCTCTTCACGCAGCACCAGAGCCAACCAATGAAGCTCTACCGCCTGGACTTCCTCACGGCGCGAGCCTTCGGGCTTGTGCTCGAGTTCCTATACACCGCCTCGCTCAAGGTTGGTTGTTCGGTTCAGTTTCGTGAGGATCCGTGACGGGGTGGTTTCTTTTTTGTGTGTGTTAAACTAGTATTGGAACGATGGCCACGAGTGGGCGAAAATCGCTAAGCATGATGATGGTGACTACGCACCAAATGCTGAAGTGTAAAGACTATGGCAAGATGAAATTGACTAGTTTGAGTGATGACGCAGGATAAGGTCATTTAGTAACATTAAAACTCGAGTGCAATGACGAAAATAAAAAAATACCATTGACTCTTTATCTATGTCAGAAGATTGAACCATTTCATCGATTGGCCGACATAATATTGAGGAGCAGAAATTGCACGCCATTCACACCAACATTCAATAGTTAAGAGTGGACTACATATACAGGAAAACCTTGGATTGCGAGCATAATTCGTTCCGGAAACGTGTTTGTAATCCAAAGCACTCGTATATCAAAGCACTCGTACTGTATATCAATTGTGATCACGTGACGCTCGGCAGACAAAGCGTACACGTACTACTCGTATTGCAAGACCTCGCTCGTTTATCAAGTTAAAATGTATAAAAAAAATTGCTCGTCTTGCAAAACACTCGCAGACCAAGTTACTCGCAATCCAAGGTTTTACTGTAACTGCTTTAATCGACTAGACTATGAGAATGACTAATTATTAATAAATGAAATCAACACGCTAAGAGTTGACTAAAATTCCACAGGTTGTCGTTGACTCGCATATAACTGACTAAAACAAACAATGCTGACTAAATGAACGCTGCTCAAGGTGGATGTGGGCGACCTGGAGGTGCTGCGATCGGCCGCGCAGATCCTCCAGCTGGGACCGCTCGAGCAGGTGTGCGGGCTGGTGCTGCAGCAGGGTGTGGTAACTGCCGTGACGAGCTCCTCCGCCGCCGTGTCTGCCATGTCGGGGCTCACCGTGAGTCAGGTGGTGGAGGGAGACGAGCTCATGTCGCAGCAGATCGACGGCGAGGGCCAGGACATCGGCGATGGAGGGTTCTGTGAGCCGTACACGGTTGAGACGACCGCTGGCTTTGATGTGCAGGTGTCGACGCAGGACGCGGTGAACCAGTCGCTCTCAGACATTGAAAAGCACCTCGTGTCCATTGCCGAGGGCCGGGACATAACACTGGAAGTCCCTCAGGAGCAGTCGGATGAGAGTGTCTGCAAGGTTTTTAGCGATGCTTCTGAGCATCAGCAGCAACAGGAGCAGCAAGAAATTATGGACATGCTGGGTCAGCAGAGCAAGGAGCTGCAGCTTGAGACTGAAATGGCCCAGCCTAGTGGAGAAGTGGTGGTGCTTCCTGTGAATGATTTTGATGAGATTTCTCAGGCCACTGCTGAAGTGGCTGCCAATGGGCAAACCCAGGAAGTGATGAGCACTGATTGTCAGTTGGTCACCCATTCAATGCAAGTGGAGACCCCCAGCACGTCCCAGCCACCACCCATGTCACGGTGCTTCGTGTGTGGCCTCAATGTGTCCAACTCCACAGACCTCGGAGCACACTTGTAAGTTAGCTTCATGCATGTACTTTTACTACATTACGTTGCATAAAGTCATGCCTGAAAGACCAATATAAAATGTTGTAATTTGAATTATTTTGGTTCCTTGCAGATGGAAGGAACACTTGCTGTTCAATGAAGGCGAATGTAAAATTTGTGGAAAGGTTGTTAATTCAAAAATTGCAGCACAGAAGCATCTTCTCTACCATGCAGGTACAGTTTTAAGTAATGTGGATAAACAGCAATGTTTGTGATAATAATAGGAGTATATATTATATTAACTTCGTTTCTTCTCGGTGCAGTTTAAGACTTTTTTTGTGGTACAAATATGGTTTGGTGGTAATGAAAACGTTGACAAATTTCACTGTCGTGTGACCCTGAAGGAGAGCGGAAGCTGGAGTGTGCCACGTGTGGGGAGGGCTTTGCCTTCAAGCAGGACCTGTTGCTGCATAAACGCAAAGTGCACGGACGTGGGAAGTCCTACATGTGTGACGAGTGCGGCCGGGTCTTTCGTTGTAACGGGAACTTCATCCGCCATCTCCGTGTTGTACACAAAGGTAAGACCAATGCCACTAGCAGCACTTAGAGCTAGGTTTGTTTGGGCTGTATGGTTTGAAAGCACAAGGTAAAAAAGCAAGTTTTGTTTAATTTTGGCTGATTCAATATTGCATTAATGACAAATGGGAATTTATATTTGAATGTTAATCGGTGAATGACACATTTTTAAGATTGTTCAATGAGAGTAATTTGAAATCATGTGCATCGCTAGAGCACGCAATTATGTAATTAATATATATTGAAAAAAGGTTGCAGTCATGTCACACATTTCTGTGTTTTAATTAACCAAGTTTCCAACTTGTGTGAAACAATCTGAGACATAGAGCTGCATTTTCTTCAAGATAAAATACATCAATTTTTTTCTTTAAGCGTTGTCTTTCATTAATCTCCAAAGTGCTTGTGATGTGGCCGATTGTCGCTGGCAGGTCAAAGGCCACATGTATGCGAGTACTGTGGCCAGTGCTTTGCGGACGTGGGCAACCTGACACGACACCTGCGCCGCCACCTTGGTGTGGCCACCTTTCAGTGCAGCAAGTGCGAGGAGAAATGTGAAACCTTGACTCAACTCAAACTGCACCTTCGGACTCACATAGGTGCGTCCCAGATATACTGCGCAAATTAAGATAACTCAATGTTCATAGCTGTTAAATGTGATTTCAACTTTGCAATGAGATGCGACTAATAGTATTTTTTTTTCATCATTCATTTTATTGTCTTGTAAACATTAGAATTACACTGATTTCTGTGTGTATGTAAATTAATGACATTTACTTCATCTGCTACAGGTGTGAAACCTTTCGAATGCAAGATTTGCCAAAAGCGTTGCCGCAGCTTTTCCTCCATACGTGCACACATCGCAAAACACAATGGGTGCCAGGCCTTCAAGTGCACTCTCTGCGAGTTTGTTACACCGGCCCGTCGCAAGATGGAACAGCACATGAAAAGCCACAAGCCAGACGATGTCCCGGCCGACTGGGCGGTGGAGCAGACCACGATGTTTATTAATCACGAACCACCCAAGCCCCAGGAAGGTGGCGCAACATAGTTGTGCCATCAACATTTCAGAATATGGCAGCTGAAATTCTCGTCTGCAGCATCACAGATATGCAATTTTTTCATGTTTATGTTAATCTTGCATTACTTTTTCCTTGCTATAATTAATAAATTGAGAGCTGACGATGCTAATGAGGATTGTCGTAATTATGAATACCAAAAAGATGTATTTGGCTAATTCGGTGTGACTCATGGGTTTATGGGTTAAATTAATTTTGATTGGGGAAAAATGTTAAATACAAACAGTATATAAAAGACTACTCTGTTCAAGTACATTTGTAATCAAGCAAGGTTTGATCTGAATTGTGTATAATTTTCCTAAAGTACCAGAGATCTGAATGATGTATACAGTTTAAATATGCCATTATATATATTTTCACTGAGTTTATTTTTTTGGGTTTAATAAAAAGTGGTTATTTTTGTTTGAATTGTTATTATACAAGTGATTTAAAACATAAAATGACAAGTCACTTAAACTTGTAACTAGAGTGTTGTGTCAAAATTTAAGATGATACTTTTAAAATGTGCATGTTACTATGACCAGATTATTTAATAGTGAACTGTCAAACGTTATCCTTTGTTTAGAGTGCTTAATAGTTGTAATGGTAGTGACATCCACAAAAGGTGCACTTACATATTAATTTCATATTATAGCATCATGGCAAAAGTTACTGCCTTATTGCACTGATGGATATGGAAGCAATGACTTAACATTTCACAATACGCATTAGAGATGCTATTAGCATTATTTTTCCGTTTATTAAATAACTAAATTACATAATGCAACTCGTGAAGTTACATTAATCATTACTAATTATTTTTGTCGAAACATTTTCTGAAATGCAATTTTTTCGTGACCAATACAGAACTTATGATAAATTACCTTGCAATATTCAACGCCACTTGAACATTTTTAAAATACGCACCATGTTAGAACACTGGAATATGAACATCTCAGAATGTTAATGGGGTATATGTTATAGACCCATCTAAATTGGGACGAGAGACGTGGGATTCTTGGTGGTGCCTGGTCCATATAGCCTGTGGAATATTGTAATAGATGTACAGGCACGTAGAACTTCTTTCGCACCTTACGCAATCAACCGTGCTAATCTGCGGTTCTGTGGAAAGACGACAAACAACGCACACAAAACGCAGTTCTGGAGGTGGTAGTCGGTGGTGTTTGGATGGTTTTTGTTGACGTGGTGTGTAATGTTTTGAAAGAGATGGGTGGGGGCACCCCCTTCCCTGTCACTGCTCAGCCAATGGTGGCTGGGTTTGTATTCTGGGCCAGCCTCGTTCCAAAGTTTGTTGTCAGATTCGGAGGCTAAAAAACCTCCAGACAGATGGAGAAACGTGAATTGGAGCTTTAATTACACGCACACAGCCGTCCATGAGAGAGAAATCGTCCACCTCAATTTAGGCACACGCGCTGTTCCCAACTTATATCGATCTTTCCCAATGTACCATTCGTACACAATATCAATTGATGCCATTCTGCATGTGAAAAATCTTGTTTCTCGATTTAAGCAAGAGCTTGGCTGAGACAATCACACTACATCCGTTTCACGCATACGTATTTTTAGAACGCAAGTCCACTTGTCAAGCACGTACATCTACCAAATTTTTGTTTTGTTTTTACAGTTTTACCAAAAAATAACATGTCGAGGTGAAACCTCTGCTTTGGCAAGAGAGCTGTAGCACATTGCCCTTCCCTCCCCGAGGCTCAGTTCCTCCCAATCGCGAATCCGCACTCCCCCTCGCCATTTAGAGACCTCCTCCAGCCACCCCCCAGAGTGGCCGCTTCTTTGTTTTCGTCTCTTTACCAGCAGCCAGCAAGCAAGCAAGCAACCGAAAGCCATAAAACCCAGAAAAGAAACACGACAACAACAAAAAACACGTGCAATTTGTTTGATTTCTCTCCACGACTCGACCCGAACCACTCGAAATTCAATTTCCATTTAATTTCGGGGCAATCTCTCCCGTGTTTAGACTTTTTTATATGCCCCCTCCACCCCACGCAGCCTCTTAAATATCGCCTGCTTCTCGCCGTTGTCTCTCTCGCGTGTGTCGTGTCTTCGTGTCGCCTCTCGCCCTCCTCTTCTCCTCTTCTCCTCCTCTCCTCGTACTCACCTCAACGACGCCGATGGGCGATAGGATGTCGAGCCGGGACCTGGAGCGGGAGGCAAGCCACGCCGGTAGCTGGTACTCGGCCTCGGGTGAGTTCAGTCGGACAACCTCCTCTTCTACACACACAAACCTACACCTCGTCGAGATTCTCATCTTGTAGCGAGAAATCGCCTGCTGGCTTGGAGACGACGAGGTCTGGGCTGACAGCGGCGGGTAGCAAACGTCGAGGTTTTCGTAGAAACGCCGGGCGGGTGTCACCGCGCTCGCCTGCTCGCTCAACCGCTTTGCCCGCGGGGATCGCGGCTGAAAGCCTGCGGCCTTGTGCCGGCCACGTACCTCCCCGGCAATTTACATTCGGCACGAAATCCCGACGAGCTATTTCACAATCGCCGCTTTGAGAAGGAATAAATGATTTTGTCACTTGGGGTATTGCTCATAATGGGGGTTATAACGTGCCTTCTGATCCAATGGTTTGAATTCTATGTTCTAATCGTGAGGATTAGTCGGTCTATTAGACGGTGTTTTAAGCTGCATTTAAGCAGGAGTCACTCAATACAGAGCCTGGTTTTGTTGTTGACGTTAAAAATAAAAGTGCGTTATGTGGAGGCCCATGTGTTGTTACTCGGGGCAGTATTGGGGCAAATTGTGCAACACTTTAATTAAGGGAACGTAGCAAAGTTAAGAGGATAATTAAAGGTTGATTGGTCACACAGAGAGGCCGCAACATGGAACGCTTTCGAGAGGGCTTGTTGGTGATGCGGAGTGATTAAATCGACGCTAGAGGCATTGCAGGATCGTGAGGTTTGGTGATGGCTTAGGGAGAGGGTGGGGGGCGTCCTCCAGCAGTGGAGTGATCATGGTTGACGATGATGGTGATGAGACATTTGGGACTCATCAGCCACTAACAACAACAAATGAGTGGTGATGAAGGCCGAGGTGGTTGGGGGGGGGGTTGACTTCTGTTGACTAAATCTGACGCGAACAGCCAAAGTGGGACTGATCGAACTTAAATCGTGGTCAAAGGGAAATAGGTTGGGTAAGTTGACCGCTCTGCGAAAACAAAACAAAGCGTCGCTCGCTTTCCCTCCCCATTGTTAATCATCCACCGCACGGAGTTGCTGTGTGTGTGTGTGAACACCCGAACGGCGTTGCGTTTGTTGGCGTCATCGCAGTTGCTGAATGCCCGTGCGCCATCTTACGTCGGTGTGCCCCATATAGCAACCCCCCCTTAGTAAGATGGCCGGCCCTAGTAAACCGCGTCATGTGTAGCCTCGAACCAACTCCCTGAGTAAGATGGCCGACCCTGGTTATCCGCGTCACGTGTAGACTCGAACCAACTCCCTGAGTAAGATGGCCGGCCCTGGTGAACCGCGTCACGTGTAGCCTCGAACTAACTCCCTTAGTAAGATGGCCGGCCCTGGTAAATAGCGTCTCTTGCGGTGTAGCCACGAACTACCCTGATAATTTTTCGATTTACCCTGAGAAATTTATTTTATTTTTCTACCTACGTGACTTTACCGAAAGAACCAAAAAGTATGGATTCCAGCAGTCACGAAAGCTTCAAATCAAGATTCACCCTGAGTAAGATGGCCGCATCTGCTGTGGTGAACGCCTTGCGATTGGCTTGCAACACCGCGCGATAACGCTTCCTGATTGGACGACGTTTCTTACCCAATCGGGAGTCGCAAAATATGGAGAGGGGAAAAAAAGTAGTTCCGAAACCAGACGTCGTTCGTAGGAGCGTATAAATAGAACGCCGCGACGACAGAGACGGGCGTATTGTGTGCGCAGTATTCCGGGGAAAGTTTATGAATGGAATCAATCGGTTTGGCGGGGGTGAAAACAGGATTTTGTAAGCGGGCGGTGAACAGGTCGCGCACTGCTTTGCTGCAAGGAGCCTCAGAGACAGCGCTGGGTCAATGGGCGAGCTGCTCGTGGCCAACGTCATCGGTCTGACCACGCCCCCCCCCTCGACCTCCCCACCCCCCTTAACCTCCCCCACCCCCTTCAATATCCCCACCCCCCTCAATCTCCCCACCCCTTCGACCCCCCCACCCCCTTCGACCCCTCCCACTCCCTAAGACCCCTCAACCTCCCCCCACCCCCCTCAACCCCCCTTAACCCCCCCACCCCCCTCAACCCCCCCCACCTCCCTCAACCTCCCCACCCCCTTCAATCTCTCCACCCCCCTCAACCCCCCTACCCCCCTCAACCCCCCCCACCTTCCTCAACCTCCCCACCCCCTTCAATCTCTCCACCCCCCTCAACCCCCCTACCCCCCTCAACCCCCCCACCCACCTCAACCTCCCCACCCCCTTCAATCTCTCCACCCCCCTCAACCCCTCCACCCCCCCTCAACCCCGCCCCCACCCCCCAAGTTCAATGAAGCCCTTAGTGGCCACTGGCTCGCAATGCACTGCGAGATGACAATAGGGCAATTTAGCCCGGCTTGAGGCATTCCAGTTAGACATGCGTGATCCAGGCATGACACGTGATAATTATTCAGGAATGAGGCTTGTGTTTATAGCCAGGCATGAGACTTGATAATTAGCCAGGCATGTGGCTTGAAACTTGTGCATCCAGACACCTGGCTTTCTATTAAGAAATTGATATGTGTTGACACTTAGGCAGACATCCAGACAGACAGGTGTTCCATTGGGTGGCCTATTATGCAGGAATGTGTGTGTGGGAAGCTATGGCATGCTGCACGAGTCAAGCTACGGTTCCTGAATGGGACGTTTCACATGTTATCAACATTCCTCATACACAGCAAAACATATATTTTTTTAATGTGACTTTTCATATTCTTGTTGGTATCGAAGACAACCCATTGGTTGCAAATCCACTTACAGAAACATGTTTTTATATATTTGAACAATACATTTTAGCTTAGATGAGTAAATAAATATTCGATTCCCAATTAAACATTTTTTGTCTTATACCATAATTTTAGCACAAAAATAGTGTTTTTTTTATTGCTAATGCTTTTCTATAAATAATAGGCAGTGTATCACCTTTGGAGCTTATTTAATCCGCCATGTTTTAATACCTGATGTCGTACATTTGTACACCTTTAAATAAATTTCGATTGAAAGCTTTCGTGACTGCAGGGATTCATCTTTATTATGTTTTATTTATATTTTATTATTTCCCTTCTACGTGACTTTACCGAAAGAACCAAGAAGATCTTTAAATAACTTTAAATGCCCCGTCATCTACTGAATGTTGCACATAGCAGTAACATTTACTTGGGAAATTCAGATACTGAGTGTAAGGTACAGTGCAGAGCATGAAGTGTTCCGCTGAACCTTTGTTTTCATCGGGGATGTACGTTTCTTAACATTTTATCACGGGGCCATGACGGTTGACTTTACCTTGTGGGCATTGGCGGTGTGGCTGGTAGTAAATGCGCGTGCGTTTGGCTTCTCTAAACCCTTTTGCAGGCTCACAGCTGTCAAGCCAACTGGAGGGATGGCTCGCCCAGGCACAGGCCACCCGCCGGCCTGCAAGAGCCATCATTGCACCGTGAGTACCGGCCGAGAGCTGCAGTCACCGTCGGGGTGGTTGAAGTCTAATGACCCCATCTGGCTTGAGCACAAGGCTTGATTGGTAGGTTAGCTAATGATAATGATGATGGTGTACCCTTACGCAGCCACCCTTGATCAATTATGGCTCGATAAACAACAACAACAAAAACACGTGGAGTTTATGAAAAACATTGTAGCTGTTGTGAGTTGTTGTGAGATATGTTTGCTTTGATATTGCAGGCACGCCGGCTACTCGTATTGCGGATCATGTGCGGCTCACGCCTATAAACAGGTGGACCCTGCTCAGACGTGAGTAACCGCACGAGACGTAGACAAATGGAAGGCGGCTTAATAGTTGAGTCGTGTACAGTCCTCTCGCCTCCTGTGTGAGCGGCGCGTGCCATTATTCTGTTTACAGGAAACGAGTGTTCATTCTGGGACCATCCCACCACGTACACCTGTCGGGATGTGCACTCTCCTCTGTCTCCATCTACAAAACGCCCATCTACAACCTCCGCATTGACCAGAAGAGTAAGTTCCATAACGCTCGCAGGCATGTGTTCATGATAACGTGGGGAGTAGTGGTGTAGTTAGTGCTCTGTGCTATGATTACAGCACCCTGAGTTTGATTCCAAGATGAACAGCTAAAACATCAGTGGCAATTATCTGAAGCGGTCCTGGGCCTCTCCTTGGTCGACTGAGCCTGGAATGAGTACCTGGTGCGGTGTGTAAACATTATCACTCGGGGGGAAAAAGGCGGTCAGGCGTGGTGGTGGCCACCCACCACATGTATTATTCCGGCCTTAAGAGGTGCTCGCTAACAGCACTTTCCCCAACAGTCTATTAAAGGCTATACGGGGGAGTCTTATGTGTGTGAATATATGAACTGACCTGTCTCTTGCTTCCAAATTCATTTACTTACAGTTTACTCGGAGCTGTCCCAGACAGGCATGTTTGAGAAGATGAGCGTGGAGGTGGATGAGGATGAACACAGCATTGAAATGCAGCTGCCTTACATTGCCAAGGTCATGGAGAGGTCAGAGATTAGGCTGTCGGTGTCAATAACAGTACTGTGTATAGAATATAGGCATGGCAGTAATTTATTCCCCCCCCCCCCGCCTCAATAGATTAAATGAATTGTCACATCTTCTTGGTTCTTTCGGTAAAGTCACGTAGAAGGGAAGTAATAAAATAATAAAAAAATAAAACATAAAATTTTTTTATATTATTTTTATATTATTATATAATATTTTATTTTATTATTATATTATGTTATTTTATTTTATTATGTTTTATTTTTTTATTATTTTATTACTTCCCTTCTACGTGACTTTACCGAAAGAACCAAGAAGATGAATCCCTGCAGTCACGAAAGCTTTAAATCGAAATTGAATTGTCACAATTTAGTATCCTGATTGGGTTATGATTTTTTACTGTAATTTCTGTTTCCCATTGTCCTGTCACATTTGTACAATTGTATGCACTCCGTTCGCCTAAATGTATCTTTGGCATATTATTTACATATAGTTTATATAAATGATAACTTTTCAATTTCTACATGCATACTTATGTGCACAGTGCCTTATGTGAATTGTGATATGTTCAAATTCAATTAGGAAATGTTTGTGGAAAGTGAAATAACTAGAACCATGCTGTTTTTTCATGAGCATAATAACAGCAGAACTTGTTTAGTTATGGTCAGTCTAAAGTTCAAAACGAATGAAAAATGTTTGATGCCCTTTTGCCCCCCCCCCCCCCCCCCCCCCAGCCGACGAGATGATTTCACCATTGTGCCAGTCCTGGTGGGTTCTCTGAACGAGTCTCGCGAGTGTGAGTACGGGAGACTTTTCAGCAAGTACCTCGATGACCCAAGCAACCTGTTTGTCTTCTCCTCTGACTTCTGTCACTGGGGTAAGGTTTTGCAACCATCATTTTCCACCAGTAACAATGAGGATTGCCGCGATGCAATTTGTTCACGACGCGACATAAAGTTTCACACTTTTTAATGATCTTTTGTGTGTTGACGTACTTATTTAGATGATTTTAAAAGTAATTCAACAGCAGCTCACCAGACATACGTGTGCCTTGATTTTTTTAAATCGTAACTTTACAATCTCTCATGCCTATAGTGCACATGCTATCAAAAAATAATGATGTCATACTACTTGGGCAACATTTAAAAGCACTGATATAACAGAGGCCTTTCTAATGGCACGGGAAAGTAACAGTCATTGTTCCAGTAACTGGTTATTAATTTGGAACTAGCCAGGTAGGAAAGATGACATCATAGTAACATGAAAATATATCCTTTGTCTGTTTGCAGGCCAGCGTTTTCGTTACACTTACTACGACGAGTCTCAAGGAGAGATCCACAAATCGATCGAGTACATTGACAAGATGGTAACCTTATCCACATACAGCATGCACACTTGTGCATTGTGTGCTTAAGATGGTGTACATTACGTTTTCCAATACAGTTTCCTGTTTCACATGAAGCTAACAGCAGGTGTGAAGGTCATCATACAAACTAGTGATTTTTGAGGATCACATTGTTTTGGAGTCTGTTCTGATGATTTTGTTTTTCTATAAATCATTGGATTTGTTATCAAATTCTTTGGGTCTTTCTGTAAAGTCACGTAGATAGAACAATAAAATAATAAAAATGAAAATAAAGTTAAATAAATAAATATCACGACGTTTCGATCGCAACACAAGCAATCATCATTAGGTGAAATAAGAGGGGGGAAAAGCTGCTGAGGCAGGCTATTTTAAAGGTTTTCCTGCGATCTTTTGTCTTTTTTTTCTCATCTGTCTCTTCCTGCATATTTTTTGCCCTGATGGGTTTATTGTATTTCCTGTGTTATTGTTTGAGATGCTGTGATACTTAAGCAAGTAATGTTTTCCTTACAATTACGTATTATAAGAAGAAATCCAAATATATTAGAATTTAAATAAATCACTCATCTGGTGGTATATTTATTTTAAATTATACAAACAACACAACGATAAAATGTGTAACTATTTGTTCGGATTTTATTGCATCATTCACTGTCAAGCAAGTATGGGTACAATTTCTATCTCACAACTATCATTTTAAGTTGAACATTGCACACATTTGTTAATGTGCTGGCACATGGTCCAGTGTATATGGCTTGAATCCAGCACTCTGGAGGCAAGGATGGTTGGATCAATACAGATTCATGTCTTTTGCTGGCCTGCCAGCTGATATCAGTAGAGGAAATTATTTCTGGAATCTTTGCAGAGCTTCAAGGGTTATTCGCTCATGTGCATGGTGGGTTGCCTCCGAGTACTCCAGTTTCCTCCCACGTTCAAAACATATTTTAGTGAAATTGACCAAAGTCCCCAATGCAGGACCCTCCTGAATATAATTAGGCTTTAATTGATAAATATAGAAATTATAGATCTCCATTCTGTTTTCGGTTTATGTGTTTCACGTAGTTGTTTGGCATGTTGACCGATGTTTCGCTGGAATTTATTTCCTGAAAAAGAATCTCCTAGCAGCACGGTGGAGTGAAACGTACAACTTGAAAATACATCGAATAGCTTTTGAGCACGACTGAGCACCTACACAATAGGGCATCATTATTATTGTTAATGTGCACCTCTCCGTGTGCCATCTCTTTGCAGGGTATGGACATTATTGAGCAGCTTGACCCCGTAGCTTTCAGCAGTTACCTGAAGAAGTACCGAAACACGATATGTGGACGACATCCCATCGGGGTCATGCTGAACGTGAGAGCCATCCCATTAACACACTTTTCTGATGTACAATCAAGCTGTGCTTGTGCCAGCATCAGGAGGCAACAGGTTGTTTGTCACTGTAGTAACCTCGCTGTGCCACTGTTGTCACGCAACAAACGAGTCGAGATACATGTAGGTGACACCGTGTGCTTGCAATGTATTGACTGACATCGTACGCAATCGCTGCGTTTTTAGCCTGACCCCTGGTTCTGCTGGCACTGAGGGCAGATTCAGATGTCTCGTGATGCAAGCATGTCCTGTTTGGTTCTGGCATGGCACGGCAAATAGCCAGCATAAAACCACCCTTACTATGAGGGGCCCTGCATTGGCTCAGATGTGACAGTGGAAGAAGGGGATAAGATGCTCTGGCGTTTATCATAACCCTGTGGGAGTCCATCATTATTAACTTGCCAATGTCATTCCCTGTTGACGGCAGGCTGTTGCGGAGCTCCGGAACAAAGGCGCGAGTTTGTCCTTCAATTTCCTGAACTACGCACAGTCGAGCCACTGCCGCAAGTTCCAGGACAGCTCCGTGAGCTATGCAGCCGGCGCGCTGCAGGCGTCGTGAAGGCGCTCCTGCGTGACCCGGGCCACCGCGCAGTGGCATCGCCGGCCGAGGCCCCTCGCTTACCTTTTCTCCATCCGGCTCGGCTTAATGGCGGTGCTGCTCTGACCTGTCCGACCATCGACCGAATACGTTGCACTTGGCTTTTTCTCGCGCGTGCGTGCGCGTGCGGCGTGTGTGCGTGTATCAGTTGGAGATTGGCGTGGGTCTTGAAAGGTTTGACATTGATAGCAGAAGTTGTTTGCAGTGCCCAGACTCGTGGCTGCAGTATTGAAGAAGGCTGTACGCCGCTACTGATTGCAATCCAAAGGCAGACTATAGACTGGTTGCTGTGATGTGTTGTTGCCTCGATGTTCTCTCTGCTTTTGTGAGGTTTATTTTTTCCTTTTAATTGCTTTGGTGTGTGGATGTTTTTAATGTCTGAAATATTTACTCAAGCTTAAATAATACCATGCTCTTGCAGAAGGGAAATAAAATATTTTACGGTGTACAAAGCTTGTTATTTCTCTACAATTTCACCTGCTCGTAACTGCTAACCAAATATATTCAGACAGCAGTTTACATTGTGGCTTTGTATCGTAGATATAAACATTAACAAGTGTTTGGGTAATTTTATGATACAGAAGTATTAAGCCGTGGTGGTGTTGTAAAATTGTTGCTTGTAAGGCTTTATGCACAAAGAGATTGGGAAAATAAAATGTGATGGGAATGCATCGATTGCAAACTGTCTCTATGTTACAAATTTAACTTTAAAAGTAACTTTCCTGCACTGGCAAAACTTATCATACGATGCACATGTACATTGCAGGTTAACAGCTGGATTTGAGAAGCATGCAGATGCATTTTTGTCACATGATTGGAGTTGTGCCCTGTACAATCCCCTTGCAGATGCTGCTGTGTAAATTCTAGGAACTGGATGAAATGTGGTTTGCAGCAGTGCGGTACTGGTGTTGTAAAATGTTGGCACATTTGTACTTAAGTTGTGGCGTGACGGTCGTGACCCCTCACCAATAAAGTGTAATGGTGCGAAAATGTCTGTCCGTGGGTTGACGGCATATGTGGGAACGTGGGTGATATCAACGTTATCGTTGCTCGCTGTGTTCGCGGATGCGTGCATTGCCCATCTCGCACACCCCCTGTGTTCCTTCACAGGTTTGGACAGACTGCCTGGATTCGTATCCATTGCACAATCTCAAGAGTAGGATGAGAGAAGGTTTTTTTTTTATCCAAGTTTATGTTCACTTTCTTTTGTGTGTTCAGGACTTCCCTGCGAGAGACTGAGTTGTGTTCTCTGGGAGTCTTTGGATAATCTGTGCAGGTCATACTGCTCAGTGGAGTCCATTTTCATCCGTGAGACTTCGTCTCATTTTATAGAACAATGCTGCATGCAGCACGTGTACTGAAGTCGACTTTTGTCCGATCTGCCATCCGCTCTTTAACATCAATTGAAGGTTTCGTCAAAAATTATTTGTGTGTGTGTAAGGACTGTTTACTGTTATTCTAAGAACTGCTTACTGTTACAAAAAAACCCCAGACAAAGCAAAAACAAGCCGTTTTAATTTTCACAACTCAATTATTTAGACTTTTAAATTGCTTGTGTTTTCATGCTTTATTTTGTTACACGTTTGTACCTTTTTGGAGTGCGCTTTCCATGTATACTCGCCGCTTACAAAGTGACTCGTTGCAGACCATTATCGGAAAAACAGCCCCTTTTCCCCCCACCCACTTCAATGGCCTCTGCTGTTCATGGCTCTGAAAATGCCTATGGTCTTGTAGTTGTAGTGGTGAAGGAGTGTCTCTACTCCTGTAGAAGTAACGAATTAGATAGGCGTTACGCTTCAAGTTGCACTGATATGCCTTGCAATAAAGTGCTCTTTGTTTCACTCGGTCTGTGTTGTTGATGCTGCACATGTTTGTAGGAAACAGTGGTTGTCCTGTGGTGACACTGGCTGCCCGGTGGTATCGCGTGGGAGGCATGGGCCCTGGTGCAAGCAATGAAATGAGGCCCCCGTGACTGCCGCCTTTCATGACCCAACATATTGGCCCCTCTGGTCCATGAGCCCTGGTTTAGTTGTACCACTTAGACACCACCACTGGGGCACCCATCTTAGACAAATGTGAAAATTCCACTCCTTGCTGTGGGCTGATTTATTGGGGCAACCGCCCTCTGCCCCTCCACCGATGCTTATTTGAGCAGGGACTCACTCGAGCGTAAATTGAGACACGTAATGATGGATCCGTCAGATTCATTCTCAAAGCTTATAATTATACCTGTTTAACGATTCAAGTTGTTATAATAAACCACCTTTGTTTGAAGACTTCCACAATAAGGGACCCGAGGCTTCCTGCTTATATCTTCCTTCGTACGTCCCCACTCCTCATGCTCTCCCCGTATATCTCAGCCGCCTTTCTCGAACCTTCTTGTCCTTGTTTTTACCTCTCACCAATCCCCGTCGTTTACCTTTAACGGGTCCTTTTTTTCCCGTTCGACTCTTATTCTCCACTCCCTTTAAAGTTTGCCTCCCGATCAATCGCCGTGGAGGCCGCTTTCTTTCAATCGGAGACCTTTGTTTATTTTTCATCACATGGCTTGGGGTAAATATTCGGTCATTGCACCTGTGTGGAGTCCCGTGAGAATATCGATTCATAAATGTGAGAGGTTCACCGGATTTTGACTCACTCGACGATGGAATTGCTGCGGAGGTGTGACAATGGGCTGAGTCAACCCTGGCCTGGACTTGAACTCGTGTTTAACTTTGGGAGCTTGCCCCCTTTACCAACCGAGGTGTATTGGCAAATGGAAAGCACATGGATCGGGAGCGGCGGCTTTCTCTGGCAGTTGTGTTAAGACATAAACAGCTGTTGAGCATGGAGAGGCCATGAGTCATTGTTATTGGGTAAACAATTCTGCGAGGTGCGTTTTTGTTATGCATCTGTACATGTGTTTTTATTTAGGCCACCAAAGAAAAGTGAAATAGTGCGTCATCATCGACCATGATCGACCCAATGCTGGATGAAGGTCTCTCCAAGTTATCACCATTTCACGACCCTGCGATGCAACAATATATCTCGATCCTGCACATGCGGCTGATGTCCATCCAAGTGTGTTCCCTCCTTTAGCTGTGGCTATATTTAATTTACAGTACTTTAGCTTATTTGTGCCTCATTATACGGGTCGACAAAATAAGTACCATTTTTTGGGAAGTCAGCGGTGGTTGTCCTCTGGATGGACAAGCACCCTCCATAGGAATGTGGAATTTCAATCGCTGGAAATTCCGCATTTCCATGGCGAGATTTGATGGAATGGCAGCCAAAGGCGGGAGCGCAGCCCAGAGGACGTCCACCGTGGAGAGGTAGCGATAACATCATCTCTGCAGGAGCTACATGTTTTGTTGCACCGCAAAACTGCGGGATGGTGACACCTTGGGGAGGCCTTGATCCTGCAGTGGGTAGGTCATTTCTGATGATGAGCGAAGGGTGGTGTATATGTATTGAAGAGAATCGGACAATTGTGAGAATGTGTTTTGTTCAGGAAAGCCTCACTTGAGTCTCAGGATTTTCAGGAGGGTCATGCGTTGGGAAGGTTTGGCCAATTCTAGTTTAAGGAGAGGGTTTTGTCTGATGGAAGTAACCAGAGCACCTTGATAACCCCCACTTCGCTGATAAGGTCAGAACACTAAGAAAGACCGTACGTGCGGGTAGACGATCCCACTTGCTGTACTGACATCTGGCCACTTCGCATATCCTTAGCAAATCTCAGGACAATCCACCAACCTCTTTGCTCCAAAGCGCTGGGTCAAAGTCGTGAGTCGCCACGCCCGGCTGTAATCGAAAACAACATTTGTCAATAACACTGCCTGAAAAAATATATAGGCGACGTTTCGGGAATCGGTTCTTCTTCGTAGCACAGGCTAGAGCAGGGGTCGGAAACTAAAACAACAAGAGCGATTTTTTTGTCAATTTCAGTAAAAAAAAACTCTTTAAATACGAGACGGTGGTCCTGAACGACCTCACGAAACAGTCCTGAAAGAGGCGCATGCGGTTCTGGAGCCGCAGATTGTCGACCCCTGCCCATGGTGAACTGGACTCCCATGGTGAACTGGACTCCCATGGTGAACTGGACTCCCATGGTGAACTGGACTCCCATGGTGAACTGGACTCCCACGGTGAACTGGACTCCCACGGTGAACTGGACTCCCATGGTAAACTGGACTCCCATGGTAAACTGGACTCCCATGGTGAACTGGACTCCCACGGTGAACTGGACTCCCATGGTAAACTGGACTCCCATGGTAAACTGGACTCCCATGGTGAACTGGACTCCCACGGTGAACTGGACTCCCATGGTAAACTGGACTCCCACGGTGAACTGGACTCCCACGGTGAACTGGACTCCCATGGTGAACTGGACTCCCATGGTAAACTGGACTCCCATGGTGAACTGGACTCCCACGGTGAACTGGACTCCCATGGTAAACTGGACTCCCATGGTAAACTGGACTCCCATGGTGAACTGGACTCCCATGGTGAACTGGATTAAACTGGACTCCCATGGTAAACTGGACTCCCATGGTGAACTGGACTCCCACGGTGAACTGGACTCCCATGGTAAACTGGACTCCCACGGTGAACTGGACTCCCACGGTGAACTGGACTCCCATGGTGAACTGGACTCCCACGGTGAACTGGACTCCCATGGTAAACTGGACTCCCACGGTGAACTGGACTCCCACGGTGAACTGGACTCCCATGGTGAACTGGACTCCCACGGTGAACTGGACTCCCATGGTAAACTGGACTCCCACGGTGAACTGGACTCCCATGGTAAACTGGACTCCCACGGTGAACTGGACTCCCACGGTGAACTGGACTCCCATGGTGAACTGGACTCCCATGGTGAACTGGACTCCCATGGTGAACTGGACTCCCACGGTGAACTGGACTCCCACGGTGAACTGGACTCCCATGGTGAACTGGACTCCCACGGTGAACTGGACTCCCATGGTGAACTGGACTCCCACGGTGAACTGGACTCCCATGGTGAACTGGACTCCCACGGTGAACTGGACTCCCATGGTAAACTGGACTCCCATGGTGAACTGGACTCCCATGGTAAACTGAACTCCCATGGTAAACTGAACTCCCATGGTAAACTGAACTCCCATGGTAAACTGGACTCCCATGGTAAACTGGACTCCCATGGTGAACTGAACTCCCATGGTAAACTGAACTCCCATGGTAAACTGGACTCCCATGGTGAACTGAACTCCCATGGTAAACTGAACTCCCATGGTAAACTGAACTCCCATGGTAAACTGAACTCCCATGGTAAACTGGACTCCCATGGTAAACTGAACTCCCATGGTAAACTGGACTCCCATGGTGAACTGGACTCCCATGGTAAACTGAACTCCCATGGTAAACTGAACTCCCATGGTAAACTGGACTCCCATGGTAAACTGGACTCCCATGGTAAACTGGACTCCCATGGTAAACTGAACTCCCATGGTAAACTGGACTCCCATGGTGAACTGGACTCCCACGGTGAACTGGACTCCCATGGTAAACTGGACTCCCATGGTGAACTGGACTCCCATGGTGAACTGGACTCCCACGGTGAACTGGACTCCCACGGTGAACTGGACTCCCACGGTGAACTGGACTCCCACGGTGAACTGGACTCCCATGGTAAACTGGACTCGCATGGTGAACTGGACTCCCACGGTGAACTGGACTCCCATGGTAAACTGGACTCCCACGGTGAACTGGACTCCCATGGTAAACTGGACTCCCACGGTGAACTGGACTCCCACGGTAAACTGGACTCCCACGGTGAACTGGACTCCCACGGTGAACTGGACTCCCACGGTGAACTGGACTCCCACGGTAAACTTGACTCCCACGGTGAACTGGACTCCCACGGTGAACTGGACTCCCACGGTAAACTGGACTCCCACGGTGAACTGGACTCCCACGGTGAACTGGACTCCCACGGTGAACTGGACTCCCACGGTGAACTGGACTCCCATGGTGAACTGGACTCCCACGGTGAACTGGACTCCCACGGTAAACTGGACTCCCACGGTGAACTGGACTCCCATGGTAAACTGGACTCCCACGGTGAACTGGACTCCCATGGTAAACTGGACTCCCATGGTGAACTGGACTCCCATGGTAAACTGGACTCCCATGGTGAACTGGACTCCCATGGTAAACTGGACTCCCATGGTAAACTGGACTCCCACGGTGAACTGGACTCCCATGGTAAACTGGACTCCCATGGTGAACTGGACTCCCATGGTAAACTGGACTCCCATGGTGAACTGGACTCCCATGGTAAACTGGACTCCCATGGTGAACTGGACTCCCATGGTGAACTGGACTCCCACGGTGAACTGGACTCCCACGGTGAACTGGACTCCCATGGTAAACTGGACTCCCACGGTGAACTGGACTCCCACGGTGAACTGGACTCCCATGGTAAACTGGACTCCCATGGTAAACTGGACTCCCATGGTAAACTGGACTCCCACGGTGAACTGGACTCCCATGGTAAACTGGACTCCCATGGTGAACTGGACTCCCATGGTAAACTGGACTCCCATGGTGAACTGGACTCCCATGGTAAACTGGACTCCCATGGTGAACTGGACTCCCATGGTGAACTGGACTCCCACGGTGAACTGGACTCCCAGGGTGAACTGGACTTCCATGGTAAACTGGACACCCATGGTGAACTGGACTCCCACGGTGAACTGGACTCCCATGGTAAACTGGACTCCCATGGTAAACTGGACTCCCATGGTAAACTGGACTCCCATGGTAAACTGGACTCCCATGGTAAACTGGACTCCCATGGTGAACTGGACTCCCATGGTAAACTGGACTCCCATGGTGAACTGGACTCCCATGGTAAACTGGACTCCCACGGTGAACTGGACTCCCACGGTGAACTGGACTCCCATGGTAAACTGGACTCCCATGGTAAACTGGACTCCCATGGTAAACTGGACTCCCACGGTGAACTGGACTCCCATGGTAAACTGGACTCCCATGGTGAACTGGACTCCCATGGTAAACTGGACTCCCATGGTGAACTGGACTCCCACGGTGAACTGGACTCCCACGGTGAACTGAACTCCCATGGTAAACTGGACTCCCACGGTGAACTGGACTCCCATGGTAAACTGGACTCCCACGGTGAACTGGACTCCCACGGTGAACTGGACTCCCATGGTGAACTGGACTCCCACGGTGAACTGGACTCCCACGGTGAACTGGACTCCCACGGTGAACTGGACTCCCATGGTGAACTGGACTCCCACGGTGAACTGGACTCCCATGGTAAACTGGACTCCCACGGTGAACTGGACTCCCATGGTAAACTGGACTCCCATGGTGAACTGGACTCCCATGGTAAACTGGACTCCCACGGTGAACTGGACTCCCATGGTAAACTGGACTCCCACGGTGAACTGGACTCCCATGGTAAACTGGACTCCCACGGTGAACTGGACTCCCATGGTGAACTGGACTCACGTGGTGAACTGGACTACCACGGTGAACTGGACTCCCATGGTAAACTGGACTCCCATGGTAAACTGAACTCCCATGGTAAACTGGACTCTCATAGTAGACTGGACTCCATGGTAAACAGCCGCCGGTTGCCGACCCCTGTGCCAGGTTGAGTTCCTCTGCCAGGAAATGTTTCCAACAAGCGCCTCCACCGCGACAAATTTGTCACGTCCCACCTCCGACCAATAACACCCAACAGCATCACCACCACCCCTGCCTGCCTGCCTGCCTCCTCCTCCTCCCCGTACCTCCTACTGAGTCACATCACGCATCGCGTAACCTTTTATTTAAATAAATCAGGGGATCCTCCCTGCCCCGAAGTCACAACTTCACGGCGCAACAGAGAGAGAGAGAAAGAGAGAGGCAGAGAGAGCAAAGCGACTCAAGGCGCAAGGTCGACACCGACGCGAACCTCCTCCACTGGAGCGCCTCTCAAGTTGAGCTGAAGAAAGACACCGAGGTTTGGAACTCGACTCGCTATTAACTTCGACTGCTCTTCTCCTGTTACACACGCAAGTAACTCTCGCACCTGTGACTCGCATTACGCACGCGTGTGTTGTGTGCCTCGAGCTGCGTTCCGATGGGGCCCCGTGATGTTGCTGACATCGACGTGTACGTACGCAGGTTGCTTTTTTTTTAAAACGCAGTCGAATATTTATCGGGACGGTCCACAAAATTAGTCCTTGGACTCCTTCTTGAGGATTTCCTAGGCGAGACAATTGACAGCGTTGTTTGCGTTGTTGTTATTGTTAGTTGTGTCATGATGCTATACGTGTGGTGGGAAGAGCGGTGGCGCAGTGGGTTTCTTACTGCGCTACGAACGAGCCACCTATTCCTGGTTCGACTTCTAGTCCCAAGCTACGGCTGACATCAGTGGCGGGTGATATCCGAACGGCTTCTGCATCGGCACTTCAACAACCCGCATTGACCGGTGTGGTGAAGTATAGTCAAACGCACCCCCCCCCATGACGTGGGAATATTTTCATCCAGCAGTGGATTGACACAGTAGTCTCATACAGGTAGGAACAACAGGTTCCACACTGCCCACCAGGGATTACTTGTCTGTCTGTCTGTCGTGCATATTTGTCTGTCGTGCACGAATGCGCTGTCCAACCAAGCTCCTACCTGCCCACTCCGAAGGAACGTGTAATGTGTTAAATTAAATTAGAGTTACATCGGGTGTGCCGCGTGTGCGCGCGATTACAGAACCTTTAAAACGTCTTGAGACTCGGAGATATTTAGCTGGGTGCTGTAATTGGAATCATCCTCGGGATTCTTGTTTACCATGCTACAATGGCATTCAGGTTTCCCTCGCTGTATGCGGTAGTAGATGCGTTCCCAAAAAAGTGCTGCCCTGCCGAGCAGCGCGTACAATGCACGCACAACGTTGTCTCACGCCCGACTGCGCAGCCGCATGTGAGTGAAATCAAACCGCATATAACGAATTTTGAGTAAGAAGATTTAGTTATCCGCATATACGCGAAATCGCACAAACCGAACCCGCGTGAAACGAGGGAAACCTGGATTATATTAACCTCACAGAACTTCACCGAAAGATTATCCTGAGCCTCGGTGAGGCTTTCCTGAACAAACAATTGGGCATTGTTATTCATTCCAAAATACCGTAGCCGAGTTCTTACTGTTATTTAGTAAATGCCCTGTGTGTGTTTTATATGTAAATGTGGAATTGAAATTTTCAAAGGGCGAGAAAACCCATTACTACAGACACAAACTATCAACAAAAAACCGTGACATTGTTTCGCATTCGCAACGCCACACCTTTTGGCACGTATGGTGATTTGTTCTGCAAGCGATATATGGCACGGCAACGCGTCCCAGACGATGGTTATAAGTTATTATTTCACACAGGATCGTGATACTGTATATAGTATCGAATGGTTTGGCTGGGTGAGGGAGGGCTCCATCCAGCAATGAACTGATCATTAATAGATGACGCTGCTGCTGGTGATGATGAATATAAAACTCTGTCGCCAACCCTCAGACGTTTGGTGCCCGTTAAAAACGCAAGTTGTGTTTGTAATATCTTCATTAAAAATGCTCACGCGATGCATTTGATTGTGCTCATCTCAGTTGGTGAAACCAGAGCGAGTGGTGGAAATCCCTCACTTCTCTGGCGAGGGTGAGTCTGTGTGCATTTCAAAACGAAAAGCCAATTGTTGTTTACTGCCTTGGCGGCTTGTGCCGAGTGTCCTCGCTCTCAAGCAGCAGTGTGGCTGCCGACACGGGAGTAGAACTCAATGGAATTTGTGCTCACGGTGACACATTCATGGACACGTTCAACTTAATCGTGGCAGTGCAATAACCGCCAAGACAGCCGTGTAAATGTGCGCAACTTGGTTGCATGAAACTGAATCGCTTACGTGAAGACGTCTCTGCGACCAGTTAGTTGCAAGCAGTTGAGCAACCGGTCGCTCGGGCTTGGATTTGGTTAAGGACTGGGAAACATGACAGAATATACCGTGGGATGAGTGCCTGCTCGTGAATAGGCGGCCAGTGTGACACGAGTGAGTTGTCGTGTTCACAACCACGCCCGGTAACACCTTTCACTCCCCATTGTTGATGTTTAGCGCGCACGGTGCCTAGTATATTACATGTTTCAATTAACGACCAGAACAGGCTCCCATGCCAATGAATCAACATGCAAACACACACACCTACTGTACTTGAATGTGTTTGCACTCGAGATACATCCAGCCTAACACAGGATTATTGGTCGGGTAAGTCCAGGTTAAAAGTCGTCAGACAATATGTAATTATCAGTTTGATTTCAAAAGACAAGGTGTTCCTAAGGATGCCCTTTTAGGCAAATATTATCAGAATTAGAGGAACGTGCATCACCATCACGTACCACTAATTCAGCTAAACAATAGCAGTGGGATGTAATACAAAACATTTGTTCAACATAACGAGGACCTGTTTTCAAAACCACATAAATGTAAATGCGATTTTAGCCTATAGGCTATCCAGCCCAACGGAATAATTATACAATTTGTAACACGCACGAATTTCCCAGACATTAATGACCATGATTCTGAGGTATGGAGCCCAGGTTAATGCCACTCAAAAGCCATGGGAAATTGGGTGGCCTTTAATAAAGAGGTGGGCCTTTAATTGTCTCTTTAAAATCGGTATATATTGAATGCTGTTGATGTAGTATTGGTTTAAGTGGCTTTCAATCTTCTGAGTCTCATCAGGAGAGTGTGCCCTCTTAAATAAATGCTGCTGGGCTTGCCTGATGTTATGGGGCAAGATCCCTCCACGAAGACCATGGCAGGTTGTGCTGACCAAGGTTGAAAATAAAATGCTGTACACAAATAGTTAATGACCAAACATCTTGAATATGACCTCCATAAAAAATATATAATCTCTAGATTAACCCATTAAATTGCATTACAGCTCTTTAAATCCATTTGGAAAATTTTTAAGGCTAAATAAATGTACAATGCCATATTGTAGTACTGTAAAGCCTCCTAGTTCAACTCCGGTATATTGCAGTGGAATAGCTATCGAGTGTGCAGGCAGTGCAACTGCACCCTGGCCCATGGACCAGAGGGGGCACGGTTTCTGGGCTACTAAGAGGGAAGAATTGGACAGGGGCCCCATGTAATGATTTGCAGCAAGGCCCTTGTCAATCGACCACACCACGCCACTGCTACAAGGTGGTGTGTTTGGCTTAAGGTGTTACAGTACACGGTGGTGTAGTGGTTCTCACTGCGCTATGAACCTGGTGACCCGAGTTTGATTCTCGAATATTTGAACCAGTCCTGTGCCTCCCCTAGATCGGCTCAGCCTTATATGAGTACCTGGTGTGGTAATACATCAGAACTGGGGAGACAAAATCGGCCAGGCGTGGTGTTAGCCACCCACCCACCCACGCGTGTGTGGTGCCGGCCCTCATAGGTGCTCACGGACACACTTGCCCCAACAGTCTGCTAAGACTATATGGGGGATCTTTGTCTTTATGCGCGTGTTTGATGTAGGAACGTGGCATCGAACCAGCCCAGCCATGGAGTCCCGTGCCTGCGCTCGTTATCGTAGGATGTCTCCTCCTACTTGGCCTTGCCCCCGTCTCTCTAGCCTCGCCGGTGAGTGTTACCAGCTGCGCATTTAAAACCACGATCTCGATATTACACGGATACAGGTAAACACAGGAGTACCAAGGGAAGCACCACCTCGTTTGGAGGAGTGGCAACCTCGGTGTGAAACCCTTGAGGTTGGAAGAGCCTGCAAAAGCAAAGCAGACCTTGGAGCTCACGTGCCGAATGTCTTACTGCTGTGGAATCCGGCAGAAGGAAAGAAGTGATGGCAAGCTGCGATGACATCAACAATACGTTAATTGAAGAAAAAACATTATAGGCGACGTTTTGGCGGGCAATGGTCGTTTTTCATAGCACATAATGGCTTTGATGGCATTTTTTTATTGAACTCGAATGCCTCATCATCCTCCCTGAGCAGCTGCGTCTGAATAGGGGGCACAGGAGCCCTGCTGCTCATTGGGGGGGGGGGGGGGGGGTTAATGGGCCTTTTTTCTCACGTGCCTTTCTTGGATATAAATGTAAAGAACAACCCCAACTCCGGGTGCAGTAGCGGTAGCCCATAGCGGGCCCCGGCAAAATTTCCACATCGCCGATTGCACGTCAGTGACAGGTGGTGTTTGGTCAATCCACTGCTGGATGAGGGCCTCCCCATGCCATACGGCTCTTGGGGGTAATTTCATCATCCTTCACCACGCTGGCCAGTGCAAATTCGGTGAGGGCAAGGAACATAGACCTGGGGGTCTAGAAGTACAGTACAATAATGTATATTGCTGTAGCGGACTCTGCTGCCCACAATGTATCCCCGCAGCATGTGGCTTATTTAATGTCGGTCACCAATCCGAGCATGACACAGTCTCAAACCTGCTTAGCTTTTGAGACCTTGATGAGATCTGGTGAATTTCATGTGAATTGGTCACAAGAGTACATTCATTATCCATCGTGATATTAAGTTATTCGCCGACTAGCAGACAAAGAACGGGGAAGAGGTTGTGGCTATGTGTTACTTATCATTGTTTTTAATGTCTGTTGTCAAGATCCATTCACATGTATTGCATACTTACTGGGGAGAGACACTATACGTGTAAATACTATAGTCTATTAAAGCCCAGAATGGGTCACATACATTCGAATAATACTTAATTTTGTATAAGCAGTGCTCCAGATTGCTCTTGACCAGTTACTTATCCCGAGTAAATATATATTAAACAAAACATTTTTTAGAACCCTTTATCAATCCACTGCTGGGAGCAAGACTCTTCATGGCTTTCAATCACGGGTATGGTTTGACCATACTTCACCACACCGGTCAGTGCAGGTTGGTGAAGGGACTGCCCAGGATCTACTTGGACACCATTCGCCGCTGTTATTAGCCGGCACTCGAAATTGAACCCAGGTCCCTGGTTTCCATGCTCAACATAATGTAACTGTAAATTTTTGTTACGTTTGTCTCGGTAATTCCGAACAAAGTGCATGATGTACTTTCACAAGCGCATTAACGAGCATTATGGTACATCACTGGGCAAATCGTGCGGATTAAAATAAATCCCATGACATTTTTTGTAAAACTGCACAGTAGCTCACAAGGTATGACTCATTTGAGAATAATGTTATGATCGTGTGCGGACAGAATGTGCGGGAATTACATTTCAGACATCGTAGAAGGATTTGATTAGTCATTGACATCTATAAAAACAAATCTGCCGCGGTTATATATAAAAAAAAGTAGGCACATTGTCTACACCTGCTCAAACGAGCAACGTGCCAGAGCTCATTTCAGATGGGGGCCCTCTGGCAGTTGTGTAAATTTCACATGTATGTTGTCAAGAGCCAACATAACTATGGGGGGGGGCGGGGGGGGGTGAGGGGGGTTGAGGGGGAACTCAACACTTAAATCAATAACACTGCCTGATTTAGTCGTGGACCAGGAATCTCACTCAGCTGGCCGGGTTCATAGTGCAGCGCGACTAACATCTCCTGGCGCAGAATGCTGTCCGAGTTGGCGTGCGAAAGCGTACGCATGCTCACCGAACAACCGCAGGCGCGTGCGACTTTCCACATCCCCCCCCTCGCCCCCCGATTGCTGTGCTGTGCTACACGTGTGGCTGCATCCTCTGTTTTTAAATCCTTTATATTAAGTTCACTTGCTTGCTTGCGCGCTTACGACCGTGCAAATCTTTCGGTCGTTTTTAACCCACTTCCCGTGATCCTATCGAGCTGACATTTTGCACACAGACTCGTTGTGCGTGACAATTTATTTTCGTGAAAAAAATTCCAAAATGTTACACTTTTTAGGGAAAAAAAAATTTCATATTTAATTTAAAATACCAATGTGATAAAAATGAAACTCTTACTCAAGAAAAAACAGAAATGAATAATAAAATAAAACCGATGCCACGCATATAAAGGATTTATAGTGAAAAACTTTGTTTTTACCGGTAATTTTTCTTCCATCAGTACGACGATCGATCTCAGTCGACCGACTGGTCTGCGTGCAGCCGCACCTGCGGCGGAGGCATCATGTTCCGCCAGAGTCCGTGTCACTCTCGCAGGTGAGCGTGTGAGGCGGGTGCCGCCGGAGAAGGAAGTGTACAGTTCATCTTCTTTGGTTCTTTCGGTAAAAGTCACGGAGATAGAAAAATAATAATAAGAAATAAGAAAGTGAATACAAAATAAAAATGATGAAAAAAAAATAAAAATAATAAAAAAAACAAAAAAACATGAATGTAGACTGTAGCCTGGTTCTTAATCGGAGTATACTGGCAGTCTATAATGAAGACTTATTCTTGGTTCTTTCAGTAATAACATAAATAATAAGTACATTATAGACTGCTAGTACACTCACCAAACTTAATAACCATTGCTACAGTCTACATTATAGACTGCTAGTACACTCACCAAACTTAATAACCAGGCTACAGTATACATTATAGACTGCTAGTACACTCACCAAACTTAATAACCAGGCCACAGTCTACATTATAGACTGCTAGTACACTCACCAAACTTAATAACCATGCTACAGTCTACATTATAGACTGCCAGTACACTCACCCAGCTTAATACCCAGGCTACAGTCTACATTATAGACTGCCAGTACACCCATTCCGACTAAGAACCAGGCTACAGTCTACATTATAGACTGCCAGTGTGCTCACTCAGTTTAATAACCATTGCTACAGTCTACATTATAGAATGCCAATACGCTCACCAAGCTTAGAAATCTGGCTACAGTCTACATTATAGACTGCCAGTGTGCTCACTCAGTTTAATAACCATTGCTACAGTCGACATTATCGACTGCCAATACGCTCACCAAGCTTAAAAACCAGGCTACAGTCTACATTATAGACTGCCAGTACACTCACCGAGGTTAAGAACCAGGCTACAGTCTACATTATAGACTGCCAGTACACTCACCCAGCTAAATAACCAGGCTATAGTCTACATTATAGACTGCCAGTACACTCATTCCGACTAAGAACCAGGCTACAGTCTACATTAGTGTTTTTTGTTTTATTATTATTTCATTTTTTTATCATTTTTATTTTCATTCACTTTATTTTTATTTTTCTATCTACGTGATTTTACCGAAAGAACCTAAAGAATATGAATTCCTGTAGTCACGAAAGTTTTAAGTCAAAATTTAAGTGTACAGTTGGCGAGGGGGAGATCACCGCCAAAGCTTGACATGGCTCATCGCACTCCACTGAGCGCTATTATTTAAATGTTTTAAAGAGACAAGTTTTCCACGTGATGTTGGGATGATAGGACACGTTATTTAGCTCATCTCATCTCACCGTATCATGACAAGATTGAAACATGTTTTCTTATTCCGCGAATGGCTTTATAATCGCAAAGAGTACAAGAATAAGCAATTTCAGCGCTTTGTCGATACCCCGTCTGGAAAATGCGCGATAATGATGTTATTATCACGATAGGAATGAAATATTTATTACAGCCTCAGTACCACACATCCAGATAAGGGCCGGTTCATGAAGGTTGGCCACTAATGTTAGCTGAGGCCAGGAGTCAGACGGGTTCACACTGCTCAGTATGTGCTACCATGCACTATACAAACGCTCTGAAATTACCCTTCTCAAAGTGCAAGATTGTTTTTGAGAGGGCATGACCTGACTTTGATAGTGGGGAAAAAACTTGTAATGAAGCGATTTGGTTGTGATTGCGATTGCTCGCCGGACACATCGGTTGAAGGATGGATGAAAGTACAGGGTTGTTTCATCATCATGCTCTTAGTTTTGATTGTCAAGTCAATTTTATTTTTGCTTGCACACGTGGGCAGCATTTCTGGCACAAATCTGCCACTCAAAGCGCCATCATCACATTAATACTCAAGCATAAACATTTTGTATTCTCTAAAATGAGGGAATGATTAGATACATACCATCTATGGTTTTTTAAAATATAAAAAAAATATAAAGCAAGTTTTGGTTGTGAATTAATTGTTGAAACACGTTGTCAATCATTCCCCGTATTACTCGAGAATGAAAACTAAGATAAGCATGAGCCTCTGATTGTATGAAAGGCAGGGTTGGTGGGATGCCCTGGAAGCTTGTCTATTATCATAATCAGTCGTGATCAGTCCACTGCTGGATGAAGGCCCCTCCAAGCGGCCTCCACTTCTCGCGATCCTGCGATACAACAATCCATCCGACACCTGTGCATGAACTGATTTAGTCACAGGAACTGAAGCAAGTCTATAGATACAACTATTTATTTCCTCTCAGTTTTAAATAGTTTTATTGTGAATGGCCATATTGTAGGTAAATAATGGTTATTTGCAAAAGTGACTTTTCTTTTTTACTTAGGAGTCCCAAGAACACCTTTCAAGACGGTCCTGCTTGTAGACATTGCACATTTTGCATGTTAAAGGAAATATATGGGTATTAGTGAAGAATGTTTAATATTAGCATGGATATGCTAGCAAGCTACTTGCCACACCACCTCCCACGGACACCTTGCTGCCTCAGATTGCTCAAAGAGAATTGAGAAAGCTCAAACATGTGTATAGCAGTCAGACGTCATTCTTATTATGGGACACATTCACTTGGATTGTGTTAGGCAAATGTTACAGATAACACCAATGCTTGGCGATGCCAGCTTCAAGGCATGGACACCTGGGGGCATTGGCACTGGAACACTGCAAATTAATTCATTTATTTCGTAAAACGAATCTTTCATTATTTTTGTGAACGCAGCATGCTTGATGACACACACGGTGGTGGGGCGGTGGGGGGGGGCAATTCTATGTTTGAACAAGTTGCTAGGAGTGTTGGTATTAGGTAACAAAAATATGTCACGGTGGTGAAAAATTGCATTCTTCTGGCTTAAGCATCACGGGTATGTTTTGTTTTTGGATGATTTTGAAATATCCTGAAATGTAATTGCGTATGCGGCCTGACAACATTGGAAATAACGCAGCCATCATCCCATCCTTACGTGGTCTCTCCCCCCCCCCCCCCCCAACTGTCAATCGTATATTTGTAGTGTTAAATCGGGCCGGTGTCCGAGAACGAAAAAAAAAGTCACACCGGCTAGCGATAGAGTTACGCCAGATAACGTATCGATCAGCCGATCGTCGATATAACGTGATCCACCATCCCCACGCGTAGGACTACATATGAACATGGAATCGAGGCTTCCTCGTGCTTGACAAAGCGTCGCTTTCACCTGCCGCGTTTGGCTGCCCGCGAGCCTGCTTTATTCGAGCCCAGACATAGATTTGTTTTGCTCATTTGATGTGGAGGCTAAGCGTGGAATTTTATGGTTGAACGGAGACAGCCACAAAAATGCCACACCCAGCGCTTAAGCACATTCTTACATCCTTGAGCCATCTTAAATTGTGGTCTGGACGCTACGAGAATTTTCGTAAAGAATATAATTCTCTTTGCTATCAAGCTACTTGTTACTCAGGCCGTCGTCACGTGCCAAGAATCTGTGCTGGCTTGCTCAGCCGCCCTCCTCGGTCTAATGGACTCTCGCCCCATCAGTGGCGGCTCTGTACATGTACAAGCTTACAGCCCCCTTGTCAGTCCACTGCCGGATGAGGCTACAGTTGCCACCTGTCTTGCATTCCTTAGCATTGTCCTCTTTTTGAAGTAACTGTCATTGAAAAGCTGTGAGCCGTCTCAGAAAAAAAAATGAACCGTCAAAGGTCCCGGGTTTTTGTCAGCTAAGTGCAGTTTTCCCCTCCGCCGGTCTCAGTTCTTTTTGTTGTGCTCAGTGGTGGCACCCCTGAGATGAGGGTCTCGCCAACGCGGCGCGGGTCGTGGTGGTTATTTGGTCACACTCCACCACACTGATCAGCGTGGGTTGGTGAAGGTAAGCTGTGAGCATAGCACAGCAACACTGCTGCCCCTCCAATGTAGCCCCGCAGCCTATATCACCTGCTTTTATCCATGGTGATCGCCCATCCAAGCACTACCCAGGCTCAACTGTGCTTTATTTTCGAGGAGTGACAAGATGGGGCGCATTTCTGGCGATTGTGATTATTGCAGTGGCAACTTAACGTCACACGATTTGGTATCTTCCTCCTCGCAGAGGCCTCCTGTACATTCGCAGGCCACACGCAGGCAACTTCACCCTGGGCCTCCTGGGCCAGACAAAGTGCACATAACCACGTCGCCGAACCTTTGCGCTCGAGTTCTCGTCATCAGATTTTGCGAACGACTTTAGGAAGCGCGCAAACAGGACTCGTGACGGCGGGTCGTGTTTGTTTTGGCAGTTGGCGTCCTTCGGTGCCCGAACCTCACGGCCCAGCAGCGTGGGCTCTCGCCCAGCGAGTGACTCTGAAAACACTTCCCAGATGAATTCACAACCCTCCTTCGCCTTTCACTGCCAAAGAGGCGGTGCCCTCGGCCCCAAATGCGTGCTCACGCAGAGAGCACAAGAGAAGGCTGTGTACCGCCAACTTCTGGTGCCCTTTGTTTGGTCAAACCTTGGCACTGTGCCCCCTTTCCCCACCACCCCACGTCACCAGTCAAGTCCTTTTAAGAAATGTAACGCCTTTTTATAGGGGCGATAAATTCCTGCGGAGGATTTTCCCGTGAGTCAATGCATAGGCGGTGATTTTACTGAGCTGGTAACGTTTCTCTCTCGTTCCTTCGCAGGAACAATGTCGGTTCGGACTGCACGGGGTCAGAAAGGACGTACGCTTTGTGCAACACGGAGGTGAGGAGGGACATTCCGGTCGTGAGGATTGAAATAAAATAAATCCAAATCGGACGCGTTTGTGTGCCGCGCTTTGTGGAAGACTTTATTGCAGTTCTCGAGTGAGGAAAATGATATATGCGTTGTCAAAGGAAGGACAAAAGGGCCCCTCTAACAGTCCTTCAGGGCCACAGGGGCATGCATTGCTTTATTTCACTGATGTGTTTTTGGCTCGGCGCATGAAAACATGAATCCAGTGGGTACAGTGGTTGGTATGGGCCCCGAGTGTGAGCAATGGAAAGTGGCCTCCTGGGTATTTTCCCTCTCTCTTCGTAGCCCAGCACCTGGGCCCCTCTCGACCCACGTGACACTGGGGCAGTTGCACCGCCTGCTTCATAGCGGCACCACTGGGTGGTAGTGGCTGGGTGCGGGGTGGCGATGGAAACGATTTCACTGTCAGGGGGCGGTGTTTTCCAATTCATGTTGAAGAGCACTCGATGAAGGAGCTCTATGGTAGTGCTTGCATCGACAAGAGAGAATAATGCTGGACTGTTCCCGCTGTTAGGTGGAAGGTATTTCCCCCCCGGTAGCAGTCTGTACTCCTTTACCTGGTTTGAGATTCGTTTTAGTATTCAAATAGGTTTCATTGAGTCACGTAAAAAGTGATTTGGAAAATCTATAGGCCAGGGGGAAATGTATATCTTTCCAAAATTAGTTGCCTACTCACAAACAGGATGAAAGCGGACACGACCCTTAATACTCTTGGGTTCTTTCGGTAAAGTCACATAGATAGAAAACTAGATAATAGATCATGACGTTTCAATCGCAACAACAGCTTTCCATTGTTCTTCTTCTTGGTTCTTTCGGTAAAGTTACGTAGAAGGGAAGTAATAAAATAATAAAAATAAAACATAAAAAAAGCTTTCCATTGGTCATCGAAACGTCGTGATCTATTATTTATGTTTCTACCCACGTGACTTTACCGAAAAAACCAAAGAGTATGAATTCCTGCAGTCACGAAAGCTTCAAATCAAGATACGACCATTTTATATTTGATAAAATGTAATCGATTGAAGGAGGCGATGAACACGTTCTACGTTAAGACATAAACTACACGCAACGAATTCCATCAAGTCACAGACGGTTACAATTGGGGAAGCCACCGTAAAAAAAACTACGCTTAAATCACGGCAGTAGCCGTTGAAGAGAAACAATTCTGTTGTGGTGAACAGTACGTTGAGTCAACTCGCTAAAATACATCAACGGGAAATTCGACTTGAAAAAAAAATACACGAAATAATCTTAGGTTTTTTTCGGTAAAGTCACGTAGATAAAAAATTAAAATTAATAAAAGTAAAATAAAAAATACAATTAAAATCACGACGTTTCGGAGGCAACACAAGCTTCCGTCTTCAGGTCTTCAGGTGGAACCGTCACAGCACGACTGCTTAATGCAGCAGGCGTGCTGTGACGGTTCCACCTGAAGACGGAAGCTTGTGTTGCCTCCGAAACGTCGTGATTTTTATTTTTATTATTTTACTTTTAGTAATTAAAATTTTTTACCTACGTGACTTTACCGAAAAAACCTAAGAATATTAATCCTTGCAGTCACGAAAGCTTCAATTCTAGAATACACGAAATATTCCACTTTTCAATGTCAGCCGCGTGAATGACCCCAGGTCACGTCGCACCTGAACACGGTGCACGAGTCAGAGCCCTCTTGTCAATCCACTGCTGGATTCGGACCACCCAGAGAGTGGAGATCTTGGCGGCTGATCGGGTGGGGGGGAGGGGGGGTGATTTGATCACAGAATTAATTGTAAAAATCTTGATTTCTAATTTTGGCCCCTCTCTTCGTGTTCAAAATCATCCTTTTGCATTTCTCTTTGACAAACCTTTGCTACTTGCTGCTCTGGTAACCGTGGAGTCGAGTAGAACCCTTGTTAACGACCACCCCTGTTAACGACTCATCGATTAACGACGGGCCTCCATAGAGCCCAATGTGTAGTGTATAGTGTAGCGTATAGTAGTGTAGTGTATAGTGTAGTGTATAGTAGTGTAGTGCCTCCATAGGGCCAAATGTGTTCGGCTTACCGACCATTCCCCTGTTAACGACGGGCTGTTGTAGGTACAGTAAATATGAATTAATGCATTGATTAACCACTTTTTTTCAATGTGTGTTTATAATGTCGGTAGTATATTTATGTATTAATAGCCATTGTTTAAATATCATCAAGTACGTTTTTTTGGGTGAAAAAGGGTGACTTTCAATGCTGTTGGAACGAATTAAGCCTTTAACGTGTATTTCCTATGCTCGCTTAACGACCAAATCACTTAACGGCCGGTTTCGTGGAACCAATTATCGTCGTTTAGAGGGGTTCTACTGTAGGCCGTTGCCTGGCAAGTCAAAATATCTATTGTTGTACTGGTCTTCTATGTCCCCACATGTATGCTCCCTGTCTTCATCACCTTTCCGCACTGACCAGCGTGGTGAGGTCCGCTCAAATAGCCTCCATGAGCCCCACGGTCCGGGGAGGTCGTCATCCAGCAGTGGATTATTGACAAAAGGGCTTCACATGCACACACAGAGGGAGAGAGAAAGCCACGGTCGTGGGCAGAAGGGGTAGAAGGCTACAAACACGGGAGAATTCGTTTCTGTAACAAGGCAGTGCCTCGCGTGCCGCTCCAGAATGTTTGTTTTTGTTTGCGTGAACAATTCTTCACCGTCTCTCCTCGCGTGCATTTAATCATCCAGTGCGGAAGACCCCGTCGCTAAAGTTGTGGCCGTGATCCCGAGGGGTCCGGTCCTCCTGCCTCTCACCCCAGCAGCGAAAGCGGCGAGCTGCGCGACCTGTTCTGCGCCCCGACTTGTTATATTATTCACCCCGTAGACATAAATCTCGACAATGCTGACACTCTGCTGCTGTTCCGGTTCAACATCAGGACTTTCCTCTTCTGCCGGCGACCGTGGCTATCTTTCTCTCTCTCTCTGTGTGTGCATGTGCAGCCCTTTTGTCAATAATCCACTGCTGGATGACGACCTCCCTGGACCGTGGGGGTCCTGGAGGCTGATGAAGACAGGGAGCATAGGATGTGGGGACATAGGAGACCAGTACAACAGTAGATGTTTTGCGGCACTGCCCTCTGCTGAAGATATTGCCCTGCAGCAGTCTGCTGTGCGCCTGCTTAATGCACGATGGTCTGACGTGCAAGCACTCCCCCAAGTTCAGTCTGGCTTAGCTTCTGCGATGTGATGAGTGCACTCTGGGTAATTTGGTCATAGGCTTCTTCGTGATTTTGTCTGCCCATGCACTTCAACCATAATAGCATCGCAATTCTCTCTCTTGCCTGTAGCCTTTTACCCCTTGTTTTTTTTGTAAACTCCTCTTCACACTCTCTGAATTAGGCATGCTTCCCTTGTGTCTACAGTGCGCCTGTCACACTGTATACATTCAAAAGTGTGTCCTGGGTATAACGTTAAACTCTGTCCCATGATAGTGTCACCCAAAACAAAAACCAATGCTGAGAGAGGAGAGGCAATGGGAAGCCACCTGGACCATCCTTCCTTCATCATGGCTCAAGAACCCGAGCAATGGTGATGAGTTGTGCGGTGAAGAGAGGCGAGGTGGATTGCGTAAGATGAAGGGAGCTTAAACCAAGGACCCGCCCTCGAGAAGATAACTCAAAAGAGAGGCAGAGAGAGACAATACATCCAAGTGCAATGTTTTGTGTTACATAAATCTCACTGCCGCTGCACGCGCGCGCTTCTGTGCGGGGAGCGCTAAGAACCTGGTTACCAGAGTTTCATTCCCACTCACGCCCAACATCGCTGACAAATATAAACAAAAAATCGTTACTGGTCCTACCCCAAGTTTACTCAGCCATAAATGAGTGCCTGGTGCGGTGTGTGAAACAGCGTCACACAGTGGGAGCTCAAGGCGACCGAGCGTGGCGTTGGCCACCAACACCTTCATTCATAAGTTCTCACTAACAGCACTTTCCCCAACAGTCTGTTAAGGCTATAAGGGGGATCTTTGTCTTTGTGGTGGTGCATGCAGAGCTGCCCGGACGGCTCGCGCGAGCACCGCGAGGAGCAGTGCGCGCAGCACGAGCAGCGCGAGTTCGAGGGCCGAATGCACAAGTGGGTCCCGTACTACGGAGGTACGGCCACCGCACGCATCCCCGCACGCACGCGTCACATGCAGAGTCGTCGTGCGAACCTGAGATGAGAGTTGCGTGTGGTGGTGGGGGAAGGGGACGTGGTGGGGGGGGGGGGTGCAGGTGGGGAGGAGAGGGCCGAATGCACAAGTGGGTCGCGTTCTACGGAGGTACGTCCACCGCATGCGCACGCGTCACATGCAGAGTCGTCATGTGACCGTGAGATGAGAGTTGCGTGTGGTGGTGGGGGAAAGGCACGTGGTGGGGGGGGGGGATGTGCAGGTAGGGAGGAGAGGGCCTCGGAAAAAATCATCAGGCCTCAAAGGTGTCCTCCTCTGGCATTTCACCCCGGGCATCCAACTATTTTGGGAGCCCTTTGATTGAGAATGCAATGCGTGAAGGTATTTCTTCGCTGTATTTTTTGACCCCGGGGGCCAATTCGAATATCGTTCGCCTCCTGACATTGGCCGTGGCAGGGGATCGATTCAGAAGCGTGCAGGTTGCTGGCGGTTTTGCGGTAGTCGATGTAAATTAGCATCGGGAAGGTCCTCCTGTAAACGGTGAGGGCGGAGCAGCTGTACCCCGAGGTGCGTCGGCGTGAGCTGCCCTCCTTTCACCATCTCCACGTCAGCTACAGCCATTAATCTCCTCCATTAGCCTGCGAGATCGTTCCAGAATCAATAAAACCGATACCTCTAATGAATGCCTCCAGCGGAGAGTCTTGAGTTTAACGGCCTTATTATCGTTTTATTCAATCCCAAGAATGCTGTGGCATTTTTATTTGGTAAGTTTTGCGTCACCATGGTATTTTGGGGGTTCCTTTGTCGGTGCCTGTTGTGGTGTGCTTTGTAACGCAGTGTGATGCAGTGGGGCGTGTAGGTGGAGCGCCGGTTTATGCACTCCGCTATAAACCCAGAAATCTGTGTTCAATTTCCAGCGATAACCAACAACAGCGGTGAGTGATTGAATAGACTCTGGGCCCTCTCTACGCCAAACCCACACTGACTAGCGTGGTGAAGTATGGTCAAACAACCCCCATGAATGACAGGGAGTCAGGTGGACTTCATCCAGCAGCAGATTGACATGGGTTATTAATCATGGCTATCTCATAAAGCACGTGCACAGTATTTTGCTGTCACTTACATCTGTCATCATCTCTCAGTGTGACGTCCTTTGGTTGCGCGGCTCGTAAAAACGCGACGACATTTTCGCGAATGGAACGCTTCTAGATTTGAAGCTTTTGTGACTGCAAGGATTCATATTCTTAGGATTTTTCGATAAAGTCACGTAGGTAAAAAATTAAAATTAATGAAAGTAGAATAAAAAATAAAATAAAAATCACGACGTTTCGGAGGCAACACAAGCTTCCGTCTTCAGGTGGAACCGTCACAGCACGATAGCTGTATCAAGTGAGAGGGTGGGAGGAGCCAAGGTAGGCCCTGAATACAGCAATCGTGCTGTGACTGTTCCACCTGAAGACGGATGCCTCCGAAACGTCGTGATTTATATTTTATTTTTATTTTACTTTTATTAATTTTATTTTTTTACCTACGTGACTTTACCGAAAAAAACCTAAGAATATGAAAAATGGAACGCTTCACAAAGGATGGAACGCAAATGTTAGGAAGGCGTTACATAATCCAGCGAAATGTAATGCGTGCCTTTTTTCTCTTCTTCTTCCTTATTTCATACACATTGCCCCTGTGTTGTGCGCATGCCCCCTCACCCACCCGCTCGCGACCAGCCCACAATAAATGCGAGCTGAACTGCATGGTGCGCGGTCACAACTTCTACGTGCGCCAAGCGGAGGTCGTGGCGGACGGCACGCCCTGCGAGCCGGGCGGCCGAGACGTGTGCGTGCAAGGGGTGTGCCGGGTAAGGAGGAACATCCCCCCCCCCCTCATTCACTGGGCCCCCCAACTAAGGCCCCCCCCCCTCCCCCCGCACTCCCCCATCCAACAGCTCTCCATGCTCGAGCACAATCGCAATCTTTTATTTATTCTGGAGATATCCGATGAGCTGCAAAGCTCTGTTTCTTTTACAGATGTCTGGTAGGCGGTGGGTCAGAAAGTTACAGCAATGCACAATACAAATAAAACCCTATAGGAGTGAGGAGTGCAAAGTATAGGGAAGGGAAGCACATAGCTATAAATAAGTAAATGAAAACAACATAATCTTTTTTATTTTACCAGGTCATGTCTATTGAGTCAATAATTATCTTTTTCAGAAGCGACCTGGCAACAAATGGTAGCGTCAACATTAACAGCAATAATTAATCAATACATTGCTGGATCAAGGCTCCCCCAAGCTACTTTTTCAGCAAGTTAACTGGTTTTATGTATGGAAAAACTCTTGAACGCCATTCACCATCATCATTATCATTCGAACTGCCTTTTGTGTTTAGTTTGTTGTCCTTCCCCCGCACCTCCGATTAGCACGGTTGGCTACGTACGGTGCGAATGAAGTTCAACATACACACGTAGCCATGATCTATGCATTGTTGGGTACAGGTCTCTCTACGTCGTCACCATCGCTCAAGGTCGTGTCATGCAGTGATCCGCTTGGCACTTGCAAACGAGCCGATTCCATTACTCCATCTCCATGGCGGATATAGCCACAAAAGCGTTCTCTCTGTTGGCAGCCACTCCAATTGTTTGTATTGCGAATCAGTGAATGTCCCTTCAAGAGATGGGTCTTGTCCAAGAGATGTGTTCTGTGCATGAGATGTGTCCTGTCCGAGAGCTGTATCCTGTCCAAGTCAATTACAACGTCTCCATCTTCTCTCTCCACGTGTTTCTCGTTCCGCCTCTCAATGTGATTCCAAGCACACGCCTCTCATCATCGTTGGATAAACACCCCCCCCCACCCATTCCATATTGTTCATGCTAGGTTGTTTGACCTTACTTTACCACGCTGGTCAGTGCCAGTTGCTGAAGGAGGTTGACTCGGAACAAGTTCAGATTTCACACTCCCCCCAATGGATAATCCTGAGTGTAACTGAAAGCTTAATCCTAAATATGAATGAACAATTGTCAGGCACTTTTATAATTGTTATTCATAGGGTTCTAATAATTCAACCGCAAACTAATTAAACCACATGCTATTTAAAACCACAGCCTAATTGAAACCAGAGACTTGTTGAAAAGGCCAACATTGTGTAACGCTAACCTCAGGCTACAATGTAAGTGCTTCACATGTATAGCCAAGCACAGTTACAAAATGTTAATGTTTATGTGCTTTGCCAATTCACACTTAAGAATGATTTTCATTTTGTATCGCGGGGAATCCAACAACAATGTTGATATGTTAATGTCGGGGTTGGTGGATTGACAGGAGTAGTCGAGCAAATACCTAAAACGCTGCTGGTGAATCATCGAAGCTGGCGGTGGTGTTACGATGTGGCCCATGGTTTGGGATTGGTGTCCGCAGTTGCACTGTGGGCCGTTATTCATCGTCCATTGGTGGAGGAGACGGCCACAAAGTGCCACGTGATGTTCTGATGCGGTTCAGCACAGGCGATTGTTTGCAGGGCAAGTTGAAACTGCAGAGTCGTCAATTAAGCGTGCGTTAGATGCGTTGCTCTCCGCTGAGCCTCAGGGTCGAGTCAGGGCACTCTTGAGAGCTGCTTCAGCGTTGTAGCCAGTTCCAAGTGTTTACGCAATGAACCGACACATTTAACCAAACCGCATTAAAACCCAACCGTGTTCCTATAGTTTTGCAAGTTCCATATTTTGCAGAAAAAAAAAACTATCTGCAAAGTACATTTTTTTGACCGTAGAACAAATCGCGTTTTAAATTGTCCACGGAGGCATGGTGTGTGGTTGGATTCCATCCACATTGTTTTCGGTGTGAGTGAGCACATACTGCACATCCCAGGGTTTCTTGTGTGGTCACGAATGCCCTTTAACAACAGGGTTTTCTCTCCCCCCCCACACACACTCCGCCTACCTCCCCACCCCGACATTGACTGGTTCCACTTATCATGGCACAGACATAGGTGTGGCCCAGAGTGCCGCCCAGACGGGCGTGTGTCGGGGGAGGTGTCTGTCCAAGACACGGGTCTTCCCTCAATTGCCTCAAAGCCACTGCAAAAAACGATTTAGGTTTCACGCGTAATGTGAAGGGTAATAGACACCTTTCACAAATAATAATTGCTTTCACGTCGAGGGGAATCTGTTCATCTCGAAGTGTATCCCCAGGTAGACAATCGGGGAAAGGACACCGTCCAAACAGAATTCTGGTACACAGCCATGAGATTTTTGCATCAGCCGGCCTTGCTGGAATAATTTTAAAACAAAATTGCTTATGGATTGATGTCACCTAATTTCATTGGCATTTCACAAGAACGTATATTTGTTACCAAGCCGTCACGCGTATGAGATGCACTTTTTCAACAGCGTAGATTTCCTGAAACTTTTGGTATAATGACGGAGCCTTTAAGTGAAAGTATTCTTGAAATGTTGAGGCCTAAAGAGATCTGGAGGGGAGTGGCGACAGCCATTCGTGCACTGCGCTCTGCACCCAAGTTCGTCTCCTGGCCACGGCTAAAATCAGCGGTGATATCTGAAGTCGGAAGTAACCGTGCTGATAAATAAGCGGCAATGCACGCATTTGGTGGGTTTTGAGGCCAGCGCACCTGGGAATACGAGAACCACCGTTCTCAAAACCCGACAGTTGAACGCTGAGAAAGTTCGCGTTCAAAGAGTGCGGCCTCAGCATTAAACCATCTCCTGCTGAGGTTTTCACGCCGGTAATTCACGAGCGTTGATTGGACCTCACCCGACGCCGGCGATGGCTGTCGATACCCCGGGGGGCACCCTCCAGCAATCGTGAGTGGCTCACAGGTGCGGCCCATTGGGGGGGGGGGGGGGCTATATTTGGCCACATCTCAAGTTGCACGAAGACATAAAAAAACCGGTCCAGCAGCCCTGTCTTACCTTTTTTTACGTATGCTCGATTTAGTATGTGCTGCCCATAGCAACCCACGGTTAGGATTTTTAAATTACCACAATTGGGTTTTCATTGAATGATCTCAAAGGGTAGGATTAGATATGTCAATATCATGCTAAAGATAACCTGTTTTACCTCCTCCCCCACCCCACCGTAACTGAATTATAACAATTTAGTTTTTGTGATCCCATTCAAGTCTATTCTGTTTGTATCTTGTGTACTGTCTCTTTAAACAAAAAATCTCTCGTTTTCAGTTAATTTGCCCCATCAGCCTTAATGTAACGTTTGCATATAATTTGTTCAATCATTATTATCATTATTACTTTATAGAAGGTACTATGCAAACCCACTGGCTATCATCAAAGATTTGTCCATGAAGCCATCCAGATATATAAACACAGACACAACTTCAACCGAGACGATGGGTGCAAATTGAGCAATCATTGGAAGGACGTGATTAACCGGATAAAGTCTTAACCTGCTGTGATGTTTCCATCCTTCCTGCCGATGTTAGCTGACCCTCTGAGTTGCATCGCTAGGTTGGAAGTCTTTGTGTTGACGGGCTGGATGTCCTACTCTATCTGCTAACCGAAGCATCATTGACATGCTAATCTCGATTTAAAGCTTTCGTGACTGCAGGGATTCATCTTCTTGGTTCTTTCGGTAAAGTCACGTAGAATGGAAATAATAAAATAAAAAATAAGAAAACATAATACAATAATTCTCACGACGTTTCGGCCACAACGCAAGCAGCCGTTCAGTCATTCAGACTCTGTCTTCTCGACATACCTATTCTTTACCTGAGGACGGCTGCTTGCGTTGTGGCCGAAACGTCGTGAGAATTTTTTTATTTTATTTTATTATTTACATTCTACGTGACTTTACCGAAAGAACCAAGAAGATGTTAATCTCCCACAATACAAAGGCCACTTCCACAGCCTCAGGGAGACCATCTCTAGCCCCGCCCTCTTAGCCTGAGGAGACTCCCATCTCAGGCCTATACAAGACTTTGTTTCAGTGGCTTTCTCTCTCTCACCTGAAGACGATTGCCTGTGTTGCGATCGAAACGTCGTGATCTATTATTTTTCTATCTACGCCAATTAGTTACTACTTCAGCCCACCGGTGTGTTGGAGAGTAAATCCACAACATTTACAATTTGAGTAGAAGGCCGTTTCGCTGGTAGTTACATCCAGCATCATCGGGCGATTTACCAGAATAGTGAAGCAATCCATATGCTTATATGAAAGGTGGTGTAATTTAAACCTTTACGTGAATAACATCCGATTTAGTTAGGCTCTGATCATGTTTGAACCTTCTTTGCACGTATTGTAATCGTTTGGGAAAAGTAAAAAAACATTTCTAAACACATTTTATGTAAGTGCAATTTGATGAGGTAAAAAACAACAGTTCATGGCCAACGCTGTTGGTGAAAATGGCACCAGCCTCATCGTGTGAGAGACTGCAAGCCGAGACTCGGTGGTCATGGGTGCCAGGAAGACCTGGCAGAACAAACGCTAGCTCGCATATCTTCTCAGACAACAGTGGTGGTGTAAATCATATTCATCATTATTTATCATTATTTCTTCAAAGGAAGATATACTGAGACATGTTTCTGCCAATATTGAGCATTCAAGTCAAGGAAGTTTTTGTTGTAATGTTTAAAAATGTTGCTTGTAGCCTACGGGTTAGATGGACTCAGGGCCGGTCGACAAAGAGGGTAATAGATTTGACAAGTCGCCCGATGTTGTGCTATCCACCAGGGCCCATGCCAACCCACACTACACTCCTGATGCACACATCCATTCATCTCATCATCACCCATCATGAGCTATGATCAGTCCACTGCTGGATGAAGGCTTCCCCAAGCCGCCGTAAACTCTGGTGGTCTTGCGATGCAATAATCCTTCCATCACGTGCACATGGAACTGATTTCATCGCTGCATCTAACTAGACAGACATCCCCTTTAGACGCATTCCATCTTGGTCATCGTTATTTAATGGCATTCAATTTCTAAACTTCCTCTCTCACCACTGGCTTGTTATTTTGGATTTTGATATCAAATCACAATGCCAGAAAATACAGGGTGCTGCTTTGCGTATGATGTTTTATGTCAACAAGACAACCCTTTCCAGTTGATACGGTTAATGTTTGCTTTGATTAAAAACAAAATAGGTTCAAAAGCAAAATTCTCTCAAAGTATTTGCTCACAAAGTGGTCCTTATATTATTGACTCTAAAGGTATGAGTTGTTGACCCTTGACTCTAATTTGAACTTTGTAGCATTAGGTTTGTGCATTGATTGCTCTACCTGTGCCACACGGACAAATCTATCCCAGAACACCGCTTAATCCAAGAGGTGCCCATGTGGTTCAGGGGTCAGAGCACTGACCGGCACGGCTGAGATCCTGGCTTCAAATCAAGGTTTCAGCCACGTGTGATTAAATTGTATTCCCATGTATAGTGAGTTGATGGCCTCATCCTTGTGGGTGTCTTTTTAATAATCTGAATTTGACATCCTATTTGGTGTTTCCCTATTGTTTTTATGACTGGACCTCCACGATATTATTTCGGGGACCCTCTACACTCTTGCTGAGTTTGCTGACGCTTAGCGCCGGGCCGTGTGTCGGCCCGCAGACCGTGGGCTGTGACGGGAGGCTCGAGTCCGGCCTGGTGGAGGACTCGTGCCGCGTGTGCGGCGGCGACGGCTCCTCCTGCGTCCCCGTCACCGGCGTCTTCAACAAGCCCGAAGTGCCCCGGGGTGAGTGCCGTGGGCCAGGCTGCCTCGTGTCTTCCACCCCCCTTCTTCCGCCTGCTCCAGGGAAAAAAGAAACTCGGGTCGCCCGTGATATACGTCGCACGACATAGAGCCAGATGTCAAGTTAGAGTCCTTTGAGTTTGCTGGGGAAACAATTTACCCATTAAAACTCATCATCCGTTGTCTGCATTTGATTGCGCTTGAGTGAGTGCAAAAACAAAACGGCATTCATCTCTGCGTTTGTCTTGCAGGCTACGTTCAAATCCTTGTCATCCCGGTCGGAGCGACGAACATCAAAATTCAAGAATCGTCTGCTTCTAGAAATTACCTGGGTACAGTGCACGCACGCACAGACACACACGTGCACACACACACACGTGCGCTCAACTTCCGTTATGTGCAGCACAGCTGTCGGCAGACAAGCTTGGGCACAGCCGATCAGACTGGTTTGGGTTTTGGTTTCAAATCCATTGACTGAGAGCCATGGAAGATTCGAGCCCGTGCAGGGACAGATCCTTAAGGGCCCTTATAAGAAAGCCCAAGGCTTTGGCAGAAAAAAGTTAATAGAGAACGAAAGATATTGCGATTTACATCGCATCAGGCAGTGTGTAAATATGCCATGCTGCAAATATCAGTTTATTTAACGGTGCTGCATTTTTTATATATATATTTTTCCCCTCCTATGTTATTGAAATGATACTGTCTACATCATGTCATGATATGACGCGTCAATTCAGAACCCTCTTCAGAGCAGTGCACGTTAGAGAACGGCCCGTGGAAATAGATATAACGGAAGTGCTTCTGAGGTCTCTTCGAGTGTCCACGCACCGACGGCGTGCATTCTCACGTGCGCTGCTGCAGAGAAATGTTCGGTGCATAACATTCAAATCGAGATATCAAATTTTCACAGCTGGAATTTTGCCACCACGGGGTGACCAGCCCTTCCCCACCCAGCCCCACCCCTCCCACACCCCACCCAGCCCCACCCTCCCCTCCCCACCCAGCCCCTCTCCACCCTCCCCACCCAGCCCTACCCTACCCTCCCCACCCAGCCCCTCTCCACCCTCCCCTCCCACACCCCACCCAGCCCCACCCTCCCCTCCCCACCCAGCCCCTCCCACCCAGCCCCTCCCCACCCTCCCCACCCAGCCCCTCCCACCCTCCCCACCCAGCCCCACCCTCCCCACCCAGCCCCTCCCTCCCCACTCAGCCCCTCCCTGCACGACGGACGGACGGACACAATAATCCCCTGTGGGCTGGTGTAACCAGGAGGTTCCTACCAGTAAAAGGCATTTGGAGGACATTGCTTCAATTTAAAATGGCTACGTTGGGCCAGTGGAGGGCGCTCGTTGCAAACTGGGCAGGGCGTGTGAAGAGCACACAAAGACAAACACTCCCCGTGAGGCCTGAACAGATGCATTATTGGAGCAAGTGCTGTTAGCGACACGGCACACGAGGGGGTGGGTGGCCAGCACCACGCCCGACCGCCTTTGTCTCCCCGGTGGCGATGTTTACACACCGCACTAGGTACTCATTTGATGCTGAGTTGACCTAGGGGTGGCCCAGGACCGGTTCAGATAATCGTCACCTGGTGTTGGTCGTGATCGGGAATCGAACTTGGGTCGCCGGGTTCGTAGCGCAGCGCACTAACTACTCCCGATACTCAAAGGCCGTCAGCATTTCCTACAGAAGTGCATTGTGGCACTCTTAGGTGACCACAAACATCGAACAAGCGTGACTAGAACTGACAGCAGTGGCAGCAGTGATGCATCACTGGTGACCCAACACAAGGGGTCCACAATGCACCTCTTCAGGACATGTTGATGGTTCGAGCATAACGCTTCGGAGGCTGACTGCTTGTTACACAGAAATGTGTGTCGTTTCAAACTCATGATTTTTCCAGCCAGCACTATTATTCTGTTATGATAAGGTTTTTTTCATCATTTACAGATTTGACTTGGCTGATAAGACAAAGTACAAGATAATATATTTTTTGTCCATGGCTATCTAACAAACCAAAGAGATGTAAAAACAAATGCTGGCTCGTATAAAATTCTGAGAATGCTGCAGATCAGCCGGTTTGAAAGAATGATGAATGAAGAAGTATTACGAAGAGCGAAGCAATGCCGTCAACTTAGAAAGGCTATAATAGCTCTAGGTAAGTCAACATATTTGAGACATTTGACAAGAACAGAAGTGTCAAAGTCTAGATATTGTTGAAATAACAAAACAAATCGAGCCTAGTGTCAAAATCTAGTTGTGTTTCTATGCTCATGTGAGCATCGGGTAGTGCTCACCTCAGTTGGTCGCCCAAAGCCAATGACGGAAATTCCACATTTCTATGGTGAGTGCCAGTCTGTGCATTTTGAATTATGCGTATGAAAAGTGTATACATGGTCTCTCATTTTGCATCCTCCCCCCCTCCCCGCTCCCTCGCCTCCCCTCCCAACGGGGCGCAGCCATCAAGAACCCGCTCGGCCACTACTACCTGAACGGGCACTGGACGATTGACTACTCTCGCTCGTTCTCGGTCGCCGGCTCCGTGCTGCGCTATGAGCGCCGCGACGAGAGGGACGACTCCCCCGAGGTGGTGACCGTCCTGGGGCCCAGCACCGAGCCGCTCGTCGTGGAGGTGCGGCTCACGGGGCACGACACAAGTCATGTTCACCTAAAGACGCGGAGGTTTTCACAGCCAGTATTACGACGCGTAATTGTTTTTTTTTATATATTGGTCAGGCCACGTAAATTATCTGGCTACGGTTGTGTTGTTGCGCCCATGAGCATGGTTGGCTACGTACGGTGAGAACGAAGTTCAACATGCATACGCACGTCACGACTCTCCGCCAGCCAGAAAAGCAGAGTTTAAAGTGTCATGTGTACAATCGTTTAAGAAAAATATATTTTATTATGAAGCCCATTGCCATGGCGGTATTGGCAAATTAATGTTACTGCATTCTTCAGATTGTAAGACCTTCTGGAAAGTAATACACAACCCATACCCCTGGGGTAATTTTAAAGAAAGGTGTGTTTTATAATCGGGATAATATAGTACTATATTAGGCAGAGGAATCTTCCAGGAGAGTATACTGAAATCAGATCTTTGGCAAGACAAAATATTATCCAGATTATTAGACCGACCCCAAACTTTTCTAAAAAATATGTTTGGTCAACACTGCTGAGATTCTGGGATGGAATCCATGATGAAATTGGGCTATTCTGCAAAGTGAGGTTGATATTCTCAGTTCAGTGAGGAAAATAAAATAACAAAAGTATTGTATGCTCACGTGAGCGCTGGGATGGCTCTCACACCTCCAGCAGAGGTTGGATTCATATATCGTCTAAATGCAATTTTAGAGGAAAAAAAAGAGGCAGTCAGCCTTAGCCAGAGGGGAAAAAAATAAGTTTTTGAGCCTGGGCCCAAACAGGAGCAGGAAGTCAACAGCTTGGATGGATGGGGGGGAAGGAACTTTCACATAATGGGGGCAGCAGAGAAGAATGAGCGACCTCCCTCTGACCGAAGGCTGTTCAGGTTGCAATCCAGGAGGATTAACACTGACACACGGTGGCTGGTAGAGATTTGCAGGAAAGATTTGAAAAAATAACCATTCTCTCCAGGGGGTTTATTTTTCAATTACATTCAAGTTACACTCGGATGTTTGGCCAATTCCTTTCATTTTTTTTCTCTCAATTCTATTCGTGCTGCTTTGAGCATAACGTTGAGAGACAAATTTATTTCTATTCAGAACCCTCACGGCGAGCAGAGAATGGCCCTGGTAGATGACGGCACGGATCTATTTCCGAAGCCACCGCACGAGATCTTTTATATCCACACGAGAGGGATACCATGTAATGCCCTGCAAAGATGTTTAGCGGTATGTCATTCAAATAAATGCTTTTAAGTCTCAGAGCTGAAATAAGCAACATGAAGTGGGGGAAAAATAGTAACGTTGTGTTTTTTTTAATAGTCACTAATCAGTGACCTCGTTACACGGGACGGTTGCAACCTGGAGTCTCTCCCAGGGTTCTCAGCAGTGCTGACTCGTTTCTTTAACCCCAGAGCCACCCGACCATCAGTCTTGAGAGATTCTTGGGAACGATGTTTATTTTTCTACAGGTATCAAAGTGCTTCCAAACGGGGCACCTGAGCTCAGAGGGCCCTGTTTCAGGGGTGTTTTTGGAAAAATATTCGGACGCTGGGGAAAAGCCATCGGTCGGGGGGGTGGGGGGGGCTGTAGTTTTGTTTGTGTTGTAAATCGAACCCCTGCACGGGTGCAGTATTTTTATTCGGTAAGACTGGTGCCAGTGAAGGTCTCCTTCTTTCACGACGTGGGCTCGTTTTAGGAGCTCAGAGCGTTTACAAACAGCCCTGCGGACTTCCCACGTGGTTTCTTTTAAATAAAATATACGGCCCTCAAAATGCAAACAGATTTTTATTTGAAAGTTGTCTCGTCGGTGTTTTTTTTCTTCTGATAACCACGTTGGGGCATAACCTTCGTTAACGGCGCACGTGACACTCATTTACAGCGAGGCGATGCTAGTTTTAGCAGCCTAAATTCACGCGATGTTACTCTACGATGTTACTTTACGAGGTTACGACGAGAAGATCCATGTACTGTGCCTGCAAGTCGGTTGTTTTAAAACAAAATGCCTCAGTGCAACTTCGGCATCGTAAGCAATTTTGCCGGGTCGCTGGCAGTTGAATCATGTGCCTAACATTCATGGTAAAATGTATGTAATCGCCATTATGTGTTTGTGTTTAGTTTGCTGTGCTTCTCCTGCACCTCCCATTAGCATGGTTGGCTATGTACGGTGGGAAATAAGTTCAGCAAACATAATCTTTAACCATCATCGATCCACTTTTGGATGAAGGTTTCCCCAACTTGTCGCCATCTCTCACATATTTGCCATGCGATAATCCACATCGCCAAACACCACACATCTCTCTCCACGTGTTTTAGTGGCGTTTAAAAATGATTATTGGTAATTTGGCATAGCAGAGTTTAAACATGGCCTTGCCCGGGCACACAAAGCTGAGAACTTAAAACAGGCGGCACGCGCTTGCTCATTGAAACCAATGAGCAAGCGGCACTGATTGAGAACGTTATTTTTCTGGAACATTGGTACGCTGCTGTTCATTTACATAAATTAATTTTCCAAAAATGTACTCAATTTCCAAAGATGACCGGCTTTCAATGGACCCCAAGACTCCTAAGAAATGAGTCTCGTTTCTTTGATTGTGTCTCTTCTCCTGCTCTCAAACACTGCGCCTCTCCGGCCTCCCCACGTGCCGTGAAGAAGGGCAAGTACCGGAGACATCGCCTCGCACCAGCTCTTTTTAAGGCCACAGCGTCATTGCCGAATGCGTTAAGTATTTTTTTTATTTTCCCAAAAGCCTCTTGTTTGCCCCTATTGCGGGAACAGACACGCTTCCCCGATAGGGACGTCCTTCTTGGGCGTGCTGCGACTCATCCCTCTCTGTGCCCGAGGCAAGGAAAGATCGGGCAGCGCTTACATCCGTGCGATTGCTCGCAGAGCTTGGGAAGGAGAGGTGATGGATTCTACGGTTGTCGGGAGAGGTCTGGGATTCAGAGGAAGGATTTTTTTGGGGAGTTTCGCAGGGATGGAGGAGGTGCGGTTTTGTTGTGGGTTTTCGCTGGCATGGAAGATGTACCAAGGCACAATGCGTGCCTGGGTACTTCAACGCCGCGCTTGCGCCATTCCAAAGCAGGGCATTCTCAATTTTAATTTCCACATGAAAGAGAGAGAGAGAGACAGCTTATTTACAGCATTCTCCTGTCGCCATGTCCTGTCGTACATCAAGCGTTTTCAAGTTGACCAGACGACAGTTTTCATTGCGCCTGGCTGGTAAGTGACTCCTCGCCTATGTCGGTGTTTTACACAAACTACGCAAACTGCCATTTTGTATTTCTTTAGAGCAGTGGTTTTTGTTCTTTTATTTTGGTTCCGAGGCCGTGCCTGCTGCTTTTGTTCGATTCGGCTATGGGATCTGAGGCAGCAGGAAAAGAGGGGAGAAGACCTGAAAGGCACGGATGACTCAGTTTATAAAAACCGGTCGAATCGCTAAATGCTATGCACTCCGGTCGGTGTTCAGTTCTGCAAAAAAACTTTTGCCAAGTTTTCTCGAGAGACCCCATAATTGGGAGCAGCAAATTAAAGGACATCAAGTTGAAGGGTAGACGTAGACTAGAGCCAAATAACGATGTGACTGTCGCCACTTTGATTATGCAACAATGTTTGCGGTACAGTCATTGCGTGTAACTGTATAGCGCAGTAAAAACATATATATTGATTTCCATTTAATATAAATTACTTTTCTTTTCGTCTGCCTAACTCAATTTAATGAAGCAAAAGAGCATCAGGATTCAAATTCTAATCTCGCCGGCGCGTTTGCCGTGTACTGTCCTTAACGAGGGCTGTAGTACCGCTCGTCAATGGTGCCCAGCGGTAGCGCATCGGTCGCTTGTTCAGGAGGTTTCTGGTTCGAGCCCAGCAGCCACCTTGGTTAATACTGCGATTGTATTAATGCGGGATTCCACGCCGTTGGCTTTGCCGTTGAGGTAAAAAAAAAAATCCCACGACGTTGTTTGAAGAAGAGTAGGCAGGCCATGGTGCGCTCAGTCCACTATCCAATTTGACCAACTTTGGTAAATTACTCCCAAATTACTCAATTTGGAGAAGCCTCGTAGCATCATCGCCCTCCTACTGGCAGACTAATGCCCACTCGCAGGTCGGGGCTGCCTGTTCACCTTGTGCCGCATGGGGACAGCTGCCACTGGGGGTCACCCTTGGCAAGACTGTCGCAGAGATGTACAGTGCTGCAATGGGAGGCGCGCGGTATGCGCGTGAAAGGCGACGATATGAGACGCCACGATGGGGTCATTAAAGTTTCAAGACGATGGCGGCAAAAATGCTGAAGCGCATTTCTTATTGAATCACCACGCAGCTGATCGGCCAGGAGCGGAACCCCGGGGTGCAGTACGAGTACTACACGGTGTACGACGCAGAGGAGCTGTCCCGTCGCGGCATCTGGAGCCACAGCTCCTGGAGCCACTGCAACATGGACTGCGGCGGAGGTGAGCCACCGAAGAAGAGTGATTTTGGACTTTGATAGAATTTGGACCCTGGAGTCAAAATACTGTTATATTATTTTAACTCTATGGTTAAATATCCAATGATAGCCAAATGATCGTCCCCCATGAGAAAAGCACCTACCCACCCCCCCACGCCTGGAGTTAAGATACAAATATTTATTTGGACCCAGGAGCAAAAATTATATCCATGCAATATGACCGCTATATATTAATGGGACTCCCCCGGGGTTAGAATGCTGTATGGGATTGTTAACGTTAAATGTCGGCTCGTGGGGCGATGACACGCAACTGTGCAAACGAGAGGGAAAAAAAGCTGGAACAATAAAAAGACGACACGGTTAAAACGGGACGCGAAAGAATCGATTGTAGAGTTGGATCGTGACTTTGGATTGCGCTAACGAATGGAACCGCCGAGGCGGCGTTGGTTGGAATCGGGTGGCGGACCGATGCTTGCTTCCTGTGCGGTTGAGCAGGACAGCAGACGCGAACGGTGTACTGCACCCGGGACAACGAGGTGACGCACGAGCACTTCTGCGGCGAGCCGAGGCCTCGCAGCAACCAGAGCTGCAACACCCACGCCTGTCCACCCGGCATGTGGTGCGTGACACGCAGACAGATCCCACGTGTAGCCTGAACAAACTGTTGGGGCAAGTGCTGTTACCGAGCACCTATGAAGGCCGGCACGGCACACGAAGGGGTGGGGGGCCAGAACCGTGCTCGGCTGCCTTTGTCTCCCCAGTGGTGATGTTTACACACCGCCCAAGGTACTCATTTGATGCTGAGTCGATCTATGAGACGCCCAGGACCGGTTCAGATAATTGTCACTGGTGTTGGCCGTGAGCGGGAATCGACTTTGGGTGGTCGGGTTCGTAGCGCAGCATGCTAGCCGCTACACTACCGCGTGACCCACACACACACCCAACCACGCAGTCACCCGCCCAACCGCTCACCCACCCACTCACTTAGCCGACCCGCCAAACCTCTCACCTACTTACCCACCCAACCACTGAACTCGCTCACCTGCCAAATCGCCCTCCTGTCCACCCAACACTCACACGCCCACTCACTCACCCACGTGCCCAACCACTCATCCAACCACTCACCAGCCCACTCACTTGCATGGTGTTGGGTGAAAGAAACTTAAGGTAACTCCAGTCCATTGATATAACGCCAGTTTTATGAAGTGGCTCGGACATCTTTAACGAATTGTAATAATCTAATCTAATATTTTCACCGTACATAAATAAAATACAAAAAATGTGGAATGTCAGTGAATGATTACAGAATTGCCTCTGACACTACCTGCTGCTGATTTGGAGCTCATGCCCTGCAAGCGCCTTGGATTGGTTTAGCAGATGTGGATCGTCACCAGGCATGGCTGCTGCCCTTCGACAAAGCGACAGAGAAACTTTAGATATTGGTCAGACCGGGACTTGAAACTGGTCCTGGGTTTTATTTATCTGCTTTCTCCCCACGCCATGTCTCTGTTTCTTGGCCCACGTGTTCCCCTCAGGTTGTCGTACAAGTATAGGCCAGAGGAATGGAGCTCAAAGCGAGCGGCCAGTTCATCCACCTACAGGTAACTGCAGCAGCGCATTCGCCAGCAGAGCTGCACCACACACAACACTGTGCTGCGGCTTCATCCTCCGGCAAATCTCACTCGTCTTCGCACGCCCAGGGGTGGAGAGGATGGCACAGTGGTTAGCGCCATGTATTACGAACTCGGAGACCTGAGTTCCCTTCTTGGCCGTGGCGAACGTGAGCAGAGAGTAATATTTGAACCGAGGGCCTCGCCCTCCTTGGTGAAGTACGGTCAAAACAACCACACCCCCCCCCCCCCCGTAACTGACACTGTGTGGAGAGACCTTCATCCAACAATCTCAGTCGTTTTCTTTCACACCCTACAAGTACAACAAACAAACCGTGCCACTCTCACGTTTGCCCCCCCCCCACCCCCCGCAATTACAAACTTAGGGCACACACGCTGCCCCTTCCACACCGCGACGACGCGGCGGCACCGCGTTTAAAGTGACAGGGCAAATAAGACCACATTGGGCCACGATGACGCAGTTTAAGTTGAACAAACTCTGACCAAGTGTTAAACGATTAACAGAATGAGGTAACGACACGATCTGCTTTTCGTCTGCCGTGCATTCCGCTCTAGCTCTCTCACCTCCTATGCTCACGAGGCAAGGTCACAACACCCTTCTCGCGATTGTACCAAGGAAGTTAAACACCACGGGGCTGGTCCGGGATTGAGATAAACGCAATGCCTTAGTGTAACACGGAGGCAAATACCTGGTGTTAAATAAATAAAGCATTGTTATTTATTTAACACCAGAACAGTGGTTAGTGTTAGATTTGAAGCTTTCGTGACTGCAAGGATTCATACTCTTAGTTCTTTCGGTAAAGTCACGTAGGTAAAAAATTAAATTAAAATTTATAATTTCATTTTTTACCTACGTGACTTTACCGAAAGAACTTAGAGTAGTGGTTAGTGTATCACGCGGCTAAACCGGCGGCTTCCCCGCCCACAAGCTAACAGCGCTTGCGTGGCCACCACCGAACGGACCGTGCGTGCGCCTCTGCGCGTGTCACGTCCCCACCCCGCCGCCTCGTGCCGCCCCGCAGGTGGCAGGCGGGCGCGTGGGGGCCGTGCTCGGTGAGCTGCGGCACGGGCGTGCAGGCGCGCCCGGCGTCGTGCCTCCGCGAGGAGGGGCGCTCGGGCCAGCTGGCCGTCGTGGACTCCGTGCTGTGCTCCGCCACGCTGGGCGAGGGGCCGGCGGCCGAGCAGGCGTGCTTCCAGAGGGCCTGCCCCGAGTGGGTGGTCGGGGAGTGGTCCGCCGTACGTTACCCGCCCCAGTCCCCTTTACACGTGTGCGCGCGTGTGTGTGTGTGTTGAACTTCTTTCGCACGAATCGTAGCCGAACGTGCTAATCAGAGGTGCGGGGGGGGGGGGGGCAGGACAACAAACTAAACGCAAAAATAAGTTCTGAAGAAATGTTAATGTATGTGTGAATGAGGGGGTGATCACCCCAACCTTGAGACTTTGAAAGTTGGTATTTCATTGACATTTACCAGTGAAAAATACATTCAATGTTTTATAAACAATAACGAAAAGTATGAATAATGTAGGACCACATTTATAAAGTTTGAAATTTCAGGACCGCTTCGTGTGCACTCCACGTGTTTGCTGTGCATGTGCGCTACGCGCAGTGCTCGGTGCGGTGTGGGCCGGGCCAGCAGACGCGGGAGGTGACGTGCGGCTCGAACGACGTGCACGGCTGCGGCGACAGCAAATGCGTCTCGACAACGCGGCCGTGCAACCTGGGCCCCTGCCCCACGGCGCAGTGGGTCGCCAACAGCTGGAGCCCCGTGAGCCTCGCCGCGCATAGCGCCTGCACGGTCTCCCTGCCTATCCGCGTTAGCATCTGGGCGCTACGGTGGCTAGGAGATCTTCTTGGTTCTTTCGGTAAAGTCGCGTAGAAGGGAGTTAATAAAATGATAAAAATAAAACATAATGAAATAATACAATTCTCACGACGTTTCGGCCACAACGCAAGCAGCCATCCTCAGGTGAAGCTCAAAGTTATGTGGAATCCCACCCCGTGGTGGCGGTTAAATTTCGATTTAAAGCTTTCATGACTGCAGGGACTAGGAGATGTTAACTACCTCGCCTGATATCCAGGAGGTCGTGGGTTCGATGCAGACATCGCCCATCCCCCCCACCCCTACTTTGAAAACCTGGCAGGACCCCTCCTGAAAATTAATTAAAACTCAGACGTTCCTGGGTAAACGAGTGTAATGATAAAATGTAACAAACCACTCCACCCACACCTCTAAATTGAAGTCTCATTTCTTTAGAACTGCTTTTTGTGCTTGGTTTGTTTCCCTTCTCCTGCACCTCCGATGAGCACGGTTGGCCATGTACGGCGCGAAAGAAGTTCAACATACATACACACGTGCAACATACACGTACGTGCGTTCTCGCGTGCGCCAGTGCTCGGTGTCATGCGGCGAGGGCGTCCAGCTACGCATGGTATTCTGCTCCACGGCCGTCGGATCGCAGCAGCAGCAGCAGACGGTGAACGATGGGCAGTGCTTGGGGCTGCGGCCCCACGACTCCCAGATGTGCTCAGAGGCTCCGTGCGAGCAGACGTTCAGCTGGTTCATCGGCCCGTGGGGCCTGGTGAGTGGCCTCAGATTCGGGCTGGGCTCGTCGTGCCAATGGTTTGTTTACGTTTCGTTACGTTTTTATTTCGCTCTCCTATGTGTTTTCGGGTTGTTTGCACGCCACCGTTAGGCACGACGACCAGCGTTTCGATCCACGTGTTGGGGGAGCTTCTTCTGGTACTAAAATCCCAGCACGTGGAGTGAAACTACCTGTAAAGCACAGCGGAGAGCTGTACAGCGCAAGTTCAAAACAAACCCTACGCAGTAGTGTTAATTTAACCTTGTCTTACATTTTTCTGTTAGCTTTGGTCATGCATCCTAGTATGTTGTGTTGAATTAACCATTTGTGATTTTGATAATTGCTTTAATATGTAATTGTCATGTATGTAAGTTGTCTGATCAAGGTCCCCCTTAAGAAGCGACTTTTAAGTCTCGATGGGTTTTGTTTTATTATGAAATTGACTACACGTGGCATAAAAAAAATCACTCACGAGGTGAACTGTTAATAAAATTAAGTGGCCTTCACGCAGAAATGTATTTACCACCTTCTCAGGATACAACACGGTCGCGGCTGTGCAGTTTAATGAATAAATTAGCCGCGGTATATTTACACGAATTGCAACGCCTCCTAAGAAGAATGTAGTGGAAATAAAACGAGGCATAATAACGCCGAAGGAAAATGGAAGTACAAAAAAAATATACGATTTTTTTTTTAATCCACTCAACCTCGTTTATCTCTGTCGCCACCGCCCGCCCGCCCGCCCGCCCGCCCCCAGTGCTCCGTGAGCTGCGGCAAGGGAATGCGCAAGCGGCAGATCCTCTGCTTCAACCAGGAGCAGCTGAGCCAGGAGTCGGGGCTGTGCCGCTTCCTAGAACGCCCCACTGAGTGGGAGCACTGCAACAGCCAGGCCTGCTACCTTCCTCAAGGTGCCGCCACCTGGCCGCACCCGCCTGACACCCGCCCCCCCCCCCCCCACAACGCAGTGGGAGAAGGGTCAATGAAATCATATCATTAGCACACTTAGTATTCGTGCCATTCTTTATTGGCGCAAACCTATCACGAAGGCGCTGTGTTTCACAAGTGGCCTGTATTGGTTTCACAGGAGGGCGCGATGTGGCAGCGTGGCTCCACTCGATGCGCCAATTTGCGAGTAATGTTCAAGTTTGGCAACTTTGGGCCGTGACTCCGGTACGCGTGACCCTCCTGCGAATAACGGTCACGGGACCTTTGACGGCCGCTGTGTGACGGTGACGAAGCAGACGGCGAAGATTTTTTGTTGTTGTTGGCAGTAAACCCGAGGAGGTATCAACCTGGGCGGCTGCTTACGCTCGAACTGCGAGCCTCCGCAATGAGCGGCAGAGGTCGCAAATGGGTTTGATTCCTTACCCGTACCCGGCCGCACCAGGGTCGTAAACGGCTACCCGTACCCGGCCGGGTACGGGTAGCCGGGTATCGGGTAGGGTACGGGTATCGGGTACCCGATTGCGACCTCTGATGAGCGGCAAACGTGCCACCGCTAGGCCGATTCGCCGCCCCCATAATGCAATTCCCTCCCTGCAACTATTTCTACAACCATGCAGCCCGGTATAGTTGTACATGTATAGTTGTGCCCCCTGGTATTCAAAACAAAGCTGCCAAACCGGGGAGCCTCCATTGTGTTTTGGGGATTCGTATTCCGTCCAAGGATAGTCACGTGTGCGTGCACACAAGAGCTGGAATGGCGGCTGCATCTACTGCATAGGTAAGAAGGTAAAGGTGGAGCCCTGCAATTTCTTACTCACGCTACTGCTGGTGGGAGTGCCTACACTAGAAGGAGCTCGAGAGAGATAGTGTTTTCGTGACCTGCCCTTCCACGCGATGGCTGCAGCTGTCCAGCTGATATGATTGCTTGTTGCTGCATCGGAGTTTGTCTCTGGCGTGACGCGTGATGCAGAGGTGCCCAGCAAAGCAGACCCCCGGGGCTACGACTCCACGGACCAGTCCGTCGCCCTGCAGCCCCAGAGAAACAACGGTAATGCCGGCCCCGGGGGGGCTGGTGTTTTACACCGGCATGCGCACTTGAGACTGTTAAAGGCCCATGGTGCACTGGGGGCACGGTGGAGATGGACGGTGTATACATGGCATGTAATTGAAATGTGTAATCTAAAGTACATTTGCAATTTGTATCTGAGTTACATGAGACACGGAGAATTGGTCATTTATATCTACATTGCATTACTTGAGTATTTTAACTTGAATTGATTTTGCCCATCTCTGGTGCTGGCAACACACCGGTCACAACTTTGTGTGAGCAATGGCATAGAGCGATAGAGATCTGTCCTGCTGATGGAACGGTTTGTTGAAAAGTGAGTTTGATGACCAGTGATTGGCTGACAGACCACGCAAGATCGGGTAGTCATGTGACCTCTGTCATGGATGGGATTGGAAGTTGCCAATCCACTTGCAAACGATAAGATTTATGCAGATTTTGGATTCGGAAATAAGATTTATTAAAACATTTAACAAATGTTAATTTATACAAAAAAAATCACTCCCCCCCCCTACAAGAAATATCATTTATCCACTGCCTTTGCTGAATCGTGAAGCTCTCTTCTCTGTGCACTAATCGTTGGTACCATCTCTGTGTGCGCTGCGTGCAGCATACTGGCCCGCCGCTGAGACCCAGAGCTGCACAACCTCACGGTACCGTCCCGTTTTATTTGCAAGGGTGACGTTAAACGAGCTATAACACTGTCTCGTGAAAAGAACTGTTAACGACTCGGAAAAAAACTCATACTGACTGAACCGAAATGATGACACATATGGGGGAGGGGGGAGGTGGTGATCGATGGACAGGGTGTGGGGGTGCGAGTGACTGGATGCACAGGATCGGTGACGTAAGTGTGGAGTGAGCAATGCACGTGTGGAATGAGTAACAGATGAGTGGGGCGAGTGATGGATGAGCGAGGATGAGCTGTAGACATGCAGGGTGAGCCACGTATATTGTACTCTGTGGGTGAGTGACGGATGCGTGTGGGGGTGAGCGACGTCCTTTGTGGGTGAGTGAGGGATGCTTGCGGGGGGGAGGGCGGGTGGGGTGAGCGACGTTGCTCGGTCCCTTCTGCAGGCACGGCTGCTGCCCCGACGGCGTGCTGGAGGCACAGGGTCCCAGTTTCTGGGGCTGCCCAGGCTACGCCCCGAGTGACGCTAGGGTCCCCAATGGGCACGACGCGCCGCAGGTCAACAACAACAACCACAACAACCACAACGGCTACAACAACAACGGCTACAACGACGGAGGATCCAGCAATGGTTACAACCGGAACCCGGGCACCTACGAGGTTTGGGTCACAAACCAATTCCACGCGGCCGTGGGGCTCCATTGTTGGTGGAGGTCGGTGTGGTAAAAGCCACCGTTGTGCTGTACTTCTATGCACCAACGATGATGCTCCTCTTCACCCACCGGTGCTGACCAGGGCGGTGAAGTATAGCGTACCGCGTAACCTCCACAGCTCGCATGGTGTGGGGAGTCCCTGATCCTAGTTTGGAATATATTAAAGTTTGCATAACACGAGTATTTTTGTTTTGCTTAATTTTTTTAAAGTGATGATTATGTTTGGAAATGTTATCGACCGTCCGTTGTGTTGGCGGCATCGGCGAAGGTTAATCCCACGCTTGGTGCCAAGGTTAGAACCGATTTAGTGACCGTTTGAAAGTACCTTGTAAATAAAGCACCATGTACACAAATAGACGTAATCGCATTGAATTCGAGGGTCAGGCTGCCAGGGTGTCGAATGCGAGGGGCCGTACACGAACGTTCCCCCACGATTCTTTCCACCACCTCTTCACCCTTCTCGCCCTTCTCACCCCTCCCTCTCCCATCTTCGTCGCCACTGCGACCCCACCCCACCCACGGCGCACGTCGTCGTCCGTCTCCCCCCTCTGCCTCGCCGCGTAGAATGGCGGAGGCTGCTGGCAGAGCGCGTACGGATGCTGCCGTGACCTCGTGACCCCCGCCCGGGGCCCCGAGTTGCAGGGCTGCCCGCAAAGCTACGCGAGTAGCGGCGGTGAGGCTCCCTTACCTTCCCTATGCATTCCATTCGTTTCACTGCATTGTTTATCGTAGTAACCGCCACCTACTGGCAGAGGTCACATACGGGTTTTGATTCCTTACCCGTACCCGGCCGCACCAGGGTCGCAAACGGGTACCCGTACCCGGCCGTACCCGTACCCTACCCGATACCCGGCCGGGTACGGGTAGGGTACGGGTATCGGGTACCCGATTGCGACCTCTGCCTTCATGGACATCTGTGAAAAAGAGCTTCATAGCCCATCGGATTTCTCCAGAATACAGATTCCGATTCACTTCGCCAGTCGGGCGTGTGGGGCGAGTCGGGAGGTTCAGGGACGACCGAATGATCGCGCACCTACTTTCCGCGCTGCCTCCAGACCCCGTGTGCGGACTTCCCCTGGACAGCGGCACCTGCTCTGATTGGTCGGCCAAGTGGTACTTTCGTGGCCGACTCGTCCGTGTGCAACCGCTTCTGGCACAGCGGCTGCGGCGGCAACGCCAACCGCTTCGACTCGGAGGAGGAGTGCGTGAAGGCGTGCGCCCACGTCGGGGCGCACATGTCGCACCACGCCGGCACCCACCACGGTGCCCAGCAGCACAACCAAGGCGGCCACAACGGCCACAACGGCCACAACAATGGCCACGGCGGTGGAGGGAACAACAACAACAACGGCGGTCATGGTGGCGGTGGCGGTAATAGTGGCAGCCATGGCAATCAACAGGGCAGCCACTCCAGCAGCAGCAACAGCCAATACAGCTACACGTACACCAACTACAGGTGAGTGGCATGCTGGGTAATGAATGGAGCATGCTGGGTAATGGAGCTTGCTGTGTATTTTCTGTTCGATATGGCTGAGAGACACCTAGAAAAATAATGGGTAATTCTGAGTCCATGTTATTATCCCTTCAACAAAGGTGACAAATGCTGCTGATTGTGCTCACGACGGAGCCTTTAAATACACGGCAGCACACGAGTAGTCGCCTCGGTACTGAGTCAGTAGCCACGTGGTCGTTGTGTAGATTTAATAGAATTATCGTTACAGTTTAACTCCTTTTGTCTGTGATGGAGTCAGGGGGGGTAGACTTTGCAGGTCCTGTCCTTAATCTACCCAATAACTACCGGGAACCGTTGATTAGTCGGTCACCCCCAACCCCCGCTGTGTGGCTATGCCCCTGGTCCCCCTCCCCCAGTATCGGGGGCCTGCTGAATAATGTTACAAAACAGTGGGCCTCTTGCGAACCTGCCACTGCTCTTCTTGGCAGCCACTACCGTCAAAACCGTGCGCAATCCGCACGCGCTAATGACGGAGCGCTGGGTTAGCATAGAGAGTTCTGTGCGTGTCTATTTGTGAGAACAACTGTCGTTGCGTTAAACTTGACAGATTAATGACTAACAAATGAAGCCTCACTGAGTATCGAGACTGACGAGCCCACGGGCCCAGTCTCACCGATTGCTTCGGTGCGCTCTGGCTAATGGTGACCCCGTGCCCTCTCGCCGCGTCTTTCTTCGAGGGCTTTTACTGATGAATGCAAGCTGATAGACAACACCGCTGGCTGCTACATTGTCGCATTTTGAGGGTCCTCTGAACCAGCGAGCTCTCCGCTCCCCCGACCGCCCACGGTGTTTAATATCGTTCTCCGCATGCCGCTGTCCCCCGCCGCGTTGCCCGCGCCCCCTCGCCGACCCCGCCGTGGCTGCGCAGCACACGGGTGCTCAACCAGGACCCGGCGGTGGTGACGGCTCGGATCGGCCTCCCCGTGCAGCTGCACTGCTGGGTCGCCGGCAACGTGAGGCCCTCCATGGAGTGGCTGAAGGACGGGCGGCCCATCTCCGAGCAGAGCAGGTTCACACATCATGCACGTCACCATCACGCTCCCCCCGTTCATGGCGTCCGCCACACCGGTGGCACGGCCCTGAAAATCCTGGTACATCACACGCGCGGGTTATGACGTAACACTCGCCGTTTGCTCAGGGATGTATTTTATTGGCAGTTGCGCAAGCTGACTGGGTAATGCATCCGTGAGCCTCACGAGCGTTATTGTGCCCTCCTGGCACGGTCGTATAGAGATAATAGACTATAAAACGATTAAAACTAGTGTTATTTTACAAGGTAAAACCCACTGAGCTCTAGCTTTTTCTCAGAAGCAACCTGGCCACAATTGATATCTCAATGAAGTGGCTCATTATGTGCAAATGTATAGCAGCCAAATATTTTGAACGAACGTTCATTCTAAATGTGAAGGGACAAACAGGAGGGCCCTGGAGAAAAATCCACGCGACCACGGGGAGAACATGACCTCCTGTATACCAGGCAAGGTAGTTAACATCTCGCCACCGTGGCGCCCGAGTGCATTTGTGCAGGTATCTGTAAATGTGTGTGAACGTGTCCCAACTACGTGGGTGGCCACGCATGTGCGGTTGATGTCGTTATCGTCGTCGTTGTTGTTGTTTGTGCTTCTGCGGCGACGTGCCCGCCAACGCAGACGGTACACGGTGCTGTCCAACGGCACGCTGCAGGTTGCGGACGTCCTGCAGAGCGACAGCGGCCTCTTCACCTGCCGCGTCACCACCGCTCGCGGCACCAAATTCCGCAACATCAACCTCGTCATATCCGGTGCGTGACCGCAGGGATTGTCTCGAGCGAGCCTCGCCGCCCGCCGTTTTGTGTTACCTCTTAAAAGGAAGATTTTGGCTCGATGTTTACTTGGTGTGGTGTGTAAACATCAGCGCCGATCACACAGCCTACCCCCCCCTCCCCCCATTGAAGCCGGCATGATCCGGGCCTTAATAGGTGCTCACTTATGGCGATTGCTCAATAATTTGTGTGCGTTGGTCTGTACTACCTGTATGTATTTCGCACCGTACGTAACCGACCAGTGCTTTATCAGGCCTGTGGGCCCCAATGCCAATGCCACCATCTGCACACTCGATAATCACACCGCCGGCTGTTACATTGTAGAATCACTACCTCGGCTGAATGGCCCAGGCTGTCCTGAAATGAGTTTTCAGTTTTGTTAATGATAAAAATACTTGAAAGTTATAGTCTGGAAACAATTCCTAAAATAATTTTGCCCACTCTTTAGGTCAGGTCATCCCCTCTCAAAAAGCGGTTGTGCTGTGTAGCTCTCCAATGTGCTGTTTGAGTCGCACCGTGTGGCACGATGTCCGACGCTTTGCTTCACGGGGTGTGAGCTTTCGAATTCCATCTTCGAAGAAGCCACGTGCGGGGAAAAGTTGGGGCATGATGCCGAACAACGCGCGGTATGACCCGAATACAAAGCGGAGAGCGATTCCTTGCTTGTGATGACATATTTGCTTCCTCTTGTTCCGCAGCTCTAAGTGGGACGGTAAACACGCCTTAAAGACGCCAGTCGTGTAGTGCGCCACTCTGACTTGCATCGGTGATGCGCGCAGGTGAGCTGCGCATCGTGAAGGCCCCGAGCAGCATGCACGTGTCGGAGGGTCAGCACGTGGAGCTGCCCTGCACGGCCTCCGACAAACGGGCCTTCATCCAGTGGACACGGTACTTGGATGCGCCTTTGGATACACACTGCTCTTTGTATTTTTGGTGACCCAGGCTACTGTCGCAAGGTTGAGAAATCAGTCTCGTGATTTCTCAACCTGGGTTAAACAAATTCACGTGAAGCTCGAAATGTAACGCTGAGAGAGAGAGAGAGCTAGCGACCGAGCGTTCATCTCCCTCTGCGTGTCACCTTCCCCGCTCTCCGCATCCTGCCGCGCCGCCGCCGCGCACAGGGACGACGTGGAGGTGCAGCTGTCGGAGGGGCGCGCTGCGCTGGGCGCCGACGGCGAGCTGGTGCTCTTCTCGGCTCGCGCCGGCGACTCGGGCCGCTACGCCTGCGTGGCGACGCTGGGAGGAATCGTGGCGCGCTCGCCGCCCGCCGACCTGCTGGTCGGGGCCACCGCCCGGCGGCCCATCAACGTCCGCTGGAGCCAACGGCGCGGGAAGAGGGAGAAGCCGAGGCGCGCACTGGGGCAGAGGGAGAGGGCGCACGGGGTCGCCCGTAGGGTATGATGCGCGACGGGACGGCCGGAGCGTCGTAGCGGTCCGCTACCGACTCGGGCGGGTCCTCGCGTCCTCGCGAGCGTGCGCGAATGCGGCTGCGCGATGGGAAACACGGTGGGCAGGATTTGATCAGGCTTCGTACGTCGCGAAATCTAAGTTATTTGCGATTGTCGCGACCGTAGTGATGTCGGCGCAATTTGAATTTTGCATTTGTCGCATTTTTGTGCTTTGACGTACTTCCGAGCATGAATGAAGATCGATCAAAAGTTGTTAATTTGCATGAAACGCAACATTAGCCTGCCATGAATCTTATTGCAACTTTACAATCTATAACGCTTAAAATGCTGACATAGAGCGATGATGTTATAACCACCAGGCTGTCAGTTTATTCGGAAATCATCTTACAAAACACAATTTTATTGGGTCATTGTGATGTTTGTCTTTATGTAAAGTTTTATGTAAAAATATATCGTGGGTGCTTCAAAAAAATGTTAACATTTATATAGGACTATCGTTTTTATTAGAAAAATAACGGATAATAAACATAACAAATGTAAAATGTTAATAGCTTCAAAACGTTAAAGAGTCTCCACTTCTTCGCCATCATTGTCAACACGCGCCTGGAATCTTCTCCAGGTGGTCTCCAGAGCTCGGAGGCATATTTATTGTGGTAATGTTGCAAATTCTCGTAAGTGTTAACATTTTTTGAAGCACCCTATACTTAGAAAATACATAATTCACTATAATAATCACGATACGATCCCTAGCAAAACAAACTAAACAAATATCTTGGAGTTTATGTCGCTTGATATATTGTAGTATCATGTCACGGAAAACCTTATTCTGGTAAAAAAAAAATACACAGTTTGTAGCGGGCGAGCTTTTCACACGCCAGAGAATGTTTCTTTTCCAGTTGGTGGAAAAAACGTCACTGTCCGGCGCTAACGATTGGGCAAATCGCCTGGGTTAACGATTCTTAAGCTCCAGTTCCCGTCACTCACCCCCACGGTGCAGCTGTCGGCGATGACCCAATCGTCAGGCGCATGCAGAGTGTCACGACTAGAAGTGCACCGTCACAGCTGGAATGCTGCATTATGGGGCATTGCGAGGACTGGACTTTGAGAATCTCTGGCCTAGATGATGCATTTTTTAACCATTTCCTCACAATGTAAATCTTGGCCTAGTGTAGTTTTTCAGTTTTCAATCCGAGCAATTATTTGTTATTTTCACACTGATAACTGTGCTCCATCACTGCGTGCGCTCTCACAATTGTGCCACGCACGTCTGATGTGTGTTTTTGTTTTAGTCGCATCGCATGTTGTGTGGCCAAAATGTCTGACGATTTGGAACTGCGCTGCGTATTATTTGAATGTCATCATTGTGCAGTCGCTGGCCATCAGTGACATTTTCCGTAATCTCACCAGTATTTCAACACTATTCACTTGAGTGTTTTAAATCTACATCAGTCATGGAAGCATCATTTTCTAGGAATGAATTAAGATTTTCTTAAAATGTCGTTCACCCCCCCCCCCCCCCCAATTATCTTGCAATTGTGTTATTGCCATCTTGGTGTGAGGTGACAAAATTCGAATTTGGAACTCTTCAGCTAGCAGTGCACCACCCTGTGCCAGGCAATGGCCATGCCAGGTGACTTCACCTGAGTAGATTACTTTATCGATATTAGTGGTCCATCTTTGTAAGGGAACTTGATTTTTTTTTAAGTGTGTTCTTTTAACTTTAAGCATTGGGCGTCTAATTCATTTTTTTGTGGCATTCCTGTGTGCACCGGTAGCCAGTGCTCTTGCGCTAGGCTTACAAGGCCGGTGAAGGCCTCATCTAGGTTTGGCCTACGGGAAGCACAAGGCCATTGAATCCACTCCCAACGGTGGAGATTGCCTCCTCAACATTTGGCCAGAGATTGATCGCAGCTCTGAAGGGTGTGCGCACGGGTGCCCAACTCATCCTCTGTCAGTGTTCGGTAGGGCATCATTTGAGCCGGAGCTGTCCGAGGCTGAGCTCCAGAAAATATTTTCCTGCTCCCCCTTACCTCCGCTATTGGGAGATAATGGCGGTGGTCTGGGGGGGGGGGGTTGTGGTTTGGGGGGACCCCAGAAGATAATCCGTGAGAAATTAAGCCCCTGGTGTTGGGTGTGATTGGACACGTATGTTGTATGTATGTTGAACTTCTTTCGCACCGTATGTAGCCAACTGCACTAATTGGAGGCGCGACACATCAGTCGTGGTGATATTTCGTTTTGTGCATTTTTTTAAATTTTGGCTTCTATTAACCTATTTTTGAAATCGTCTCCCGCAAATTGGCTTGCATGCTAATTTATAGTGACGATGTTAACCACTATAAATCGTATATCAGCTAGTTTGCAGGTGCTAGGTAGATTGATGCATCACAGGAATTGGCTCGTGATGATGACAGTTGTTTTTTTTTGGCTGGTGATGATGCAGCCCTGCCTTTAGGCATGTCATGATGAATCGAACCATCAATGAAAATTGGTGAGCCATTAGAAATATCACATGTGCACGTGCTCATGTGTGCGAGCGGAGGGTGGTTGGGGCCTGTGTGTGTGTGTGGTGGTTAGCGCAACTGCGCGTTCAACCCAGCCACCTGAGTTCAATTCCTGGCCATGGCTAAAAAACAGTGGAGAATATCTGCACCAATCCTGGACCTCAGCCTTCAATGACTACCTGGTGCGGTGTGTAAACAATGGCACTGGAGAAACAAAGGCGGCTGGGCATGGTGCTGACGACACCATCCCCCTTGTGCACCGTGCTGGCCTTAATAGGTGCTCGCTAACAGCACTCGCCACCCCCCCCCCCCGTCTGTGAAAGGCTACACGAGGGATATTTGCGCATCGGTAGGAGACGCGATTATGGAAGATGTTAGGTTAAGGATTAGATTTTTAAAAATCCTTTATTTTAGGCTTTTCTTTTCCTGTAAGATGAGCTGAGATGGAAAGGACTGTGTTGTGCCTGTGTTTCGAGAAATGCCGTCACCGGTGACTTTCTTCGTTTGATTTCTTTATTGTGCTGAAAAGTACGAGGTATTTAATTCATTTTCTTAAATTCCAACCCCCGACTTCTGTCCAGCCAGCATTATGAATGAGTTACACCACAGAGAGTGGATCGGCAGGTCGCGTTTGGTGGGGTAAAAGTGCCGGTGCTTCCACCTCTTCCAGTGTGGAAGATGTCTCCGGTCGGTGTGGAAGAGTAGGCCAAACAGCCTCTGAAGGGGTTCTTCGAGAGCTCCCTTGAGCAAAGATATCATCCGCCAGCAACGGTGCGAGCAAGCATTTGCAGGGCCGCACCTTTATCTTTTTCCGACTTCATTCTTAAAAGTGTAACGGGAATATAACGTTGGATTTGAGCGTCACCTTCTGAGCGTGTGTCGTTATTTCCGAGCTTATTGCATTGTGCGTACGGCCGAGTTGAGCTTGCGGGTGGCTATCACCGAAGGTGACGTGGAGAGATGTACATATTGTTCGTTCGAGTTGTGTTATCGAACGCCGTCGAGAGATGCAACAATGTGAATTTCGACCGGGTGTATTCGGTGGCAAGTCTGCGCGAGGATGAGCGGTGTAAACAGTCGACTGACGGCGTGTTTGACAAGAGCGTCTGAAAGTAAGCTGGGATGGAAAGGAAAACAAACCCAGCGTGCAGTTTAAAAACGATTTCAAGTGCTTATATTTTTTTATTTTTCAAACGTTTTATTTTCATTTTAATCCGTGTATTCAACAAAGGCAAAATAATCCCGTGGCTGAGCGCCAAACGGAAATAAAAAAATCCCTTAAAACACATTTTTTGCCAAGATGCGCGCGCTTGCACGCCTAGTACCCTCACATGTACGTACCTTGTAATTTCTTTTTAGAAAAAAAAATATCTGTAAATTCACCTCCGTTTGCCGTTTAAATAAAGAACTTTTCACACTACAGTGCCGTCATCGTGTTCTTGAGTGGCCCGCTCGCACTTAAAAGCCTTGCCTGCAGTCCCTTCCGATTGCCCCCAGTCAGGGAGGGGAAATAGAAGCGTTGAGCCAAAGCCATTGGCGCTGTCACACCACCCACAGTAGCCTCTTTGTCCCCAGCATCCTAATGGGACCCCCTTTCCTTCACAAACCAGTGGTTGTCAAACTCCCCGACCACGATGTTTTTTCTGTCTTCCCCCCCCACCTCCCCCGTCATTCTATCCAAGTTGTGCAATGGGTGTCATCGCCACGCCACGAAGCATCCCATTTGGAAATCTCACGCATGCCAGCGCATCACCCCCTGCGTTAGAGAACACCCTGCAGCAGAAGAAGGAGAAGGAGGGTGTCGTGCAACAACTACTTCTGGGTATCCCTTCGCGTGATCTCTTATCCACACTTGGTGGGGCGGGTGTGGCGGCACTTTCCAACTTGCCCTGCTACAGAGAGGAGAAGAAACCCGACATGAGCAGCACAGCTGGGCCACTGCAGTGGAACAACAAGCAGACGGCACCCGAGCCGCACCAGGCTGGCTTGGCACGGCCCCAGCGTGGCGGCTGTAACGCAGGCGAGAGGTTCGCTTCACTGTGGCCGATTTAAATTTAGATCAGCTCTGCCCAATCGGGCTCACGAGGTCGTCCTGGGGCAAAATGGCAATGAGATGGATTTAGTTTTGTAGAGTCTTCATCTCCCTCCCCCCCACGGCCGCATACTCCGCACGGCCGCTTATCCCGGAGTGGTTTACGGCAAGAGGAAGCGAAGTGGAAGCGTTGGAGGAGTCGATGCCTGAGGGCTCGCGTCGTAGCACGGCATAAAAACAGACGTTCCGGAAGCTTCTGGAGCGAGGCGTCAAAATATATTAACACCAACAAAAAGATCCGAGAGGTTACTGTGTTACTGCATTACATATGAAAGCTCGATAATTACCGTACTCCCGACGACACACGAGTGTTCATCGCGCTCGGCAAACACACACATACGTTAAATATATCGTAGTAGTAGCGTAATAGTTCGAGTATTAATAGAGATTGCAATATATTTTGGCACCGAAATAAAAGAGAAAACACATTTTGGTCGTACAACACAATGACTGTCAGTGCCTTTGTCTTAAATTTGGCTTCGAATGCATTAGCGTTTTGATCAATCGATCTTTATTTTTACGTGCCAATATCGCCCTTTGTAAAGTAGGCATGGGTGCACGTTGCAGCAGAACGGGAACGGTACAGGGGGCACGGAGCGACAGGAATGAAGTGAAAAAGCAAACTGCTCGTTCGAGTTCCTGTTCGTTCGACACTGCAGCGATGCTACGAGAGGGCATTTGAAGTCATCGCATGTCAGCGATTATTATTGTTGCTTGCTCACGCACACGACACGCACCCTCGTTTACTGAGATTATTCATAAACTGAGGTCACACAACTTGTGATACAATAATAATAATATACGGGGATTCATATTTTTCTCCCTTTTTTGTATTTTTTTTTTAAATACGGTAAAACTAAAGCTATGACCGGTTATAACTTATAAATAACGTACAATAATACACATCATATGCCTTGCTCCAATACTGACAAACAGCAGCTTTGGTAATACAACTGCAGTCTCATCATGGACCTATAACTTAACATGCAAAAACAAAGCTTTGCTTCCCACATGTCCCGAAAGACGAGTGTATATTTATATATTCTATATATATAAAAACCTCACCAACAAAGTGACCATTGAGCAGCCCCGTAACGTCGCAGAGGGAAGGGAGTGGGCTGAGCCTTCTGCTCGTAAATTCTCAAATTTGTTCGAAGTTGAACATCGGCTGCGTTGTACCTCCCCCCCGACCCCCTGAGTTTTGGGACGCCCCCCACCTTCATACGAGGTCACGCTACAGGACTGCCGCTGAGACGACGCAGTTCCCTTCCTGCCCCGCGCGCACGCGCGACGCAGGCCGGGCCGACGTCAGCATCACAGGCGAATCTCGAAGGTTTTGAACGCGTCCGCGCAGAAGGGGTCGCCCCTCGGGGGGCCGAGGCACGACTTGTGGCTGTCGGCCTGCGCCGCGGCCCAGCGGCTCTCAAACGAGTCCACCTGCGGCAGCGCGGGGGGGCGTAGTGCGCCGGCGTACGCCGCCGGCACCGGCGAGTCGCGCGGGGCCCAGGACGCCGGGCCACCGACGCCGCCGCCGCCGCCAAACACCGCGGTCGTCTGGCGGGACGCGAAGACGGCGCCCGTGGCGGGTCGCGCCGACGCCACCTTCGGCGACCCCGTCTTGCTGAAGACCGACGCGGCCATTTGCGACGGCGTCATCCCCATGCGATGCTGCTGCTGGTGCTGAAGCAGAGGGGACGAGTATGGGCCCGTGTGGGTCGTCGTCGGCAGCGGGGCCTGGTAGCAGGGGGCCGCAGGCAGCGGCAGCAGCACGGCCGCCGCCGCCGCCGCGCACGACGCCGGCGGCGAGCGCGGCGTCAGCGGCGAGGGGCACGGTGTGGTGACGGCGCGCGCCACGTCCGCCAGCCACTGCTCCGCCTCGGACAGGCTCATCGGCTTTACCCCGGCAAACGTCGCCATCTCGCGAGCAGCCACGGGGGCCCAGGGGACGTTCCCTGCACGGCGGGATCGGAAGGAGGAGCGCGCAAGAGCGAGAGGATAAGAGAGAGAATGAGAGATTGCGCTAATTGCAAATTTGTAATTGCGCACACGAGTAGAAATAGAATGACTCATCGACGCTTTCACGGAAAAGTGTCGGTTTTTGTCAAACTAAGGTGTTTGTTCATTAATGTGATGCTTAAAATAGCCGCAAGGAGCAAACGGTTCTGCTTGCAGATAAAAATATCTCCGTCACCGACTGTGGCGTTGATGGAATGGATTTGGCACGGCCTGAAAAAGGCTCAAGGAGATGCAGGGAGAGTCTGGGGCAAGGGCCAACGGAGGCAGCTGTCTGAGATTTTTCGGAGTTACGCTCAGAGCGGCCGTTAAGAGTTTGATATTAATTGTTGCAGTATATTTGTTTTGAGAAATATATCTCAAATAAAATGTAATTCGATTTATTTTCATGATGAATCTTACAATTACCCTATCCACAATATTACGTCACCTCACGTGTACAATTTAAAAAGTTCTGTTCACGTTTTCAAAAGCCAAGCATCGTCACTTTTTGCCGGTAGGTCCATCTGCACAACCCCTCGCGATTAAACCGGTAGTCTCAGCTCATTCATCAATAATTGCGCAGAAAAAAACTTTAATTTTGCTTTCTTTCACGTGAGTGAGTCAAAAATAAATGCAAACTCGATAAGTGCACTCGACAGGATTTCAGAAGGTCTGCAATATCTCCTTTCGCGGGCTGTTCCCTCCCGTCGGATGGCGCATTTGTGTGCGAGAGTTACGAGTGGATATTTGATCCAATGCCCATGACACCGAGAGTACGGACTGGAAGTTTGGTCAATGTTAGAATCGTCTTGGAATGTAACAAAGCAATTGAAGTGGGGCGATAACTCTTGTATCAATCTCACTAGAAGAATTTGACACACGTGTGAATCAGGGCATGATAATGTGTAAAATCAAACGGCGACCGATTGCTGCGTCGGGAGCCATTAGAGCCTACTTCTGGGTACGTTTTCACGGTTGCGCTGAATAGCCCTCCGATGTGTCGTCGGGGTCGTACCGCGTGTCGTTCGGCACGATGCCCGACGTTTCTCTCCATGTACTGGGAGCCCCTTCGGGGTGCCAAATAATTGAGTTCCCGATTCGTTAGTTTTTTCCCGATTTCACGTCGAACAAAAACCCGAAAGCGCAATGGAGAGGGTCGAACCTGCCGCAGGGGAGGCCATGCGGGAGGGCCCGTTGTCTGCCGACGGGGAGTAGAAGGGGTCACTTGGGGGGCTTGGCGCCAGCCTCGTTGAGTGCATCTGGGCGCAGAGCGCGTCCACGTGCCCGCCAACCTCCACGGTTCCTGTAGCCACGCACGCACGCACACACACCCGTTACTGAGTTTATTTACTATTGGAGGTAGTTTACAGGGCTTTGTCCACCTGCTGCTGAAGGCAGGCCCCTTCACGCTGTGCCTGGTCGGTCATGGGGATTGTTTTGACCATACTTCACCACGCTGGTCAGTGACGGGTTGGTGATGAGGGTACCCAAAGGTGGCCGGGAATCAAACTCGCGTTGCCGGATTAAATGCGCAGTAATGCTGCTACACGCTGCGCCACTGCAATAATAAAACACATTTGTAAAAAAAAAATGGTATGATTAAAAAAATTTACATTTTAATGTTTTTGTCTTTCTTCTCGGACGTGCGTTTGCATTCCACGTGTGTTGTTTGACATTTGAGGTTTTTAAACACAGACGTGAAAAATGTACTCGACTTTTTCACGGCAACAAAGTTCCGTGAATTAACAAAAACCACAAAAGCTAAGTGTGCACATGGCGACTCCGAATATTTCTTTTTTTTTACTTCTCACAACTTCCCTTTAACAAAGAGAGCCCTGTTGAAACTAAACAACGATAATGTGCACCTCCTATATTTCAGTTGGCTCATTCGCAAATACATTCACCCCAGCATAATTAGCGGATATAACTGAGATTCCCCATATACCTGGGATTTGAACAGAAATAATAAAAGCATGGCAATTGTTTTTGAAACGAAGCAGCTTTTAGAAGAAAGTAAAAACACATTCCTGCAGAGGGAGCTGGTAGGAACGTTGGGTTGCTCGGTCAATGGCCAGGGTCAACGGCCGCGTGGTGTATTCCGCAAATATGCCCAACTGTGAGGGCGGGCACAAGCCAGCGTGAGCAGGTTAAACATTGAGTTTTAAGGGCACCACGGGGTGACCAGCCTCCCCATCCAGCCCCACCCCTCCCACCCCACACACCACCTCCCCACCCACCTCCCCACCCCCCCCCCACCCCTCCCTCCCCACCCAGCCCCTCCTCCCCACCGCTCCCCGCACACGACACCAACCCTGGGCTGTGACCAGGAGGTCCTACCATTAAAACAACCTGTACCCAGGCCTGGGTGCGTGGCCCTCCATTCCCGTCTAACCCATCCCTTCAGCCCAAGCGATGCCCAATTTTAAACTGGGGCATTTAATCAGGAGCCTTAACCGCACATCATCATCTCATCATCATCATAAGCAAGTCATGATCGATCCACCGTTGGACGAAGGCCGGTTGGACAGATAGTGCAGCACCCTCCCAGTTATGCATGGACACAGCTAAAGCATCTGTACGTTCATCGGACACGCGTTACTACACAGCCTCACCGCCAGAAAATCCGCAGTCCGCGCTGTCGAGTCCCGAGCGGCGCTGCAGCGTGGACGGCAGCTCGTCCAGGCGCAGCGACAGCTGCCGCTTGAAGGGCGACGAGCCCTGCACCAGCGCCGGGAATCCGCGGAAGGAGCCCTGGCGCGCCATCTGCTCGAGCGGCGCGCGCCGCCGCGGGATAGCGCACGTGGCCGCTCCCCAGCTGCCCGCCGCTGCCGCCGCCGCCACGACGACGCCGGCGGCGGCGGTGGCGGGAGACGGCGGCGAGGACGGTGACGGCGTGGCCGGCGAGGAGCGGCCGTCCGGGGACGGCGCCGTCTCAACGGCGGGCCTCGGGCGGTCGCTCGCCGTGCACAGGGCGCCGTTGGCCACGCCGCAGTCGCTCGCCGCTGCGGGTCCGACGCGGGTCGGGGACGGGGGGGGGGGAGAAGATGGGGCAGTGTTAACGGCCGGCTCGACGCGGTTGTGGAAAGGGCTTTATTTATGGTTGCGGCGAACGACGGCAACGGTTGCGGTGAGAGTTGAAGGAGAACGTCTGACCGTACCAGCGCGAGGGGAGATCTACGTGGATTATTACGCCACTGAGAAAAAAAACTGAGACTTTTAATATCCCCGGGGAGGACTAAGAGATTACCCGGGGAAAGACTCCTCAATAAAGAGGATGATCCGGGTGGGGGGGGGGAACCAGAGTAGGTGGCGACCAGGGTGATCTTCTTCTTTCTTTCGTATGGCTCCTGATGTAGGTGCAGAGCAACAACTACAGCCCAGATAACGGCGTCAGGAGCAGCGGAGTGGCATTTTGTGGATCGGGCATCGCGTCGTTACATGAGGTGACCCCGGCGAGCCCCGCGCGTTCGTTCTCGAGGGGTGCGCCGCTCACGCTTGTCATCCTCGGAGCCGCCACTGCGGTGGTGGTGGTGGCGGTGGTGGCGGTGGACTCCGTCGGCGCCGCCGCCGCCATCCGCGGCGAGGCCGCCGGGGGAGCGCGCGCCACGGAAGGAGCCCTCGCGCATGAAGCTGGTGCGGTCGACGTCGAACGTGGCGGTGACGCCGCACTCCTTCTCGCGCCGCTGCTTGCGCTCCAGGCACACGGTGAAGGCGCAGCCCACCGCGTGACTCAGCCGCTCCCCCTGCTCAAATAGCGGACGAGTGAACGGTTAAACGACGGATTGTAACAGCCGCGCAATCGCTGTCATCATCATCATCGTCATCATAATTGGCTGTAATGAATCACGGAAGGACACAGCTGGGAAAGAATCGATTCTTTTCTGGTTCAGTTTTCAGCGTCGCAGTGTTATTCCCATATTTTTCTACCTTGTTTGTACAGTTTGCTATTCCCATTTGCCTAAATGTAGCATTAGCACGTAATTTGCACTGGATGTGCATACACGCTGATTTCTGTGATTCCATCGTTAGTCTTGACGACCGGCCGTTATCCGTTACAGCACAGCCGAGAGGCCATCCACCGTGGAGATGGAGCGACAATGAGCCCATGTGCAGGAGCGAGATGGATGAGGGACGGTGATGGCTTGAGGAGGCCTTCATCCAGCGGTGGATAGAGCATGGATAATGATGACGAGAACTGAAGAATAATATTAATCGAGGTATTGTCACACTCCTGTAGTGCTGGTCTATCCGATTGCTTAATTAATCGATTACACTACCTATTAACGGTTCAATTACTTGACTAATCGGATGACAAGAAAATATTGTGCCAATGAACGGGAGGTGATGGGCGGAGTTTGATGACCTCATTATCATTACCAGCCGCATCGAGCTGGGAGTGGCTTATAGGGGTTTCCCACCTTTGGGAGGCTGGATGTGGGGGGGGGGTCCCTATTTGTAAAGGGACCAGAGTCATTGACGACAGTAATGAAACAAAATAGATGAGCAGAGCATGCCTCCTTCTATAATCAGCCTCTCCACACGAGAAACAAAAAAACACTTCTTATCCAACCCTTTGGCCCAAAGGCTTTCTGGGAGTGAATCATTTCAGCAGCATTGATTCAGCACAAGCAGACTCTGGACTGGCTTCGGCCACACGTCGTCTCACCAACAGCCAGGCCCGCCGGAATCAACACTGGCGAACTGCCAAATGTCACAGGCAAGGACCCTCCCTTTTACTGGTAGGAACCTCCTGGTTACACCAGCCCACAGGGGATTATTGTGTCCGTCCGTCGTGCATCCAAAAATGGGAGGTGTGGGGCTCTGTGGAGAGGGGAGGGTGGGGAGGGGCTGGTCACCCCGTGGTGCCCTTATAAAACTCAACGTTTAACCTACTCACGCCGGCTTGTGCCCGCCCTCACAGTCGGCCACATTTGCGGAATACACCACGCCGCCGTTGACCCTGACCGTTGACCGAGCAACCCAACGTTCCTACCAGCTCCCTCCGCAGGAACGTGTAATATATGGGTCCTGGATATTAATTCCTAGAGGGTCCTACGGGTCCTAGCGATGTAGTCATTTACGATGTTTAGCCAATGAATTAATGAATCATCTCAGCACTGCACCCCTGTTACTAAGCATACAGCACACGTACGTGGCTGACCCCCTTCCCCCAAAGTCCCGTTGACCTCTAGTCTAACCAGCGCCCCCCCCTCCCTCTCTGCACCACCCCAGCCTCAACCCTCGTCTCACTGCGGAGCAACTCACCGAGTCGCGAGCGGCCATGAAGCAGTGGCACATCCAGCGGCGCGTCGTGCCGTCGCGGCATATGTAGGAGAAGGCTCGCTCGAGGTTCCGGTCGGGCGCGCAGAACGACACCTTCTCGATCAGCTGGTCGACGATGAGGTCCTGCAGAGGAGCGGTCAGTGTCGACGCGTTACGCGCTGTCATTGCGAACGAGATCGAGGTGTCATCGTGGCTAAAGACATTGATGCCACCGCTATCTCCTTCTCGCCAACGCGTTCCATCCGTTGCCAGATCTGGCAGCCGCTACCACGCAGGAGACACGTGACTTCCATCATCTCCCCGTACAAGTCTCCCACTGTGAACCTCTCTCGCCACGGTGGCTAGGAGATGTTAACTACCTCGTCTGGTATGCAGGAAGCCGTGGGTTCGATCCCGACCCTGACCACTGCTAAATATTTGGATGTGGATTTTTCTCCGGGTCCTCTTTTTTTACCTTCACATTTAGAAACATGCGTTTAGAGTATTTGGCTGCTATACATGTCCACATGATGAGCCACTTCGTGGAGCTATCGTTTGTGGCCAGATTGCTTCTGAAAAAGAGCGATATAGCTCAGTGGGTCTAACCTGGTCAAGTAAAAAGTGTTTCATTTTTTGTTCAGTTTTAATAACAATCCACTGCTGGAGCATCGACACTCCACACCGTGTCGTCGTGGGCGTGCTGCAAGTGCTGTTAGCGAGCACCTATTAAGGCCTTTAATAGAGAAAGGGCTGCAAGTGATTACTATTTTGTTACCTGCAACAAAGCAGTTCTGTATATTTTCCTTTCTAGAACACATCCCTCGATGCTACGCACAGTATGTATGTTGAACTTCTTTCGCACCGTGCATAGCCAACCGTGCTCATCGCAGGTGCTGTCAAGAGTACTTGGAAATTCACGACAAGCACGGAGTCTGTAAAAATGTACGTGGGTGAACTCTGCAGTAAAGGGCCTTTCGGGTGATGTAGGCCTCGCAATATCAGCACCTCAGCAAACAAACAAAAAATCCTCTCGTTTTTTTTCCTTCGAACGTTTAAAAACACCGATCCAGCAACAGCGAGTGTGACGCTACTTTGACCTGAGTTTGTGCTGACATTTTAACATCCAATGGACCATGTACTCAATAAAAGGCTGAGTTAACCTAGAGGATGCCCAGGGCAAGTTCCCATACCGCTCGCCACTGGCCAGAAATGGAACACCGGTTATTGCGTTTGAGGCGGGGTGCTCTAACCATTGCACCACCACTCCCAACACGAAACAAAGACAGAGATTCCCTCACATAGCCTTCGCAGACTTTTGGGGCAAGTGCGGTTAGCAAGCACCTACGAAGGCTTGCACGGCTCTCAACACACACGCATACGAGCTACTGGCATTGAGAAAATCTGTGGCTGTTAGCAGTAATCAGAAAGAGAGATTCAACCGTTTGAAGGCTTTCTCCAGTACAACTTTGCCAGCGTTCTTGAGGGTTTTTAAGGGTCACCCAAGAAGTCAGAGAATGCAAGTTATCTGTGACCAATCGTGCTCAGCCAATCATACTGATCCAATTATATTCATCCAATCATCGTTACTACCCAGCCTATCATACTGAGCCAATTGTATAAAGCCAATTATACTCTGTCAATAATACTCCTGAGCCAATTTACTAATTCAGTATGAGATTGCATAGGCGAATCTTGCACCCGTGTATATATGTATATAAAAGTACCTTTTATTAAATACTTATGTGCATGTACAACATCGTGGTGCAGTGGTGGTGGCGATGGTTAACGCACAGCGCTGTGAACCTGGCCACCTGAGATCGATTCCCGATCACGGCTAACGTCAGCGGCGGAGCAATATCCGAGACAATCCCAGCCCGCTATTTTTCACACCAGCCCGCACGGGCCACAATGGTGGTGTATGGCCAAAACATCCTCCATTACCGACGACGGCGTGGGGAGGCCTCATATCCAACGGCAGACTGGCAAAGTTCTGCAAAATTATTAAGATTCGGTACAACATATGAGTTACAGAATATGTATACAGTTGATGTATATATTTTGTTGCTATCGAAGGCATTCGGAAAGTTGGTATGAGCACTGCGTCTGAAAAATATATGCGGGAGGGCTTTAAAGTGGAGGGCCTTTCGCTGCATGGCCACTCCAGCGACAGTGTTGACCCAGGCGTATTTATTTTCATCAGCATCCGATGGAAGAAATAAAAAAACAAAGAATTTCCCGTTTGTTATTGCTAACTTTCAAAATAAAAAAACACCACGGGGCGCAGCAACAAAGTGTGTTATTATTTGGTAGCATTTTTGTTTTGATTCATCGCTGCCAAACGCGATCGGCGGAAATATCTCAAGAAGCACGGCACGGACGCGCACGGCAGGAGAGGAGGGAAGTGGAGGGCGGGGGGGGTCCGGGTGAAAAAGGTTCACGGGTGTAAGCGGCAAAAGCCTGCAGCGCTACAGCCGGGGATGGGTGGATCACGTGAAGATGGAGCCATCGTGCGCGTCGCCCACGCATCTTGTACGTTGGCCAGGGTTCGTGGCAGGAAAGGGCTTTCCTTGAGATTGCTGCGACTGGTTCGTGCTCACGATGCACACTGACAAAGCGATTCGTATTGGTTTTGAGACGTGCGTCAAGGATGAATGCCATATTAAATAATACTGTTGATGATGATAATTACGCGAACTGTGATTGGATGATGATTATTCGATAGTGTTTATGATTAATATAATATTAATTTGATGATTACTGTTGATAACAATTGGATAGTAATTATTCTTGATATCATAATTGCAATGGTCATAAGGATGACTATGACGATCGTTCTTGATGATGTTGCTACGTCTGTTGAACTTCTTTCGCGCCGTACGTAGCCAACCGCGCTAATTGTCGAAGGCGATTTGATCATGAAGATCATGGTGAAAGGGCGCTTCATTTATTTCAGACACAATGGGACACAATAACAATACACTGGGTGTGCTCACAATGGAGATCGAATTCATAAACAGCATTTTGTCAGCTCGCACGCTGCTTGGGATAGGCGAGCGCACGTTGTTGTGTGCGTATTTGGTAGGTGACACAGTTTGTGATGTGTAAAGTGGGCACCCCATGTGAATGTCACATCGCTGGGTCTTTCTCCAATACAATTAACGACTGGAGCTAAAGACTGGACCTTTGAACAACGAAATGGCGAGATGACTCTGCCAAAGATGCCCCTGTGAAAGGCTGAATCAGCAATGAGCATAACACCCGAAACAATGACAATTGTAATCACAACATTTACGCTGCCGATGTTGCCAACATCAGCAACTCCACGGTTGTCGTACCGTACTGGGCACATTATTTATCTTTGCACCGCACTGCCCTATGAGCTATGAGACCTTACACAGGCACTGCGTTCAACCAATAACCACACTCGTGCGCCGTGAACCTTAGACAATGTAAAGTAAGGGATTGTGTTGGTAGGCGGTGAGCAGGCACGACAACAAACAGCATCAAACACACCTCGCTACGTTTGCCATTAACACTGCCGTCTGATGGAAAACTGCAAAAAATGTGAGCACTTACATGGGACTATCGTTTTTAATGGAAAAAGAAGGGATAATACTACACTGTAACATGATAACAGATGGATGCTAATAGCTTCAAAAAGTCAACGAGTCTCCACTTGTTCGCCATCATTGTCAACGCACGTGCCTGAAATCTACTCCTGGTGGTATCCAGAGCCCGGAGGCACATTTCTTGTGGCGTTGTTGCAAATTCTCCCAAGTGTTCACATTTTTTTGAAGCGCCCAGTATATATTTTTTTGCAATTTCTCTTCTTCAGAGCAGTGGGTGAGGCTGAAGAGACTGACTGCCTTTATTCATACAGTACACTGTGCAGTATAGCTCCTATCTGCCCTGCTGCGACCTGCGACTCATATTGTCTGTGGCTCCACAATGCAAGATTCTACTGACAGCAAAATCTTCCCCGTAAACATGGAACGTTGGGCCAACGTTGGGGCGCCAACGGTTCCAACCACGTGCCAACGTAGCACCTTTCACAGGGTCCGGTATTTTGGCGACGCTTTGCTGCGTGTATAATCTTTACCGGCGGGAGATGTCACCGCAAAGGGTTGGAAAAGGGTTGAACAATCTCACTCGGAGCGTGCTTCGAGTAAAAAAAAAAACGATCCACGCTGACCATCGGCCTTGTGTGACCGCACACGTGCTGGGCCCTAAAGCCACAAATGCAAGCCGCACGGAAACCCTGCAATACCTGGCTGTCTCGGAGTGAAACCCCCGAAAAATATTTGGAGTTTAACGTTCACACAAATAGAAGCAGCAGCAGCAGCAACAATTTCAGACTTGATGTCCACGTCCAGTTGCATGTGTGTGCGCGCGCACGTGCCAAAGCCCTCTCTTTCCTCCAAAGTTTTCTGAAAGACGAGATGAACACGGCACCTTCTGGCAAAGATGCGCAAAAGCGAACGCTTAGAGTGGTGGCGGAGAGGGGGGGCAGCGTGTGGAACATTTCCAACGGCGCCCTCTAAAATAAAACGACGTAAAATATCAACAGTGAACAACAGCAGCAGCATCCTCTACCACCGACGAGTTATAAGCACGTGCAAGATCGCGTAACATAGAAGCCCTCTCTCATCTCTAAGCCCGCTCGCTGTCGTGCCAGAGAGACGGTCGATCCTGGCGCGTGCGCTCCTCGCCGGTCTGCCGAATTCCCAGACGCCAAAGGCCGCGATTCGATCCGTTCGGCGTCTGGCAATGCGCCGCGTTGCCTGCGACGAATCCGTCAAAGTGACGGCACAAGAGCAGACGATTGACTCAAGGTCAATGCTGGGACTGAAACGTTTTGCTTCGTGGGGCACCTTGTGGGAGAAGGAAGCGGCGGTGAGGGTGGGGGGGGCGAGTAGGAGGATGCTTGGTCTGTTGGCTCCTTTCTTGCGGCTTTAATTGCCAGCCTTGTGCTTTTGTGCAACAGACATCGCGCCGCTCCCGGAGCGGGCAACACAAATTCCTGGCTCGGAAAACGAAGCTCCGATTCGTGGAGGGAGGTGGGGAAGGCGAGGCTGGGATATTGGAGCAGGAGGGGGGAATAAAGTGCTCGCCGTGTATTTTTGCCGCAACTAAAGACGGAAGTT